TTTGATTGTCAGGAATCAGGATCTAGAATCTCTTTCCAGATTCGGGTTACAGGAGTTACGAATTCGGATTTAATCTTTGCGCCAATCACCCCTACACATTTCCTCTAGACTTACACCCTAAACTAGTTCTCGTGCTATGTAATGCATTATAGGTTAGTTTAATGGATTTGAAAAAAAAGACAAACTTAATTTGGATGTGAGTTATGAATTATAAGAGCTTTATGCAACAACTCTTACTTACCCCGTACCTCACACATTAAAATTGTCGAAAGACAATGACAAAACCTTAAAGCAAAATAAAATGCGTCATCATAGCAATGTTTTTACTGGTAAACAAGGGTAATAGAGTTTAAATTTCGTTCCGTGACATTTTCAATAACAGATAACATCAAAATAGCCTCCAGAAAAAGATCTACGCCTTATAGTCAGTTTAGTCATGTGGATCGCATAGTCCATTAATGGAGTGTACCCAAGTAATTCAGCCAGGGGATAACTTTATTTTTCGACTTCACATGACATAACAGTTCATACATTAAACATTTTATTAAAACATCTAAAGGAAAGTTGGGAGGAAAATGACACCTGTGTGGAGAATTGTGTGTGTCATATTGCTGTCCTTGGGTAAGTTAAGATTAATTAATTAAAGGCTATTTAGATAAAGGACTGACCGTTCTCGCTATAATATTTCAAAAATAGATAATGCAAAATAAATATATTGAAAATTTCGTTCGAATTACTTTATTTTGAGCAAAGTTATCAATGGTTATAGATTTGACAAGATGTGTGCATTGGTTGTAATCACAGTACTTGTCATTCGAGTCTTAGCCTCGATTCTCTATATTTTAAATTAAATCATTCCGAACCGTTCTAATCTACTTAAAATCGGGGCCATCGGATGGCATCGAGAGTTGATTGTGATCTTGTCATGTCAATAAATGTCTCATTAATAATTTATGTATTAAGCCCCACAGAAAGACCTGCAATAGGCAGATTTAGCTCTTACATAATGCCTGTTTAATTACTGGCATACATTAACCGATCCCGGTTCTACTTATCACCGACAAGCTACAATTCCCGCTTGTCGTGGTATCCATATTTGTCAGTATTTTTTTATAAAATCATTGAAATTTTGGCGAATCTGTGTAGAATATTTTGTGTAAAATATCTATAACATAGCTTTCCTTGTCGTGCACTTTGGGAGCTATTGTCGAGTCTTGTTGGTGATTAATAGGACCCGAAATAATAGCATGTTTTATTTTATGATCAGTAGTGGAATACCGCGTTTTATCAGTGAAATAAAAGTGTTATTCCACTGGCTAAAGTAGTCCATGTTGTTTTTACCTAAAATGATTGTAAAATCATAAAATAAATAGAACATTTGTCGTTTTGTCGTGAATAACATATTTTATTTCATCTTTAAGCAAGAAAACGTTTATATTTTCACTCATGCTACGCATTCGTGAAAATATAAGTTTTCTTGCTTCTCGATGAAATAAAATATGTTATTCACTCTAAAACGACAAATATCCTCTATGTATTTCGCCTAGCCCCGGATCATCTACAGTAAAACATTACGTTTCTTTCTTTCTTTCTTTTTTTTTTTTTTTTGTTGAATCCTCCCACCTCCTTTTCCTATAATCAACAAAACAACCGTAAAAGGTGTAAATAGATCCCGCGCATCTCAATATACTGCTGCTTTGTACTTAAGAATATATTGTGTTGTACATTGAGATATGTAATCTAAACACAGATCACAACACCCTTGTTTGAATATAGTGCTAGTGTTTAATCATACTCCTCGCAGTGTTTGATTAGACCTAATCCCACTCAACACAGCCGTAATGAAAGCAAATTTTTCTGTTCCGAATTATGACTGGTCAATAGTCCGATTAACAACCAATACCTAACTATGTAACAATATCATTCGGGTTTAAATAGAGCTCCAAATATGTTTACATAACGTTACGTCATGACTCACGAAATTTATTCCCCCCAATTAACCAGTGCATAGCAAAATATTGCAGAAAAAAATAATTGTGTGACAAACAAAGCTGTCAAAAACGGCTACAATGTAAACAATATTGTTTGGAGACGAACAATACCTTAAATTTTTAAGGAAGACCCCCAGTTTGAATTAAGGGCCGTCATGTTGCTATATTTAGGAGAGATTTGATTGAACGTGAAAAAGAGACACACTCCTTCAAAAGCTCAAGTATCCAAATTCGATCCACCAATTGCCAGAGGGGGGTTTCTCGGGCTATTGCTTCAGAAATATGGTGTTTGACCAAGTATGCTAACTGCCTCGAGGAAACACCGAACCACCTAAGAAAGACACGGGCTGAATTTTAATTTGCTTCTGTCGAGTTCAAAAACAGGGGGAGAATATAGATGAAACCAAGCCCAAACAAGCATGTCTGGTACAGGTCAATAGGGAATCCTACAGTTCAGCCGTATGTCATGTCGTGTTCAAGTTGTCCTTATCATCGTCAAAACAGTGAACAAAAAAAAAAACAATATCTGGTGCGGGCTGATTGGATCACCTGTATAATTCTTCTCCCGGTAACTTAAAGTAGCTAAGTCTCTAACTCAATATCATCGAAAATCTTCGACATTGGAGACACGAGTTATTTGTCAATTTAAGTCAACATTGGTCTTGTGATCTTACAGGGAAAAGATGGGCTTCTGATATCCAATATTCAAGACAAAATAAACATTTTGTCTTTGGTACACGAATCGTGTACCATAATGCGTTTCAGTGCCATTTGGAACAAGGGACTCAAAGAACGAGGCTAGACATATTCCACAAGTCATGTCAAATGGTGACTCTATATATTCTTATCTGGAGACCATGCGCAATAAATACCATCGCACAGAGTACTCTGTGACCATCGGTTTAGACTGGAATAACCAGACGCTAAAGATTGTCTTCAATTGAGACTTATGCGTATTTCACCGAACATAACTGATTAAAAATTACAGTAAAAAGAGAAACGATTGAATGTAAATCAGTTTATATACATTCATATTGCGACCCATTTGTGTCAATTTCTAGATCCAAAATATTAGCGATTTAGCTCCTTTAATGAATCTGAACCTGGGTTAGTCGGTTCCATTTGAAGTGTAGTACCTGATCCAAATCGCCAAGATTCTGCACGGATTATACGTCCAAGAATGTCCCAGATATGCTCAAATGGATTCAAGTTAGGGCTTCGGATTGGCAAAGGTAGTGATACTACAACCTTCCGGCACAGAAAATCAACAACGGCATACGCACGGTGTGGTTTAACGCTGATGTCCATAACGATTGACCTTGTGAGGATGTTAGTTAAAGTGGGGCACTATAACCCTGTCCAGGATCTCTCTTTTGGTACCGTTGGCCATTGAGATTACCTTTAACTTTTACCAGTCGAAATTCTCGGTCATCTGGAAGGCAACCCCATATCATGATAGAGCCGACGCCGAATGGAACCTGCTCTAAGATGTTTCGCTGTGCCAATGCCATGTTCCTACATCGCCATACCCGTGCCTTGTTATCCGTCAAGCGAAAACGACCAGTGATTTTTTTCGCCACAACGCCATGTTCCAATGATGATGTAATCAAATTCTCTTGAGAGCATAAACATTAGGGTGTCGCGATACTTTTTTTCTCTGTGTATATAGAAAATAAATTTTTTATGGATTTAAGGAACTGTCGTAAGGAATGAGGGGGGGGGGGGGGGTAAATGAAATGGAGTTAAGCCTAGGCTTAATACAAAACTTCGGTCATTTTCAGACTAATATAGTTTATGTCAGGGTTTCTGGTGGTCACGTATGCAATGCGAGTGAGGTTAATTATGCCCAGACATTTGCTAACGCTTTACTGGTGATTGGGGAACCCGACAAAAATACTGGATTTTTAATTACCGGTATACAGTTCTATAGTTATATTTTCGTTAAACTGGTCTTTACTAAATTGGTATTGAATAGGTTTATTTTTTTTATTATTCTAATAAATCACGTTTCTTTGAAATGTGTGTTTAGCTAATAAAAGTTCTGTATAGTTGAGCTCTACTCGAGGTGCACACAGAATTCTGAGTGACACCTACAGAGCAGTATAGAACGAAAATAAAACATTGGTTAAATACAAAATAGTCTACGTAAGTCAGCCAAAGTTCACACAAAGTCGACCATTGTGTGACCCCCGTCCAAAGTGGTTAGATCTCTATCTAGTAAAAGTGTTAAAAACGAAACGCAATGTACATGTGTATGCTGTATATCCGCGGACCCATTTTTTTTAAATGTAGACATATACCCACTACACAAGCATTCAGACACCAATTAATTTATTACATTACACGATTCAATATGGTCTAGTAATTTTGAATCAAGCTAAGATTTTAGATCGATTTTCGATCTGAGTTTTCATATGTAATGTTCTTTATACAAATTTGTTGAACTTGTATATTGTATGAATGATAAAGAATGATAGGTAAAAACGTTTTGCCGCCAGTCATTTGTTATGCCTAAACACACCCTGATATAAACACACAATGAAAAATCAGATTTTATATCAATACAGGAAATAACATTAAATTATAAAGAAATTGTAAATAGTTTTGCTACGGAACAAGCAAGCACAGCGGATTATAACTGTTGTCAAAATAAAAGTCCAAGAAAGAATCGAACCAAAGTACATTGGCTACATCAGAAAAATGATGGTTAACGGTCACCTGTAAATGGAGATGAAAAATGAAATGAAATGCAATTTATTGTCCTTCTGTTCTGCTCCGACTGGGTTTAATAATGAAAACGGGCATACTCCATAAAGCCAGCTATGTGTGAAATTTTGCCCGGACAGCGGCGCTACGGCCTACTCTTGTATCGCATTCCAACAGTGTAGGGATCTATTACGTTCATATGCCCCCTGTGTTCCTTTACTTTAACATGTCAAAATTGTATTAAAAGTGAACTATGAAATATGGAATATAAAACGAAATAATTGGACTGATTCTTTATTCCAGCAGGATACTGTAGAGGTCAAAATGACACGTCGTCATGTGATGACGAAAATCCTATATTTGGCTGTTTTCAGAGTATGAGTGCAGCTATCACCGCTAGCGATGATACCAGAGTATTTTGTAGGTAAGGCCACTGTTCATACATTAATATTACTCTTGGCTACAACGAATATTACTCTTGACTACAACGAATATTACTCTTATCCACAATGAATATTACTCTTATTATAATTATAGTTTTCCGCGTGAATTTCGCCGGTTACGTGGAAACGGCCCCATTACATTTGTATTAGACAGACTTTTTCACCGGCGAAAACGCCCGCGGAAACGTGTACATGGAAAACGGGCCTTAGGTCTGCTTTCCATGTACGTATTTCAGCGCGCGTTTTTATCGGCAAAAGCATCGGTCTAATGCAAATGTTATAGGACCATTTCTGTGTTTGCCTTTTTCGCGAGGGAGAAAACGCGCGAAAAAAAATTTGCTCGACTTTTTCACAGCGATTTTTTCGCTTCTAGGATATGCATGCTAAACTGGCTGATTTGTGTTTAACTTTTACTATCTTGAACTGGTCTTGTAGGGCGTGTTTACCTCGAAAATAGTAGATTTTTTGGAGCAACATAGCCCGGTTGCTGCTGACGTGCCATAAAACCACATTCCATTCATTTATTTATTTTGGGACATAGCGTGTGTTAATATTATTCCGAAAGGGCGTCGATTGCACGAAAACAATGCAAAGAGCAAACACACTTATGACGTCATCGACATAGGATTCCTAAAACTTTTCAGCGAATTTCAGTAGGCTACACATGAAAATGCAAGAACTCGCTGGCGAAAATGGCGGCGTTTTCCCTCTCACGCGTCCATGGGAAGTGAGCGTTAGGATGATTGAAGGAAATATAGTGTGCGTTGGAATGGGAGTAGGGGTTGTTATATTCTCTACAGTACATGTTTTATAATTATATATTATTTTTCAGTTCGTTAGAGAGTTATGTAAGTTGTGTAGAAGAGGTGGCTTGTACATGTGGGATAGCCAATAGTCCAACTGTTCTAGAGGCCTTAACTTATTATATAGGCGTTTATAAACAAAATGGCTGCATACAAGGTGATTTGTGACTGTATTTTTTTAAAAAATGAAACGAAAATGTAAATATTTAAAAGATATTTTTTTTTATTTTAAATCGACACAAACTATAATTTCTAATGAGTCTTATACTTAAAGATCAATTTAATAAATTAGGAATATTTTTTATTTTTTTATTTATTATTTTGTTTTTCATACAAAATCACCCCACCATCCAGACACGACGCGTACGAATTTTGGGCCTCAAGACCTTCCAGTTGCTAGCTGACCGCGTACACGTGGCCGCAAGACAGTCATATACACGATAGCTATATTGTTTTACTCGGCGTTCTTCTTATATTCATTTCTCCGTTGTTGCTTACTGGGGCTCATTGAAATTATTGAAATGTCTATAATGCAAAAACATCATTATAATTGAGCTTTAGTATTGAGTATCAATACAATATCTCTTTGTATTTTCAGTACTTAATGGAGAATTTATTGTCGAGCCAGGCGTTCAGTGCCCAGGTAATATTGTTTTTGCAAACCAGAACATCTAATTTAGCCCTACTTTACTTTTGCCATGAAAGATAATAACAGTATCAACATATAATCTAAAGGTCATTATTTCAGTAATCGCACCTGGGGTTCTAGTTTAATAACACCAGATCGATTTTGCTGTGAGGGAATTCTTATTTCTAATTAGAGCTGTCAAGGACTCTTTTACGCGCTCCTTGAGTGTTCGTCCCACCCGTGCAACTATACGCTGTCCCTTGCCACGCCCAGCTCTACTGACAGGGGGGAACCACACTGAAAAATCACGAACACGGGACCCCAAGGTTAGCGAGCCAGTTTCTTACCCACTGACACCTACCCCCACCCACGCTCTAACCCCTCACCCTCACCCACGATAACCCCAATTTAGACTTTTATCTTACCTAGTCTGCGATTTGTTTCAGGGCAGAATGTAACTGGTTCTACTACTGACCAGGGTTTACTAGTCTTAGCCTTAGATTCAGGTTGGTACTACCCCATTTCTTTTCGATACCGTTTTAAACGATCTGTGTTATTCCCACAGAGAGGTGTAAATATTATTACATTAGACGTAGTTTTGTGTCCCCATGACAAGATCATATTTTAAAGGGCAGTGACTTGTTTAAATACATTCAAAATATAATTTTTACATAAAGATCTTTTGCTATGCTTGATCTGTAACAATTATTTGAAGAATCTGGAAATGACGTATATAAAGGAAATCAGTTATTGTTATGGCCGCCTGGGGTAGAGAGTAGTTCACTGACCTTAACAAATAAATTTAGCCTTCACTGTGCGAGAATATCGTACAAATTACGTATAATCATGAACAGAATTGACTGTTACCAGATAAGAAATGGTGAGAAAAATAGAAGGGGGAGATGGGTGGGTCACTTCCGCCCTTAACTCCACCCACAGTAGTTGGCGGTTAGAAGACCGTTCTCTGAGCAGGTTTTGTCCACTTGTGTACATAGAAAATATCACTTCGAACATGTAAAATGCATCACCCCAAAGAAAGTGTTCGGTGACTATTTTAATTATGCATACTTCATTATCTGTGAATGGAGTATTTATTTCGTTACAAACCATGATGATATGTGTTGAACATTATTTGTTTGGGGCTACATTTACTTTCTTCAATATTACAGCTACCCCAGCGTATACTATCGTATCCCCATGTTCATTAATTATTGTTTATGAAATACAATTGACATTATTTTCTTTTTAAAATGTAATGTCTCATACATAGGACGGGTTAGGGCCTAATATTAAGGCTAACTGGTCAATGGTTACGAGATGTAAACAGGGCCAGCGCTAACCCTATCACAATCTCGCCATCTTTACGACCTTGCCGAAATCTGCAGTTGGCCTTAGTATTTAGACCGTACCATATGGGACGCTAGGCATACTTCGATAAACTCTGATTACTGATATGAGGTTTTTATTACTTTTTTACAGTTCCTGCTGTTATTACTTTAGATGCGATGTGTCCAGGAATCAGAGAATGTTATAAAAACTATAGTTCAATGGCTGAACAAGCCTTGTATAACAAAGATCTAGAAGCTATGTGCATGTAAGTGATAGTGGTATATAGACTTGACACATTAATTGACCATCTTTAAACGATTCCCAGGTTGTACGTGACAAGGAATAGGGTCACCTGTCAAACCTCGTGGGTTTTCTCCGGGTCCTCTCGTTTCCACCCACTACTAAAGACCCCTACGCGCAAGCGAATTATTGAAATAAAATTGAACCATGTATTACTCCAGAAATGACCTAATTTGTGTCGAGTGGACGAGTGGACGTTAAACCTCATTTCTCTCTCTTTAAGCCCAATGACCTGTCAGCGCACATCATACCGATTTTCCGTCACCGATTTGCCAGTCGCCGTTTCGTCGTGCACGTAAATTCAACCTCGGCTTTGTGATTATATGACGATGTTTATTTTCCTTTCGGTCATGTAGTGATGATTTCTATACAAAGAGCTGATTGGAGAAGTCCTAGATATATTTGGTAAATACAACTGCTTAGTTTTGTGTAAAGGCACCTTAGAAAACTGTTTCTCAGTCCTTTAGAACTGTCTCAGTCTCTGTTTGTGATAAAGACTCGCAAATGCCTAAGGCCTTCCTTTACTAACCCCAAATATTTATATTGTGAATGGCGAATAACTGCTAAAAACGATTGTTCATATAACTTGGCAATACCTCATAAAGCCAAACACACATCTGTTTCTTTCTCTCCTTTCCTGTATAGGACCCACGGTGGCTCGCTAACCAGAAGATCAAGAGTGTGACCCCAGTGTTGGCCGAGAAATGGTTTCCCCTTTGTCAGTGATGCAGGAAGGGGTGTCTGGCAAGGTGGGCGTCTAAACGTTCGGAGGCCATTTCTACACATTTGCGTGCGCGTAACCCCAAGTTTCCTATATTTTTCAACACTAAATTCAAATCGAACAACTTCGGTCTGTTTCCACCGAGGCCCCTCAAGCTGCTGTCATGACCGGCTGATTCTGGACACAAACGAACTATCAGAAAACGAACGTTCCGCGTCCAGACCACATATGAATTTATTACCACTGAGTAAAATCGTGAAACGGAAACCGAACCAAGCATTATTGTTAGGTCTAGATGAAAGTGGGGAGGTGAGGGTGCATTGATGTCTTATCCAAAGCTGACTCCACACCAAACCGACAGCAACTCAAACACCAACGCTACTGTGTTTAGATGAAAACAAATCTTGTCCGGTTGAGTTAACGTTATGAAAACAACAGCGTAACAACCCTATTAATAACTGAAACTCAAACTTGAAATGACCCAGTGCTTCACCCAGTGTTTTATTTTTCAAAGCGCACAATATTTCTTCCAATATAAATACATGCGAAAATAGTCCCTTAGTTTCCATTCATGGAAAGTATATTATTAAGTTAATATTTAAGTTCATTTATAAAGTCATTAAATTAATTTATATATTACAGAAGTCGAGAACACCTAATACCATGTGTAGAAAGAGCTGTTTGTAATTGTAATGACACGTCTAACGCAATGCTTATAAATATTATAACCAATGAACGAAATCATTATAATACATTCTGCTCAATAAGTAAGACATTTTAATATATTGCTCTAGTATCTTTCTTTGTACAAACTCATTGATGATGACTTGGGTTTACTTGCAACAAACCTACTGATGATGATTTGATTGTACTTGGCATTCTTAAAACAAACCAACGATAGAATATTACATTTCCTATTTAAAACACCCGACACTAGTTAAAATTGACCAAAGTCATGGCAGTGATATTTTTGTTCTAGAATTTGTTCTTCTTTTATCTTATAGTTACTGGCGGTGTAGCATTTGAACCTGGTTTTCAGTGTGCAGGTAATGTCATTTTTATTATCAATATCAACTCATATTCAACTTAAACCGAATATCAGACATTGTATACCAAATGTATGAAAGCGTGTAAGGACCAATAACGCGAAAGACACCACGATATTAATAAGGTAATATTATTACCTCATTAATATCGTGGTATCATGTTAACATATTGTGATACATAATTGTATACGTTGTATATAATCAGTTTGTTTTAGATATTGCTCTTGTCAATATATATTTCATTTTATTCCAACTATATGCTGGCATAGCGCATGAAGATATTCTGCGAACATGTCGACATATACTGGGGCTTTGACGATTTGGTGATTAGAAATAATTAACCCTTTATAATTGGTATTCTAGATTTAGCTCCTGTAAGTGTATGTGTTGCCGAAAATCCAGTATCAGATTGTTATAATACTTATGTACAAGCTATTGGTAATAATTTTAATGAAACACGTATACTGTGTCCGTAAGTTCTCTTTTTATAATAATATGTCATCTGAATGTTAAATTTTATTGAGTGTTATGCAAAACCATAATGAGTTCAATCCTGTCAAAATTTTCGTATGGTAAGAATCGTTAACCAAAGTTTCAACTATCACCTCGTTTAGGTAGGAGTGTAATCTAACTAGTAATTCCACTACTCGCTTGTTTAAAGGGCGTGTGGCTCTATATTAATGTAATATGAGTGTATATAAAGTGATTTATATTCAATCTTTTCAAAAAATTGTAATTTCTAATCAATTATGTTCGGGAGAGAGAGAGGGAGAAATGGGGTTTAACGTCCACTCGACACAAACTATTAATATTAATGTAATATGAGTGTATATAAAGTGATTTATATTCAATCTTTTCAAAAAATTGTAATTTCTAATCAATTATGTCCGGGAGAGAGAGAGGGAGAAATGGGGTTTAACGTCCACTCGACACAAACTAGGTCATTTCGGGACTAACACATGGTTCGATTTTATTTCAATAATTCGCTTGCGCGTAGGGCTCTTTAACAGGGGGAGGAAATCGGGGTTCCCTGAGAAAACCCACGACGTTGGAAATTATGTTCGGTGAAATACGTGCACAGTCCAAACTGAATTACAATCGCGTTTACGCCTAATTAGCCCATTTGTGAATCAGCCAGTACTATTTACTGTCGCAGTGCAATTTAGGATATGTTTCTCTTTGTTCGTTCTCTTTGCTCCCGAAACGATAGGGTACACGACCCGTGCACTAATTTTAAAATGTTCATTGTGTCTTAAAAATTTAAGATATTAGGATCCCACATTTTCACGGCAACATAACAACATCAATATGGATTGAAAAGGATCAATATTGAATTCTATATAATTTGTGTTCTCAATTTGGAAAATATTGAGTTAGAGACTTAGCTCCTTTAGGCGAGAATTATTTGAATTACTGTGCATAAAAATGGCTGCTATAGATTCGTAGGGAACTTTCGATTGCTTGGGTTTGTTTTTCATTTTTGATTCTTGTTCTATTGGGTGAGGCGGGGGTGTATTTATTAATTCTTTGTGAGTTGGCGTTTCCAGTTTTAGAATATATACCGTAATAAAATCATTCATTTATTATCTAATGCCAATCATATATGATATTTTATTTATACTTTTTAGGGCCATACGTACATTTATAAATTGTACAGAAAGTGTAGCGTGTGAATGTGGTCTGACAACTTCACCTCCTGTATTGAGTAGTCTATCACTGTTAATAGCTAATTATGATGCGATTGGTTGTGAAACAGGTATATTTAGTTTATTCTCATCTCTTTTTACTTATACATACATAAGTAATGTTTGTTCTCTCAACAATACATACAGATACATAATATTTATACTCTCACCAATACATATAGGTATATGATATATTTATGCTCCCACCAATACATACAGATGGATAATATTTATACTCTCGCCAATACAGATTCATAATAGTCATACTCTCACCAATACATAACATGTATGCTCCCAACAGATACATGATATTTATACTCTCACGAATGCATACAGATACATTATATTTATAATCTCACCAATATTTACAGCTACATAATATTTACACTCTCAACAATACATACACATGTATAATATATATACTCTCACCAGTATTATACAGATACACAATATATATACTCTCAAAATAAACAAACATATAGATGATATTATATACTTCCACCAAAATATACAGATATATAATAGATAAACTCTCACCAAACTTTAGTGATAAGAAAATAGTATCAGTGGTGTTTTAAAAAGAACATTGTTTATACTCACATCAGTTGTATCAGTAGTGTTAAGAACATATTTGTGCCGCCGCATTTGACGGGTGTTTTCCTTTAGTCAAAATAATGTCAAGGCGTCAAATTTATTGTTGATCTTTATTCATAGTTGATTATTAAGAAATCGCATATTTTAATTTATGATGACAATTTACGTTGATAATTTCAGTCACTGGAAAAATGACAGTTGAACCCGGTATAAGATGTCCAGGCAAGTACATATTATAGACATTTAAATATTCCTAATCCTATTTTGATTTTGATGTTAGGCCCTGACATTATTTAATGCATTCATTCTGGCATTTAACCCTATCAATTACTTCCCTTGTTTTTGCTTTCAATTTCTATCAATTCAATAAATCTGAAATCATTTTCTCTTTGGTACACTAATAATAAGATTTCACTAGAATGTTTGAGAATTACTCATTTTTTGTGTTTGCGATTCTCCTTTCAACAATAACATAATACGAGTAAAACACATTGATCCTGGATATATTAGCCTAAATGTGGTCCTTTAACTAACGGTTTTAGTTTTAAATATTTCTATTATAGAGTTTAATTTTTTAATGAATATTTTTGCTTTGGTATCGAACTATAGTATTAAATTCACCACCAATTATATATCGATCATAATCATTGATACAGGGTAAATATTTGATGGTTGATTCCGAAAAGAATTATTTTAATAAAAATTTGTATTTTCTGTTCAACAGTTGATCCCAGTTTTAATGGAACCCAGGAAGTTGAAGTTCTCCTGACATTAGGGATGCTGAACAGTAAGTTAGATCTGTATGACAGTTAGTAACACTGTTTTAAATATTACGCCAATACTTCATATTACAGAAATCAGAGAAACCCAAGTTCCACATATTATATAAATAATTAAACATATTTAAAATCGCCTAGCCATTTTGATTTGGGTATACCAAAAGTTGATTTCTTTGGATTTTATATTTCAATTTGTTTTGTTTGATGACATCGTTGAAAGTTTACGTCTATATATAAACCCGATATTACTCATTTTGTGTTGGCAAATTAGACCAACAAACACGATCGTTCGATGGACCAGGAACCGAGTATGACGTCATCACGGCTATCTTGCAATTGTCCGCCAATGGATGTACAATTCTCCACGGAACAACCATGTCAAATTACATAATGACCGTACATGAATTGGCGGAGACTTGTATGGTGGCTGAAAGCGTCCATTTTATAGATCGGTGGGTTTCTAGATACAACGCGAGAGTCGCCGTTAAGCCAGCACGACGAAAAAGGCGCCGATCGGCGACTTTTTCGTCGTACTACCTTATCGGCGACCCGCGACTTTCACAACACGAGAGTCGCCGTTAAGCCACGCGCCGAAAAAATCGGCGCCTTTTTGGGCGCCTTTTTGGGCGCCCTTTTCGGCGACTTGCTTAACGGCGACTCTCGCCTCGGAAGTTTATAGTTAGTTACATGCGCAATGGCTACATTTTACGCACACAGATCACCAAATATTTCTACGCCGTCACCCACCAATGTAGGGCGAAAGTTATTTTTAGTCTTTCTCTCCCTTTTCCTTTTCCCCCTTTTGCCTGGCGATTTTTGGTGTAGAATCGAAAAAAAGGGTTTGAAAATACATTTTCTGCCAGGTTTTGGTGAATATTCATGATTTTGAGAGGTCGGTTAGGTTGAAATGTAGGGTCGAAAATTGCATGTTTACATGTCCCCACTTCCAGCTTGTGTATTTCAAGTTTTTCATGATAAACCTCATACATGCTTTTGTGCAAGAGTTTGCCACATGTTGCTCCATCTGTGGCAGAAAGTAGACTAGCCTACAAGTCCTAACTCATCCAAAAGCTCCTCCATTTTATATACAAGAAGTAAAATGTAGCCATTGCGCATGTAACTAACTATAAACTTCCGAGGCGAGAGTCGCCGTTAAGCAAGTCGCCGAAAAAGGCGCCGTTTTTTCGGCGACTTTTTCGGCGAGTGGCTTAACGGCGACTCTCGTGTTGTGAAAGTCGCGGGTCGCCGATAAGGTAGTACGACGAAAAAGTCGCCGATCGGCGCCTTTTTCGTCGTGCTGGCTTAACGGCGACTCTCGCGTTGTATCTAGAAACACTCCGATCTAAATGGACGCTTTCAGCTACCATAGACTTGGGCTTTTTTCGAAGAGCATCGCCCCCAAGAAGAAGAGAAACAAGAAGAGAAGTAACACGTGGAGCCCAATTGCTGGTCAAAAAATGAAACTAAACTTAGTAAACTTGTCACTTAAACATACATTATGCAAGAGCTAAATCTGCCAATTTCGGGTCTTTCTTTAGGCCTGAAATGTTATCTAAATTATTAATTAAACATTAATTAACCTATCCAGGCCATAATCAACTCTAGATGGCAGCGCTAGCCTGCGATGTTTAGTGGATTGTAAGCCGATTTACTGCATAACTTTCCTTCTCGATTAAACGATTAAATGGATAATCGAGACTATGCTGTTTATCGTACTGACTTTAGTAATGATGACCGAGGCTTATGGGAATTTCAGTCGCTTAGTTCTAGGTTCATAGTGGATCAATTTGAATGAAATTTTCACCAAATTGCCTTCACATTATCTAGTTTTTAACTATTATAGTGAGAACTGTCAACTCGTTATCGAATCTCCCATAATGTATCTTTAATCTTTCAAAAAAGAAAATCTAGTCGAAAAGAACTTGAACGATCCCATGATCTAAATGAAAGAGGTTTAGATCCCTTACGGTGGATATAATTTAATCCGGTAGTAGGTTCGACATAATGGTAATATCTGCAAAACAGCACATATTTTTTCCTTGTGCATTGTACTTTATTGTTTTTTCTTTAAAAATACTTTCCGTTTGATTATCAGACCCATTTGTAATGGAAGTTATTAACGGATGTCCCCATGCTATGGTTTGTTACACACAAGTTGATAGTTCTACAGCTGCTGCACTTCATAACAAAGATGTTTTAGCGCTCTGCCAGTAAGTCATTTAAATCCCTCCATTAGCTGTCGGCAAATTAAACCAAACAGTAATTATTCTATTAGATTCAAAATTCTAACATGCTATTGTCTAATTTCTAACTTCTATTCATGTAATTTCTAATTTCTATTCGTGTAATTTTTAACTTCTAACTTCTATTCACGTAATTTCTGACTTCTATTCAAGTAATTTTTAAATTAAGACAATGTATAATCCAACTTCTTTATTTGTTCAGTGTAGAAGTCTTCTTCATTAACGCTTTACACGTTTAGCATGAACATCGAACAAATTTATAATTATTACGCTGCTCATTTGGTGATTGAGCACCTGATCGGGACCATTATGTTGATATAAACGACTCGCTGAAATTGAGAAATGAAAATGAAATGAAATGGGGTTTAACGTCCTACTTTTCTGCTCCATCTGGGCTAATGAATACGGGCATATGCTATGCAGTGTGCTAGGAGGGAAATTTTGCCAGGGCAGCCGCACTATGGCCTACTCTTATATCGAATTCCAACTGCCAAGGGATCTTTTACGTGCACACCAATGTGCCATCCGAACGACTAGACAGCTGTCCTTGTCAGACCCTCCGTCCTGCTCCACTAAACACGTCGGAAAAACTCCGATGAACTTTCTCGGCCATTGCAGGGATCAAACACGCGACCTCCGGGTAAGCGAGCCAGCGTCGTACTCACTTACCCAGAGAGAGAGTATTTGCAAACCATATCACGTTCGATGTTGTTTTCAATTTTTAACACTCCGCCAAACCATTCAACCTGACGAAGAGTGAGTCGTTGTGTCAACATAATGGTCGCGATCAGGTGCGGAACTCGAAAATTGAGCACACGGTGGCGACACCTAACGACGTCATAATGATGGTTGCTAGGTGGAGTATCAAAATTCTAAATATGTTCGACGTTCAGCTTAACATGTAAAGCGACAATGAAGTAGATAGACATTTTCGTCTTAATAAAAGAAATAAGATGAAACCGAATTAAAATTTACACTGAATAAATAAAGAAGTTGGATTATACATTGTCTTAATTTAGAAATTACATGAATAGAAGTTCGAAATTATATGAATAGAAGTTAGAAATTTCGCGATAGTAGGCCTATGTTAAATTATGAATCTAATGTACCGTAATATGACCAGGGTGGTCTTCAGATGTTACAAGAGCTTGGAATGGTACTTCACTCTTGAATACCAGAGCTTACAAAAATAGTTCCAGGGGTACTTTATGCTGCTTTCAGTTTCTAAGACATGCTTATTTGAGGAAACAAAGACGTTTATTAGCTGACGTACTATGAGGATTATGACTACTAATTCTCTGCCCATTGAGGTCAATGTTAAATCCATTACCTTTCTTGGCATATGATTAGTTAATATTCCGATCTTTATTAGCAGACGTGCTATCAGGAATAAGACTACTAATTCTCTGCCCATTGAGGTCAATTTTAAATCCATTACATTTCTTGGCATATAATATTTAACATTCCGATCATCTTAATATTTATAAATGCAAAGAGTCCAACATGTCACAATCATTGTGAATCGAACACAGGACCTCCTAGTTAGTGAGATAGTGCCAGACACCAGAAATATTGACAGAAACCTAGGACGTAATAAATTTAAATCACCCCTTTCATTTCCGGTTAAGAGTAGATTACTGTCAGTTGTCATAATATGATGGTATGGAGAAGGTAGAACTGTCAATTAAGGAGACAATCCTTATAATGAAACCTTTTTTTTCTTCGCCTTTAGATCACAAAGTACATTCATACACTGTATGGAACAAGCTGCCTGTAACTGTGGAAAATATGCAGATGTTCAATTTAATAACATGATATATGTAGAAAAGACACAACATTTAGCTGTATGCCCAGGTGGTGAGTTTAATATACTTTTGGTTCGTCTTCAACTTGGGGGCCGGATTCTCTCCTAATTTTGAAATAAAAAGTTCCTCGGGAATTTCCGACGCGGTGCAGGACGGAGGGCCAGGCAAGAACAGTGTCAAATCGTTGGATAAGACGAAAACGTAGTTCCAGATACACAATTAACCGTTAATTGCAGTTAAACACAGTTCGGCTGTAGGCACAGATTTTTGGCTGTGTTAACCTTATAAATGATCTTTACCATCATAAATCTTGACCTTCACAAATATTCATGCGGTCATGCTGGTTAACTTAATACCACAGATGTGGGGGTGGATCGCAGCGACGAAGCGTGATCGGTGAACACGCATACACACATCCTTGATTTGATTTATATATACATTTAGATTGACTATAATTGCTACTCGGCATCTAAAAAGTCGATTCTCGATTGTAGCTATAACGGTACATTTGATACAAAGTGTTTATTTTTGTTCTACAGAGATTAATTCTTCATCGATTAAGATTATCATTACTGACAAAATTAGTTTCAGGGTTATGGACCATGACTGATATACTTGATGATAATAGTACTGCCCGTAACCGTTCTATGTACAAGGTGTCACATGAAAGTCGTAAAGAATAACTTCTTGCTATATTTTAAGACGTTTTCAGGGCAGTAGTAGCCTATAGTCCGTGCGTAAACACAGAAAAAAATAAAATCAGTCCCGGACAAATTAACATGCACCAGAAGAACTGTGTCTGACAATGCCAGAATTGGTGTCTCATTTACAGGCTGTAACATCCACCAATTCTGTGTGCTCACTGCCTATGTTGCCTACTTTGATACAGACCTAATAATTAATGTTCTTTCTGCTGACCAGTACGTATTGAAATAAATAAGACTGCTATTAATTTTGAAAGATTTAAGAAAAATCCTTGCCCCGAACTTAATGTTGTTGATTAAATGATACTACCCTATTTATACTCACTTGATTTCTCGATCAGTTTTATACAAAACCGGGGTCGTGATTATTATTTACCAGTTTAAAACAACATGTACCGTACATTAGACGGGTTAGTATTAATGATTGTGAACTACAAATAATATAACACTCATTCTTGTATAAAAAGATTTGGACTTTACAACACCCTTTACTCATTTCAGATGTATCGATAAAAGAATATTATGATTGTGGTAAGATAACTTGTTAAATTACATATTGTACTTAATGAAATCTGCAAAATAAATCAAAAGATACGGGACCACAGCAGTAACACTTGCAAGAATAGACATAAAATTGAAATGCGCGCAAGATTTATCTGTCTTCGTTGAAAACTGGACGTTTATTTTAGGGAAAGTCGGTATATTGAGATACAAGCAATTTTGTCTTCCACAGAACACTAAGAAAATATCATAAATCTTCGATGTGACTTTTGTTTCAAACATATTTTTGACTACAAACATAAATATGAACATATATTTCCAATGTGAGTATTATCAAGAGATCTTTATACTAAAACCAAACTTATTTCTATTTTCCTTTAGATTTTTGTGTCCGGGAAAATCCACTCTATGATTGTTTGAATAGCGTAGAAATGATTTTAAACAGCAATACCACAGAACGAGCAGATTGGTGCAAGTAAGTTTAACTTAACGCCCTTCTTTTCTATAACAACATGAAAAATGAAGACATGACGTATACGCCATGATGTGTACTTTTAGCGAATGTTTGCCCGGACAGGTAGCCTATTCTCATTTTGAACACGGGTTTTGGTTTTTCAAGCATCCGAACGTCCAGAAACTTTTCGTTGCTAAAATATTGTCACACTTGGTATTTAATTTTACATACATAAACCCACATGACATTGCGTTACCGTGTGAAATCTGGGAATGTTCCTTTAATATCTGCTGGTCGAAAATAACGAAATAACTTAGTTCAAGGGAGGTAAGTCGCTTATACTACAGATGGAGTGGGACTGTTAATTCCGTTTTATCACGATTCCACCGTTAATGCCATGCCATATCTGTGTCTGTGACTTGTTTGTCATTCCGTGGTTGTCTAACCCAAACCAAAGAACGCAAGTGAACAAAATGATGAGGGGGTGTAATCAACTCGATGTATTTACTACGCGAGGTCAGATGAACTTGCAGTGGAACTCTGCCTCAAAATTTAAATTCGATTTGACTTCTCAAAAAGACCCAGATGGTAGATTTTCTTTCCTATTACCATATGAAATATTACCTACAGAACATGTTTATTTTCTTTTTTTAAAATGTATTATAGTGCTATAGATGAATTTATAACGTGTGCTGAAAATGTAGGCTGTACGTGCATGATAGAAAACTCTAAAGTTGTTCTCCAATCATTGGCTCACTATATACATCTATACAATGAGCATATCTGTTTTTTCCGTAAGTGATACATATTTATTTTCTGTGATTTTTTTTTAGAATTGGCTAATTGATAGTTTTTTAAAATCTTATGTAGATTTCCATTTGTTATGTTTTTTTCTGACTATTTTAAATATCTCCCAGAAATTTATAATTATAGAATCAGTGGTAGGCCACACTTTTATATTGAAAGTTGGAATCTATTACTATTTTTGTACATAATTATTTTTTATTATCTTTTTTTTTTAGTTGCTGAACAACCACTATTTGTTGATCCGGGAGTAAAATGTCCACGTAAGAACACCTTTTCTCTAAATTCCCTAAAACTACGTAAAATGCAAGTGCTCAAACCAATTTGTCCTGTACTCCATGAAAACTTCTTAAAGGAGATAAGTCGCTAATATTTGGGACCTAGAAATTGACAATAATGTCATATGAGTGTATATAAATTGATTTACATTCAATCATTTCTGTTTTTACTGTAATTTCTAATCAGTTAGGTTCGGCGAAATATGCTAGTATTCTCAATCGAATTTCAATCTCTAGCGTCCGGTTATTCCAGTCTACGTCGATAGTATTTATTGGGCATTCTCTCCAGATAAGAATATAGCGTCGACGTCTGACATGACTTGTGGAATATGCTTAGCCTCGTTTTTTTCGAGTCCCTTATTACAATTAGCGCTGAAACGCACTATGGTACACGATTCGTGTACCAATTGTAAAATGTTTATTTTGTCTTAAATGTTGGATATCAGAAGGCCATCTTTTTCCGGTAAGATCACAACATCAATGTTGATTTAAACCCACAAATAATTCGTGTTTTCAATGTCGAAGATTTTGGATGATACTGAGTTAGAGACTTAGCTACTTTAAAGATACAATAACAAACATAAAGGCTATAAGACTTTTTAAGGATCGTACTTTAGACAAGTAAATAGACCGAATATCTACATCTAGATTAAATTACATGTTGACCCCGATATTAATTAATAGAGACGAGTTATTCTTCAGTAGCTGACGGATGTTCTGGGGCATAGAATGGGAATTTCACAAATGAAATGGTGATTAACGTTTTACTTTTCTGCATCAACTGGGTTAATGGACACGGGAACGTTTTTTTTTTTACATGCATGCTTTCAATGTACTCGGCAACTGTGCCATCCCATTCGATTGAGAAGACGTTGTTCCTTTCCAGGCCCTCCGTCCTGTATGACTGACAAGGGGAAAACACTGGAAAATTCCAAGGAACTTTCTCAGCGAAGAACGGGATCGAACCGTGGCCCTCTTGATTAGTGAGCCTGGGTCTTACTGTGGGAACTTTAGAAAGTAATAACCTACTATTGGATTCATCCACTTTAATAAATTTTGTTTTAGATAAGACTTTAGTCTGGAACATTATGCCTTTATCGGGAAACGTCTCCAATTAAATTGTGCAATCAAACCAGGCAAATTCAATAACCATTTTACCGATAAGCGATTATAGAAGTAAGGATCAGTGAAGCCCAATATATATTTTATCACCCAATAATACATTCTACAGTAGATATCGCTTGTGTGCAAAATGTTCGTAATCTATCGCTTCACATGAATTTGATTGGTCAGTTAAAAAGGAACTATTTTTTTTTATTTTCAAAGAAAAGTTCATTTTTTATTAAAAGTAAGTTATTTTTTTTAAAAAAAATTAAACAATTTCTATTTAATTGACCTTGATGGAAACACTCGGTCAGTATAAAGGACTTTGCAATGGTTGAATTGCTGTCAAAAAATGATGTATCGCCACGCCTTAATGTAATCAGGTTCCGTAAAATAAAATCTATAGCAAAGAATTATATGTATTTATTTGTGCATGTAAGAAAGGATTGGATGATAAATAAAAACTCCTACCCGTCCTTTTTGATATCAAAAAAGACTCGTATTATAGGAGATTCTCTATATAATTTTGTGTCAACCTGAACTTTTACTTTATAGATCAGAACGTGACTGGTAGTGATGAAGACAAGGGACTGTTAGTCTTGTCTCTGGAAACGAGTAAGTACTTTAAGAGTAGATAAATATCTAGAAACATATAAATAATATTTTCCATACCTAGTACACCTCTAGAAACATATAAATAATATTTTCCATATCGTACACCTCTAGAAACATATAAATAATATTTTCCATATCTAATACACATCTAGAAACATATAAATATTTTACATACCTAGTACACATCTAGAAACAGATAAATAATATTTTTCATATCCAGTACACCTCTAGAAACCAATCAGTATTTAAGAGTACAGATAAATACTATTTTCCGGATCGTCATTTTTAATTTTAAATTCATAATGAATATATTTGAAAAATGTATTTTTCACTTGCAGTTCCTGAAGTTTTAAACTTGGATAGACTATGTCCCGGTGTAAAGAAATGCTATAAAGATTTTAGTGATCTTGGTGGTACTGCATTATATAATAAAGATCTACCCGACTTCTGTAGGTATGATAGCAAACTTTATATAAATGGTGTTCCGTGTCAGCTACTCTGTATTACATTGCCCTTTTCACTGTTAGCTATAGGGAAGAAGGGCGACGTGAACTATAATATATTCTATTACAAGTCAATGTATATAGATAATTAGTTATAATATGACTTCCCTAATAAATCAAAAGTGTGCCCAACCTCTGGGCTATCTCCTACCGATATCATCGGAAATGCAGCAAACCCAGAAAGAAGCCCTTCTATTCTCGCCTTTAGCCTCAAGTGGCTAGTTCTCTTATTCTTTGCACAAAGACAACCCATAGTTTTGATGACTGGTAATTTTACATGTTATTCTCATTTTTTAACAGAGAAACAGAGGTATTTTTATCCTGTTACGAATCCACGGTGTGTAAGTGTGGTCACTCGAATACATCAGATGTTTTACTTAAAATAAAGCACGAGAGAGACACATACAATCAAGTCTGTACAATGGGTAAGTCATTCTATGTTCACAATTCTATATTATATTCTTTATAATCTGATGATATAATCACTAGTAGTAGATTTTACATAATGACTTACTAGTATATTAATTTTACATAATGGCTTACTAGTAAATGGCTTTATTTTACATAATGACTTAAAATGTAAATTTTAGATAATTACTTAATGGTACTTTTTACACGATCACTTACTAGAAGATTTTACATAATCGTTTACTAGTAGATTTTTTTATTATCACAGGTAGATTTTAGATAATCACTTACTAATAGATTATACACAATCATTACTAGTATATTTTACGTAATCACTAGTAGTAGATTTCACATAATTACTTACTAGTAGATTTCACATAATTACTTACTAGTAGATTTACATAATCATTTACTAGTAGATATTACATATAATCGCTAGTAGATTTTACATAAATCACTAATAGGCTTTACATAACCACTAGTAGATTTTACATAATCACTAGTAGCTTTTACTAAATATTATATATTCACGTGTAGATTTTACATAATAACTAATAGATTTTATATTTATTCACGTGTAGATTTTACATAATCATTTACCTGAAAATTTTACATAATCACTAGTAGACTTTACATATTCACTTACTAGCAGATTTTACAAAATCACTGTCTGTTCATCATCTTGTACGTGTACTGCAGAATGACAACTATGTTAAAATATGTAAATTGCCAATAAAGTTTCCCGGCTGTTAGGATGTGTATTTCAGTCAATGGAGGTGTATTTAGTATATATAGGATAAATATATCTTTAAATCGTATTGAAAATATCAAATCGAGACCTATTATTAGTAGGCATGGCCCAGATTTGACATTTTTGCATTTCTTTACAACACTTTAATATTGAACATCCAGGAACTAGACCTCTTTAAGGACAATAATAACATCTGTTAATTTTACTCAACTTCAGTTACATCAAAGAAATATTTAGAAACATCAATCAAGTGTCAGGGTAAGATAATCAAACTCTTTTAATATATATTTTAAACAACTCTGATAAATGTCCATAATGCTTATTCTAAATCCGGTGTATATTTATTTACCTACCTTTTGGTTTCTCTGAAGATAATTTGATAATTGCAACAGCAAGGTATATCCCCTATTTTGTTGATGTCATCGTAACAAGAACTTTCTAAACAGCACCAACATCATATATATTATCAGAGATCGCAATCTGAGGCCTCACTTAGTCCCTTGTAATAAAGGTTTAAAACGATGACTTAGGTCTGCCGAAATATATAATCTATATCTTTTCGGGAATTTGATAACCTAATTTTAAAAAATATTGCTTATCAATTTTTATGTGCTTTTTTTATATGCCGATTGCCGGTTTTTGACACTCGTTCTTATTATTTCCAATATCTTCTCATGAATGACTTGAATGATTTCAACTACCTTTGGTGGATGTTATGCTTGTGCGTTGTTTAATCAGATTTGTTTAAATGTTGTTAATGCTTCATTTGTATTGTCTCTGAATCAAAAGATTTAGTAATAATTGTATAATGTTTATTTATTATACAGTCACTGTTGATAAGCCAGTGGATACATGTCAGTTAACCAACGCATTTCAGCAATGTCAAACTGGATTACAGAAAGCTCAGGAAACTGATAATAAACTTTTCAAATGCTCGTAAGTGTACAAACTTTATTATCATTCTTCATGATAGGTGTTGTGCAAGCATGTCTAGTAAATCTGATATCATTTTCCTTGTGGGAATGAATTTAACATTTAAAACGTATAAATAAAACAAGTATATTTATATTTCCTGTAATGTTTGGTTTCCAGTGCCCCTCTGAACAAAATATGGCACTTACGTCTTGGCTAAAATTGGCATTTCTTTATTTTATGATTAGTCATGTCTGATTACAGCCTATATCGGTTTAAATTTATCCTTTTGTTAATGGCTAAAAAAAGATGTTAACACTATAAAACCATACCTTGTATTTTCAGTGGATATAAATCTTATATAACCTGTATGGAAACACGGGCCTGTGAATGTGGATTACAACAATCATTCAATGTATTAAAGGCTTTAACATTAATTATACAATCTTATCAAGAAGAACAGTGCTCCAAGACAGGTCTGGTTGTTTTATCTTAACGGTTAAAAGTCAAGATCATGGATTACAAATCATAATTTAAATGTATTTTAAATCTATAAATCATTAATACAACTTATTTTGTGAGAGCCACGTCTGTCTATTCAAAAAAATGCATGATGTCTGGCGAAATCTAAGCCCGCTCCTGTCTTTTAAAATCGGAAAACGCCCCTAGACGTTAATGAATCAGAAACTGACCCTCTCGAAATGAAGCAGTACTTGATGTGCCAGTCTTGAGACCAAGTAAACAATGTACTAATAAGGAATTTGCGTGTTCTGTATTCTAACAATTAGTTAAGGAGAGAACGCCACATACCCAGTTGTATTCTAATTGTCCATATCATTTTGTATTTCAGCGAGTGGAATAATCGCCATACCATCAGGAATACAGTGTCCTGGTGAGCTTTATTTTAAATGCTTGCCTTGCTCAATAAAATAATATAGACAATTAATTTACGACCATTCAGAAATATTGCTTGTTGTTTATATAATTATATGATACCCTATCCGATAATGATAAAATCTGGTAAATCATGAACCCGCAACATAAGTCTCTTTGTGTGTTGTGAGTTTGAATACAAAAGTACAATCAAAATTGTGTTCCTGTGTAAACTGTGGGGTTAAATGAGACAATGTATTGGTGCTTAGAGCACAATATCGGGCTTTCTCCCTCCTTCGCATCAAATGTTTTTGTCTTTATTAATAGATGGATCCCCCGAAAAAGGAAATGCATTGGATGAAACGTTGTTATCATTGGGGTTGTTACAAGGTAAAACTATTTATGTCTCTCCGGTTTAAAATTTACTATCTTTCGATAATATATGTACTTATATGGTCTAATTATTTTATTTCAATAATTCGCTTGTGCATAGAGAGATCCAGAGAAAATCCTCAAGGTTGAACGCGCGACTTCTTGGAATGGAAACCACGCCACTTGACTCAAAGGTCATTTGAACATAAACTTTTAAAAATATGGCAATCGAATGATTGTTATTTCGTTTGGTGACGATTAAATTTTATTTATTCATTTTCAATCGTCTGCTTTCTTTAACGTCTTGCTTGGCTTTTTTTATATATTTTTATGTATTACAGATTCGCAAATCCAGGCCTATATAGCAGAATGTCCAGGATTTGGAAAATGTTATGAAGCAGCTGATAATACAACTGCTCGAGCTTTATTTAATAAAGATGCAACAGCTATGTGCAAGTATGTTTTTGGTAACATTTTAATAATCATTTTAAGAGAAACAATGTAATTCGTTTCAGTTCATTCCATTTGATTTTTTTTTTAAAAAATCTTTATATTGTTAGAGGAACGATGTAATTCATTTCAATTATTTTCATTCAAATATTTTAATTTTCTTTATCAAAGATCCCATAGTACGTTTGTTGAATGTTGTATAAAGGCGGTGTGTGAATGTGGTAACTTTAAAGTCTCTGATACTTACAAACAATGGTTGAAAACTGAAATTAACCTTCACCGATCGGATTGTAATCCAGGTATTATTTTTAGATTTTATTTGCATTACGTTATCTGAAACCATTGCTTTTATAAAGTCTCGGAACCAATTTATTTTACGTCCAAAAGGCCATGCTACAGCTATGATCAAAATTGGTTAACCTCTTAATCTGTCAAAATTGTATTATCCAGAGACTAGTTGAATATTTGATATTTATTTGACGGGAATTACGGGAATTAGATTGGTTTCAGTTTATCTTAAAAAATGCCGCAGTTATCAGACGCATCGAGTGTGCGTTCTGTGATGATAACGTTGACCAATAAGTCATGGGTTAAGATGATAATACGATGGCTGACGTTATGCAAAGCCAGCTAGATTCCACGACGGAATTTCCGTTGGCGAATTTAATATTTGACCGATGTACTATACGGCAATGGTGCTTACGGTGTCTGTACCCAACTCTGAAATATGGTATTAACCCCCCCCCCCGAAAACACAATGCTTTACGCTTTAGTGTCATTCTAGTCATGTCCAGATATGCGCCAGAAATCACAAACGCAATTTTCAAAATCTTCTAGCTAAGTGCAATTCGGGCTGTTTTTTCATCCTATTTTTGTATTTTTATTGTGTGTTTGTTTTATATTTTCCAGATACACCGATTGTAACAACAGATGTTTGTAGTACTGGTTTGTATTATTCATATTAATTTATACCAATATGGTTTATTTTTCATGTCTATTTCGTTTACCCATTCTCTTCGGTTTGGCAAACGTTTTGTAGGGATTAAAGAGTACAATAAAATCGTAACAATTAAACAATTGACCCAAGTCCATGTATAAAATAGTAATCCAGCTGACGAAATTCGAAATCTGCCTTGACATTTACTACACTATCCCTATCATTTGTGCTTATTCTGCTTTCCAACATCTGGGGTTTGTGGCCGAATTATCTTTATGTCATATGGTCTGTGATTTGAGTCTGGTTTCGATCAAACACTTATGAGTGAAAAGAGGTAGCTGCACCTCCCTAACCTCGTGGGTTTTCTTTGGGATCTCCTATATTATACCATAACCATGCCTTCATGAAACATATTTGAGCCACGGTGGCTCAGTGAGTAAGGCACTTGCTCACTAACCAGGATGCTCGGGGTTCGATCCCGGTAATGGCTGAGAAAGTTCCCAGGGGTATTCCTGTTCGGTTCCCAATGTCAGTGGTGCAAGGAGGAGGGTCTGACAATGACAGCATCTAGTCGTTCGGATGAGACAATAAGCCGAGATCCCGTTTACACGTCGGCGTATACGTAAAAGAACCTTTGACAGTTGGAATTCAAAATAAGAGTAGGTCGCAGCGCCGCTGAACGGGAAAAGTTTCCTTCATAGCACACTGCGTGGCGTATGCCTGCCTTCAGTCGCTGCAAAACAGTAGGACGTTAAACCCAATTTCATTTCATTTCTTATACATATATTGATTTTTGATTACTCTAATCAGTCGCTGTATACTCTTTGTTTCAGGATGTGGAATGTTAATATCAGCATATGTTTTAATTGTGCAACTCGTCAGTGTAACTCTATATAACTCACTTTAATTGAGTAATGAATAATCTGTATATAAATTTCAATGTGATATCTGTTAATATACCGTTTCTTTCAATATTTCATAGTTTTTGTGATTACTATAAAACTTTGCATTCTTTATAACTCAAGTTGTATTGTTCTGATTTTTTTGTATCTTTTTTTTTACACTGCAATTGCCCTCAAGTTGTTTGCAGTGTACATACCTATATCACAGGGGCATGTATTGTATGATATAATTAGTCCGTCCATCCTCTTTCTTACCATTTTCTTTAAGGCGTCAACACAATACTTGCTGGGCTGAACAGTAATTTCTGTATTACATTACGGTTGACTAACAGCGACTTAACAACAAATCAATTACCACGAAAGAAATTAAACCAAAATGAGCCAGAGCTATAAATATTGTTTTATAAAAATGTATGAGTGACCGCCGTCATAACGTTTATTTAAACAGAAAGTAACAAAACACACCTGAAACGATTTATTGGATTGGCCAGTAAACAACAAGCGTAACTCGTCTTATGCAATGACACACTGATCAGCTCTAGCAGTAAATATTCACGTGGCCGCTACTATAACTGATATGGGTGACATCGCGCGAGTTAATTAGCTCACAAAATATTTTTCTTCTGCAAATTAAATTCTAAAACAAAATAAAGGTGTCTGAAGTATACTGATTCCCCAGTTGTACGTGACAAGGAGTAAGGAGTAGGGTCGCCTGTATCGAACCATATGTTAGTCCCGAAATGACCTAGTCTCTCTCTCTCTCTCTCTCTCGGAAGTATATATTGATAAAAAAATATTCCTAATTTGTGTAAATGGGTATATAAAATAGAACGCAAAGGCGTAAAATGAGTAAGAGATACCAATTCTGCCCGAACCAGTTTGAGTTAAACGCCAGGTGCAAACAGCGCACGTGCTATCGACGCCTTCTGGTATGACGTCACAGGTAACCCTTTACTTTACGTGAACTTAAAGGTCAGTCATCTTGTACAGAGTTAAAAGAAGGCTTTCGCACTACCGCTATGAAACGGGTTGATACATTGAGTGTATTTTTTATCAAATGAAACACCGTGAACACCATTGTAAATCCGGAAACAATCATGACAAATTGAAATAAAATGAAATGGAGTTGAACGTCCTACTGTTCTGCTCCGAACAAATGAACAAATGAAGACGGGTATACGCCATACAGTGTGCTATGAGGGAAATTTTTACCGGATAGCGGCACTACGGCCTACTCTCATATCGAATTCCAACTGTCAAGGGATCTTTTACGTGCACGCCAATGTGTACACGGGACATCGATTTTTTTGTCCCATCCGAACGATTAGACAGCTCTCCTTGTCAGGCCCTCCGTCCTGCATCACTGACAAGGGGGGATCACGCCGGAAAATCTGGATGAACTTTCTCGGCCAATGCAGGGATCGAACACCCGACCTCCAGGCTAGCGAACCAGCGTCTTACCGACTTAGCCACCGTGACCACCAGCAATCTTGACGATTTAATAGCAATATAATAGAATAGCCATCCATGGCCACACCATAACATGTTTTGAGGAAATGAGACTGTACAAAGTTGTTGTGTTCCAAAGTGTCGATCAATCAAATTGCTTATTATTCTCCTTAACCCGAGCAGTTCCCTTCAACAGGAACGCCCATCCTGGAACTCTTTCAACATTTGCAGTTTTCTAAAATATGTGACAGCTACATAGATGTGCGAATCCATTTAAATAGTCCTCTGTTTTTATTCAAAGAGGGGGACAAAAAGGTAACACAAAGATTTGCCAATAATGCCATATAATTGATTGATTTGGATTAAATGTTTTCATTGAATAACGTTGTAAATAATTTTGATCTTTTGAAAATAAAACATTTTTTAAAAATAGACTTTAAAAACTAACATAGAAAGTAAAAATATAGTATTGTCTAAAATAGGTGCCACTATTCTCTCTATATGCCAGTTTTTTGACTAGATCCAGATGCAGATTTAGAACTTGTTTCTGCGCCCTCATCAGATGAATCTGGAGATGGTTTGGTGAACTGTTGATCATCTTTAAAAAAAAAAGAAACGTTATGCTTATAAAGGTCAACGAAAAATGAAATGAAATTAAATGCAAGATTGAACGTTTCATAGTGAGTATGGTCTCCGCGAGCAGTGCTTGGGATAGATAAAAAAAAACAAGAGCGTCGCTAACCCTGCATTATTCGTCCACTTTCCTGCTTTGAAATGGTACTTTTTAGAATGAAGAGAATGAAATATGAAATGGCTGCAATGACTGTAATATGATAAGGGTTTGCCAAATTTACAGACTAAATATTAATTTTAAAAAAGTGGGTGTCGGGGCATGCACCAAAAAAAAGTCGCTGACTTTACGGTATAAGGAATAAATATGCAAAGTTCCAAGACGATCCCTTCAGAACTGCAGTCTGTGGATGATAAATACAAAAATTGGGCGTGGCTCTGCCCTGTGGGTTGGATATGGAACAATGTAAATACAAGTAGGTACCACACTGTTATCGAAATGATTGATAATTATGCTGAATTTGAACAAAATTTGTAAATTATTGCAATCCGTAGAGTATTTACAGACAAAAAATTAACAAAAAAGTGAGTGTGGTACCATACCCCTGGGTTGGGTGGGGCATGCGCCAAAATAAATAGTTGCTATTCTTACAGTATAAGGAATAAATATGCCAAGTTCAAGGATGATTCATTCAGATTTCCAGCCTGTAGACAAAAATTACAAAAATTGGGCGTGACTCTGCCCCTGGGAGTTGGACAGGGACCAATATAAATAGGTACAACCCTATGATGGATTGCTGTTCATAATATCATGTTTATTGTATTCGACAGTTCCCATAGCGGTGTTTTATTTTATTTTTTTAAGCCAAACAGCAAACCTGTCAAACCAAAAGTATTCTTGGAAAGCAAACGGCCGGACTAGCGACTAGAAGTACGGTAACTCTTCAGGATCAAGGGTGGATAATTCGATGATCAGGATCCAAAATCTATCTATCTATCTATCTATCTATCTATCTATATATTTGTGACTGTCGTTTGTCTGTCTGTCTGTCTGTCTGTCTGTCTGTTCGGGGTTGGCGGCTACACTAGGTCTGCCCCAAGTCTGAAATTTGGGGTATAGGGGTAGCTTGGACCGGGGAGTAACATAGGCCAGGTGGCGTTAGTTTACCACTTCCGGTTTCGGAGATATGACTCCCGAGCGAAGTCGGTCTGTTCGGGGTTGGCGGCTACATCTGCCCCGAGTCTGAAATTTAGGATAAAGGGGTAGCCCGGACCGGGGAGTAACATAGGCCAGGTGGCGTTAGTCTACCACTTCCGGTTTCGGAGTTATGACCCCCGAGCGAAGCCGGTCTGTTCGGGGTTGGCAGCTACACTAGGTCTGCCCCGAATCTGGAATTTGGGGTATAGGGGTAGCTCGGACCGGGGAGTAACATAGGCGAGGTGGCGTTAGTCTACCACTTCGGGTTTCGGAGTTATGACCCCCGAGCGAAGCCGGGTATCCTGCTAGTCTGTTAATAATTGCAACCTGTATATCATTTACAGACATTGCAACCTGTATATCAGGTTGGTGTGGCACCGCCCAAAGGGGGGGGGGTTATACATCAAAATCAATAGTTGTCGTCCTTAGGGTATCAGGAATAAATATACCAAGTTCAAAGATAATCCATTCAGAATTGTGGCCTTCGGGCGCTAAACGCAAAAATTGGGCGTGACTCTACCCCTAGGGGTCTGGGTATGCACCAAAAGCAATAGTTGCCGCCCTTAGGCTATAAGAAATACATATGCCAAGTTCAATGCTGTTCCATTCGAATTGCGGCATATGTACTATAAATACAAAAATTGGGCGTGGCTCTGCCCCTAGGGGGTCGGGACATGCACCAAAATCAATAGTGGCTACAATGTGTCAGGCCTATGACCAATGATCATCGGATTTATTAGCGTTGAACTAAGTATACGTCAGATTCAATGTTTGATCGCTTAGACAATGAATGTAACCAACTTAGAGTTAGGTTCTAAGCTTTATTTAGAACTAGCAGAATACCCGGCTTTGCCCGGGGCCTAAATTCGCACGGACCCTAATTCGCCCGATCCTATTTTGATTCATTATAAAAATTGACGTAAAACGGGGTGTTGGATTTCTCTCTTTAAAAAGCTCAGAGTGTATGTAATTACATAATTTGGAGACGTTGATGGCACCATGCATTGTCAACTGTCACATATCCTTAACAGGAACCTGGCAAACCCCTTCGTGAAAAATTCGTGAACCCGCCCCAATACGTGATTTTAAAAAAAAAGTCATGAAAGACTAGAAGTTAAAAATATTTAATACATGTAGTTATAACCTACAGGAATTTTGTCGCTTTTGTCGGGTTTTACCATCTGTGGCAAGAACATTACATTACATCGAGTGATAAAACGGCAGAGGGGAATTGTGCCACGCGTGAACACCTTTTGGAAGGCGATGTTTCCAAATTCAAAACCATAAAATATTTCGTTAATGCAGAAAATTCATTGGAGCATTTAACACGTGTTAAGATATTGACGCCGGACACAGTGATGACGACATTATGTCCATAATAAATATTTAGAAATAAACTTTATAATGGTGTACTTACGGCTTGGGAGTAATCCTTTAAATGTTTTAAAAAGTAATTCACCATATTCCATATCTAAATCTTTAAAATTAGCCGCAGACATTTTAATTAACTGATGGCCATCCACGTCATCAAAAGCTTCCAGTATGGCGTACTTATCATTTCCAGTTATCTTATTTTTCTCCAGTACATACTTTAACCAATCTTGAACCTCGTTCTTTGTCCAATGATCTGGATGGAGTATCGTCCATCGTAACTTTTTATCTCTTGCTGAAATAAAGTCAAACATACTTGTGACGCCTGGAATCTTTATATAAATTAAACTATTAACAATTCTAATACTATTCGATCTGGTGTTTCTTTGGAAATATTCGTTAAATATTTGTAAATATTTTTTTTAAATATTTGTAAATATTTTTTTTAAATATTTGTAAATATTTTTTTTAAATATTTGTAAATATTTTTTAAATATTTGTAAATATTTTTTTAAATATTTGTAAATATTTTTTTTAATATTTGTAAATATATTTTTTAAATATTTTTTTAAATATTTGTAAATATTTTTTTTAAATATTTGTAAATAATTTTTAAATATTCGTAAATATTTTTTTTTTAAATATTTGTAAATAATTTTTAAATATTCGTAAATATTTTTTTTTAAATATTCGTAAATATGTTTTTCAATATTCGTAAATATGTTTTTAAATATTCGTAAATATTTGTTTAAATATACGTAAATATGTCTCTAAATATTCGTAAATATTTCTCTAAATATACAAGTAGATCATTAGATGAGCTGAAAAGCTAAACAACTTTGATTTTGATCGGAAAAATGTGTCGATTATAGTGATAATAATCCTTGCCCTACGGTGTCGATACAGATACACTCGGCGTTGACTTTATCTAGGTACGTACACATGTCCACGAAGATAAATTATCATCCAACAAAACAAATCAACAAAAAAAACACGACCTCGCCAAAGAGGGGGATAAATCTGAAGTGTTTCCATTACATCAAAGTTTAGCGAAAGTTTATGCTCTAGTAAAAATGTTTATCAATACTAGGAAGGGTGTGGGCACTTATAAATGCCAATATAGTCATCAGTTACGAAAATAGAAGTATATGCTTACATCTACTTGTTATTTTTTAATGATTTTGTAATGATAAGCGGAAGAAGGAAGACATGTGTCGTGACATACGTATTATAGATATTCATAGGTATATTAACGCAATCTGTTCATGGACCTGATTAACTATTTACCTTGTACCTGCCGATATGTTTAAATCGACAAGTATATATAATACATGTTGGTGGTTCTATATACAGGCGGCACAACAACCCGATCGTACTTATACGCATGTATATATGAAATAAAAGAAATAAAAAATGTATGTATTATAAGGGAATGCTAAGTGAGCTACGTGACGGGCCCCAAGTTCACAGCCAAGGTTTGTCTACTTTATTACAAATGATCACCAATGAGTACTTTTATTGTTATTATTTATTAAATACGTACTTTCGTAGCAGTAGTAATTGTCCAGTCTACAGTAGATTGCCCAAGCGCGGGCCGGTTGGCTCGAAGCAGACAATATATAGTACTATTTTAATTAAAAGGCTCTTACGCACTCTCCAGCATATAAAAAAAAACGTTGATGAAGTACAACGGGTGAATAGCAAGATCAGTATTTATTTTTATTTACATATACGTGCCTTTCCTACTGTATGTTGTTCCTTGCCTGTATATCCTTTTTATATTTATATTTTTCTATTTTCATATTTGCTTTTATATCTATATTGTAAAGCGCACTGGAGCACCGTACTGTGGAAGTGGCACTATATAGATGCATAATAATAATATATAAGATACATAAATATGGCGCTGTGAAATTAATAGAAAATAGTATCTTAGGTTAAAATTCGCCGATTTGCGTTAGAGGAGTTGGCAAAAAATGATTAGTGTGTGATCAATTAATAATCAGAACACTCAGGTTCCCGCGTACAAACTTGGTGATTTAATGGTATATATGGACCAAAAACATATTCAAACTAATTAATTTATCATAATTTTGCTTCAAATCCTTCTCAAACATTGTAATTGCGAAGGAATGCCCTGCTATTAAAATTCGATCAAACCAGGTCATGTTTACGTCACGTCTTGGGAATCAGAGGAGAATTCATTGCATACATAAGACGATGTTGTCTTCAATCGCTTACTATTTATTACAAATATCGAATCCTAATTCAATTCTCGGATTATCCACTACCCGCGTCTTTTTCCGTCATTTTTATCTCAGAAAGTATTGTACGTCTAACTCTTCATAAAGTTTATCAACTTGTACATCAAGCGCTCAATGTTCGCGTGTGACCTTTGACATCACGCGTGCAGAATGTCCTAATCGTCGGGCTGTTGATTAGGGGAACTCTTACATTTATGTCCTGTATACGCTCCATGAGTGTTTTTCGGGGAATCCAGTATTTTTCTAGTAAGATTGGATATCTCTACTTTCCATATATACCAAAATTGCCATACTTTTATTGGAAATAACCACCCGATAAATACTTTTCTGGGAACCCATCTTTAAAGCGAGAATTTCATATTTTCTAAGAAAGTCAAAACATAATTATTTCTATGTCTTTTGCTCAAATGGTTATCAACTCACCATTATACGATCATAGGCATTATTTCCCACACTTAAAAATCATTGAAACAGGAAATAATAACACAATTACCCCACTTGTTTTCCTATTCCCCCCCATGGAATAGCTATCTTCAAACGTTTGAATTTGAAGTTGAAAATGATATTTTTGTCAATTTTCTCAACTGGCAATAGTGAATTATGGGATTAAGAGGATTATTCTTTAACAAGGCAAGACTGTTTATAGATACCATCTATTTTAAGGCTTTTTTTAAATAAATTTTAAAAATATAACTTAAAAATATGAAATTGTAACTTTAAAGTAAGTTCGAGATCGCAGGCTGTGTTGATAAAGGTGTTTTATAGGACTAAAATTCTTAAACCTGTTTAGCGATTATCATAAGGTCTGTTATTGAGGGGGGGGGGATGGCAGAATGGTTAGCACGTGCGTGCTGTATCATAAGGTCTGTCATTGAGTCAACTGGCGTGGTTTCGAATCCCCGGTTATACGTGACAAGGAGTAGGGACGCCTGCCCAAATTCGTGGGTTTTCTCTGGGTCCCCCGGTTTCCTCCCACTGCTAAAGATCTCTACACGCAAGCGAATTATTGAAAAAAAATTGAACCATATGTTAGTCCCAAAATGACCTAGTTTATGTCGAGTGGACGTTAAACCCCATTTCTCTCCGTACAAAGTTAAACTATACACATTATAACGCCAATGCAAAGTAAAACTCACGCAGTTTCTAAATTATATATATGTCATTTAATGAATAATTATAATGTGTTGAAATGAAACTAGTGCGGCTCTCTGTGACTTTAGGATATAGAAAAATTGGGTGTAAAATTCTGATTAATTCTGTAGTTCTTATAAATGATGACGTCACATCTATTTAATATTTTCTTTTCAATGTATATTTTATTATAATCGCGTGGTCAAGACAGCAGGGTAGCTATCAAGCATTATGTTTCAAGAGAACAAATCGAGCATGTAAACAGTATATTGATTAAATCTAGATGCTGAAACAATTTATGTTTTAATGATGCATAAAATAATTATTTTTACATATTTAACTACAAACAGGATACGTACGTATCCTATACCAAGTCAGATTAGATTTCCTTTATCATATCCTAGAGTCATATATGTTTATAATTATTGTGGGGTTGTCTTATAACAAATCGGTGTGCGTCAAATTATATTCTTTGAATGGCATTTAGTAATTGGAACATAATCAAAAACACACTTTTATGGATAACAATTACTATGGTTTATTTCACTGCGACGTTTCAACAAGGTTTCACAAGTCGTTATCAAGCATATATACAAATAGATAAAAAATGAGAAAGATATGAATATAAATATATGATTAGCTATAACAAGCTATTGATGTAACAAAGGTGCATAATCGTTGGCTTATTGTACAATTAAAAGATGAAACAGGGGATTAACCAAGATTAACAAATATTGAAACCATACACAGTGTACCATAACTGAAACCAGTATATACTAAGATTACTAAATAAACATACAAGAAGATCAAACTGGGGGTTTACAGAATTATATCGAAACCATAATGTTTACATTGATTATAACAGTTAGGAAATATAGAATTTTACGGTTATGTTTTAAAGTTAAGTAATAAGTTGCATATATATATATTTACAAGGTGAATATATATCAAAGGGTTGAATAAAATATAAATAAATAATGATAAATTAAGCAGAAGGCCCTATGATGAAACCTTTTTATAATTATAAATATGAGAGGTATAACATAACATAAAATACTGTGAATAGCTAAATAAATTATAGAAAATAATTGAAACATACAAATTTTACATATTGTTAACAGAGGATTATAAAATGTGAGGGTTGTGGGTATGGAATATACAATGAATTCGGTGTTGGAAAATGCTAGTAGTTAAATATGGTTTTGCATGGGGAATTACTTAGGGGGACTGTGTTACAATTTAATAATGCGGTCATATGCTCTGGGGATATAGACGCCTGGGTCTCGATTCAGTTTCAGTTCATGTCTTCTGATATTGATGGTTTCAATATTTGTTAATCTTGGTTAATCCCCTGTTTCATCTTTTAATTGTACAATAAGCCAACGATTATGCACCTTTGTTACATCAATAGCTTGTTATAGCTAATCATGCTCACTCACCTTGCATTCCATTGGATAGTTCGCACTGATGTTTGTATTTATATTCATATCTTTCTCATTTTTTATCTATTTGTATATATGCTTGATAACGACTTGTGAAACCTTGTTGAAACGTCGCAGTGATATAAACCATAGTAATTGTTATCCATAAAAGTGTGTTTTTGATTTGAGTGAGTCAAATTAACATAATTACGACCGACCTCCATTAAATATTCTCTGATTAGTTCTAAAAAGGAGTATTGCGTTATTTTATCTTTTGTTTTATATTTTGTATATCTTTTGATGAGGGAATTTTGTCGTAAGTTTGTTCATATATACATGTGTGTATTTACATTCTTCTCAACAACAACAAAAACAAATAATAATAATAATTTAATTGAAAATGTAAAAATTCTTAAATTAAAAGTTTAAAAGTGTCAAAATGCATCTCTTTATAAGAAACAAATAATAAATATACCTCTATCCAGGATTATTAATTCCGTTGATAATGAAACAAGATACAGGTGATAACTCTGGCGGCGGTCTATATATTTCAATGGTTAATATATCCGGCTTAATCACTACACGTTTTACGCCTACATGTAACTATAAAATAAAAAATGTTGGAGCATCTGTAATCTGAAATCCTTATCCTGTTCCCCGTAAAAGAAGCATTCATTTTCCCACCTTGCACGTCCATTGGCTGAATTGTCCCCTCCAATCATTATACCGATTTATACGGGAATCCCCTTTGATTTCCATTAACATTCATTTATTGAGCTTCCCCTTAGCTATTTACACATTTAAATATAGAAATTTAAGTTTATTATTATCTTGGGGAGTTATTTCTAAAATATGAAATTGATCACGGAAGTGAAAATATAGAGGATTGTTACATAATTAACAACCGTTTTATCTGATGTATATATATATGTTCCTCGTGCGATTTGTTATAATATCATGTTCGGGTCACACTAAACGCAACCAAATACCCCCAACAGCTTAGTTTTGAAAAAGAATATAACCGTTGACAACAGCTTATCCGAAAGGAAAACTTGGACGTTTACTAAATTGGATAAAGCCTACACCCCAGAAATTTAATCACCATCTGTTCACAAGGAACCGTGAAAGTCGCGGAGCAATGAAAATCAATAGGGCTTGACGCTTGTACACTCATGTTTCACAGCAAAAATGAAAACAATCTGTTAAAAACTATCACGTCACAATAATTTCGACAAAGGGGAGGTACCTCCGGAGCTGAAGGCCGCACAGCATTAATATCGATGGGATTAATCCGTTGAAAAATACAGTCTATATACTGTGGGTATATACAAATATCCACCAAAAGTGTAGCCTATATCGTGTTCACAAGTACATTGTTGGCGGACGGACAGACCGACGAACATGGTGATGACTATATACACCCAAACTACGAGTGGGCGTATAAAAAAGCAATCTCTCCACTAATGTTTCAAATACTGAACTTAGTAAAAGGCCACGACATTTCTTTTCTAATTTACTTTTCAACGTCATAGTGATACTATTTGGATATGATAATTATTGATAGATATAATATTAGACAGACTGTATACTTTAACATCAGGCAACTCATCTTCAATAGAAGGCTTGATCTCGCTTTAACTACGTACATCTTATCAAGTCCTTCACGTAGTACCCTGCATATTGCAGCACTAATTTTGATTGGGTACAAGCCCATTCTGTGAGCCTATCAGATTCCTCGATCGTCGCGAATACCATGTATCGCGCTTTCAAGCTAAAATGTCTACCTGTGATAACCGAGTTGCAAAGTTCAAGGTTCATTCAATGTCAAGGTTTCCGTGGCGGTCGCGATGTCACAACCTCTGATAGAACGCCAGTGCTCACGTGTCTGTAGATAACATAGCTATAAGTTCGGGAATTGTGAAGTAAACAAGCAACGGCCAGATGTTGTGAAACTCGCAGTCGTTCAGGGTTCCCGCCGCTTCGTCAAACATTTTTTCAAGGATATTCAAGGATAAATATCCGTCAAATTCAAGGATTTTCAAGGACATTTTTTAGCCTAAAGTTACAATTTTTCATCTTAAAAATAACCAAAACATTACCAACTATCGTTATAATCTCATATTTAAAAGGAATTGAAGACATATGAAACAAAATTAAGAATCTCAACTGAAATTCAAGGATATTTTCCTATTTCCGCGAAATTCAAGGATATTCAAGACCTTGAAAATGAAATTTTAAATTTAAGGATATTCAAGGATTTTCAAGGACCGCGGGAACCCTGTCGTTGCTTCAGGAACATGCAGGCAACTAAACAACCGTTTACAACTGTAATAACCTTCAATAATCGACATTGTTAGGATGTCAATATTACTACACAATCGACACGGTAAACTTCTACAGGAAATGAGATAATACTGACTACACTGAGAAAAAAGCTTTGATGAAACTATGATATTTAACATAACGTAGTCTATCAATATGTTTACTGTGACAAATTCCACTTTCGAATTGCTATGTGCAAAAATAGTCAAGTCTTTATTTTACACGTTATATTTTATTTTGTGAAATTTGGCGGTCTGGTCTCCTTGTGGTACCCCTTGGTCTACCAGTTCGGGGCGATCATACCTGGTGTTGGTGGCCCAAAAGCGTTGCTGAAGCCTGTTGATGGTCCAAACATTGACCTGGAAGTGATTAAGTGATTGGCAACGGCTTGGACAGTGTGGCCAGCGTCGAGTCTTCCAAGCGCCTGGTTCTTCTGAGCTTTTGTGAGTCGTGGCATGCTGCTGGCGTTGTAGTGTGAATGATTCAACCAGGTATAGGGGGTGCATTTTATAGGGCTGGTCCCGGTGAACAGCGCGTGCAGCATGAGTTACATGAAAATCATGGAGAACACATTACCATCTGTTGCGTTTTTGAGAAGATTTACTGGGTTCAATTCTGTATTTGGGAAGGAGCCTTATTGCTCAGGTAATGTTGGAGATGTGGTCACAAATATACAATAAAAACATTTGGCAAGTTTTATGCAATGCGTCTATTCTGAGTAACATACCAACCTGACGTTTCTTTTGCTGCTTATTATATATAGATCAGTGGATTAAGTAACAAATATTTAATTTGTCGTATTGATATATAGGCCTTATGACCAAATTAATGGCAAATTTGAATACAAGTTATGTTTATTTTATCCGAATTTATTGTCTGTTTTGGTCTAAGGTCGTTTTGTCTATAATCAATATAAACAAGCTAGCGCCACCTATAAACTTAACTAAACTCTCCTGATAGGTCTTTTATTAATCTGATTTAACCCAAGCTGGGGAGATTGTCTGATATTTTGATTCTGTTGTCTTACTCAATTAAAAAATCATTTTCAGTAAATTTTAGCATGAATTGAGCCTGAAAATTGAATATTGTCCGAGAATTACAAATGACGATCAGATTTGTCAATATTGATACTGTTATAAAGCATCATGTATTGATATAGAAATATTGTATGTTTTAATCAGTTATTTGCGGCGAATTACGCGAAGAGTCCAAATTCAATGGCTGGTTATTTCAGTCTTTACAGGTAGTATTCTCCTGTGGGGTATGTTTAGCCTCGTTCATCGAGTCGATTCATTACAAATGGCGCTCGAAAGCATTCTGGCTTGCGATTCGTGTGCCAATTTTAAAATTTTCATTTTGCCTTAAATATTGGATATCAGAAGCCCATTTTTTATGGTAACACAACAACATCAAACCTGACCAATAATATGTCCGGTTTGCAATGTCAAAGACCGTGGATGATGTTGAGTTAGAGACTTGCCTCCTTTAAATTCTTTATCCAAAACACTATAAGGGCTCAATAAGCCAGATAGTTCACATATATTTCAAATTAATTGATCTTACCAGGTTTTCGGCAAAAAGGGTAACTCCGAAAAACGAAGGTTCACCGGACGCTAAATATCAATAGGATTCGTCCTCTCATGATATGTGTGGGCGTTTAAAAATCGATTTAAAAAAATCGACACAGAAGAAAACAATAAATAGAGTTAACTCCCTTATTTCACTTCCTTACCGTACCGGTATCACGACCAGCATTCGATCCTATGACCCATTCGCCATCTATTCCCTTGTTCTGATCATTAATTGAATCAGCTTTAGGGGCCAGTGGAAATGGGCAAAAGATGTTGAATGGAATATTGGCAATATTAGCCTTCTATCGTTTCCTTCACTGTAAATGACATGTCAGCAATATAATATACTCTTCAAAAAAGTAGGGGATATTGAAATGCAAATACCTATGCAGGTTGTGATATGATAAATAGTCATGGACACTTGACATGCTTTAAGAGTATGTTCACAGATGAAGAACTTATCGCCCCAACAGAACCACTGAGCTGCATATGCGACACAGCACCATACACGTGGGAGGGGTTCATTGTCAAATTTGGCACTTTAAGGAAGGGTTGATGAAAACTACCGCTTGCTGGTTTATCCTATCCATGTTTGCTTTCCTATCGATTCTTGGATAAGATTTTCTGTTTAGTGTATCTTTTCTTTAGTGTGTTACGTTTAATTTGATCGGAAGACTGGTTCGTCGACGTCAACGTCAATCAACAACACTGCAAGAATTGGTCATGGCACTTCAAGAGGAGTGGGTCAGATTGCCCCAAATCGTGATTGGACGGTTGATTAGGAGCATGCTACGACGAATTGCTGAATGTCTGAGGATTGGTGGAGCAATTACTCATTATTAAGACAAAAATCAAAAACGTCCATTTTCACTTTTGACAGTGTATCTCTTTGCGAGTGAAATGGGGCCGTCAGATAAGCCGCCCATATGAACTGTTTATGTTCATGTGTAGACAATTGGCCTGTTATTAACATACACTGGTTACCTCTAATAAAAACAGCAGTGCATTTCCGCAGTTTTGTATTGTTTCTAAATATCCCCCACTTTTTTTGAAGAGTATACAACACTGCCTCTATAGGCCTACTATAAAGCACTAACAAACATACTCGGATTAGGAAATCGAGGACCCTAATCTTTAAGTACCTGATGATATGGGAATTTGATTCCCTTGCAAATTACAATAATGTGAAAAGGAAATCTGAAACATAATATGGCTCTATTTTGAAAGTATTTACAAAGACGATCAACTGAAATCTTCGCAGCATTCGACATCCTCAGCAGACAATAAAAAATAAAAAAACACACACAGTGCCAGCTTTAAGGATTGGGTCAAATCTTTTGATAAGGCGCTTTGTAATCAAATATAATCCAAGCCGGGAAATAAATGCATGCCGTTGATATTTCGTTTTCTCTTAATTTGTACATATTTATAATAAATTTGAGAACATAGTGAAGATTTTTTATAAATAGTCTGAAAAATGCAAGTGACGAAGGCGATCAGCAATTGTAAACTAATAAAGCGTGCGTAACTAACGTACGAAAATTAAATGGTACCTAGATGCAGGTAGGGTGGGGCTGTCGTTCAGATTGATAATAAAGGTGTGTAAAGGTTGATTATTTTGGTTGATCTGGATAATATAGGCTATAGCCGAATGGTGGAAACCACTTTTATGTTTATTTTCGATGCATTAATTTTGACAGATTGTAGCCTACTTTATAAAATAGGATCCCGGTGTTGGCCGAGAAAGTTCATATGGATTTTTCGGCGTGGTTTTTCCTTTGTCAGTGGTGAAGGACGAGGGGCCTGTCAAGGACAGTTGTTCGGGAGATGAAAAACCGAGGTCCCGTGTACACATGCACGTAAAAGATCCCTTGGCAGTTTGAATAGTATGCCGCTTCCGGGCAAAATGTCCCTCATAGTTCATAGCACACTGTATATGGCGCATGCCCGTCTTCATTATCTCAGTCGGTGCAGGACAGTAGGACGTTAAACCCCATTGCATTGTAATTTCTGTTTAAAATATCAACAACTTATACATGTATATAGAAGCTGCGTAAGACTGATACGATACACTCATGATACTCATCTGAATTAGTGCACTTCCATGGAAAATATTTTTAATTAAAGATTTAAAGTGTGTTAGAATCAGCAGCAAAGTATTTTTAGACGTATGCCATAATACCCCAACACGGAGAAGGAGCTGCACATTTTTCTCTGAGTCACTGTCACACTGTCAGGCCCGTATAAGCCAGAGTCTGGACAGGTCTAAGGGGGATGGGGGCGCACCCTAGAGGCTGCATGCCGTTTAGAAAGGGTTCCACTACTGCTGTCATCCTACTTGCTCCAGCGGCGGGCATGAAAAGTGTACCTGAAAAGGGGGGGGGGGCACGAATCGAAAACTGTAAAAATACATAAAAACATGTAAAAACTGTAGTCATGACAGATAGTAAATTAGCCTATTTCAAAAACATACAACTGGCAATTCTAACTTGAAATTAAAATTTGCCGCAAAATTATACTTGAACGTATTTGTTCGTGGCTTGTCAAATTAATATGGCTTGTCGATTTGACAAACGATGTATTTTGGTTTGAAAAATAACTTTGTTTCGGACTTAAGATTTCGAGATAATGCTGTCCAATACTGTTGGCATCCCCATGCTACGGGCCTGGTTACTAAACTGACCGTGCCACCAAAACCTTGGAATTTTTGATCTAAATTGTAGTCAAATTGAAATTGTTCGTAAAGTTATTGCTCCGATCATTGAGACTTTCCAAATAAAACACTCTACGTTCTCTCTCGGGATTGCGGTAACTAACTAAGGTCTATAGACGTGTTATTTACCCGCGCATAAAATATTTATGCTCCCCACCCACCGCCAGTCAAAGTAACCATATTTATGCCACTGTTATTTTTTGAATGTTTTCCAAATCGGACTTCAAGCTAGAACGATGATTGGAAAAGTTTTATTTATTTCAGATCGAGTGCCTATATACACCGCATATATGACATAGTATTATATGTTTACAATTTTATATTGACTATAATATAGTCTGTCCATCATTATTAGAAAATCTGATAGTTTCAATAATCTTTCTAGGTAAATTAATTAATTCGCAGCGAATATACTATGACCAAGAACACATAGCCCTAATCAGTGAAGTAAGCCACGCCCATTAAGAGCTTACCTGTACTACGTCATAGCACAGTTGTTTATTTCCTATCAGGGGAGGGCACTGGAACAGCAAAGGTGTGTGAAATACCGTTTCAAACATGGCGGCCACGGGGCCAGGGAATAGACTACCTCCCGATTGGAATTATTCTGTGACGCGAGACGGGAGGATATTTTTCATCAAGTAAGTTTGTTAGATAATGTCAGACACTATTTGTTAGGTTTTCGCATTTATTGCATTTCTATACTGCGAAAATGAGAAGTTATTAACTCGCATATTTGTCATTCTTTTACAGCGAAGTACAGCGTCAAACAACATGGCTTCACCCGTTGACAGGTCACACTGTGCAGACTGGATACGAGAGAGTGAAAGGTATTTGTCATTTTGTAGTTTGTATCTAATGTTATTCAACATATTGAATTACCTTGCATTTTATTTTAGTTTTGGTCAGTTCTTAATACTAGGCTACTACTAGAAGATGGACAGAAAAAATTTGTACCGTAACTTTACGGCGTAACGTAAACAAATTTGGATGTGATTGTCAGTCAATGTTTATGAAACTTTTTAAATTTTCTGTCGTGTCTGCAGGCGCAATCAAAATTGTTATTAACAATACTTTTTAATCTGAAGGGAAGTAGCCTACAGTTAGAAGGCCAGTGTAGTTAGGCAAGCTAAATAAATATTTTTATGTGGAATTTTTTTTTAATAAGATTATAAGTTTTACATGTAGATAAAATATAGGCCTACTTACCTAGTCAATGAAGTTTAAAGTACATTGCATAAATTGGAGTTTATTAATAGGACCATCTTTAATTTATCAAATTCACTTCCAATACAAAAACAATTTAATTTGTAAAGACTTGATACTTTATGTTGTCCTATAATAAAGTTTCAATCTCAAACTGAAAAAAGTTAAAATTTAGCTTTTAAATAACACAAAATAACTAGGAAATCCAAATGCAATGCAAATTCACTGTAGGTTACAGTAAACGGTTTGGGGAGTTTTTTTTGTGGTTTGATTTGAAATAACTTTATCAAGTTGGATGGAAAGAAGCGATAGGGGGAAAATACATGTACAGTGATTTTAATGAAAGAAGACGGGTTGTCTGTTTATATCTTTTTGACTTTCGAAAATGTTTATCACATCTATATCATGTAAATATAATGACAAACCATAGTGCAGTGTCAGTTCTTGTATTCTGACTTGAATGATCTTTGATACTGTACCTGTACATATTCTTATCCTTAGGCAATTAAATAGGACAATCTGGGATTGGTAGATTTATGTTGAACAATGAGTGACAACCCAACGAACCGTTGGTCATGATTGCAGATATTAGGCTTGAAGTGAAACTATTGTCTCTCTCTTTATAGTGTCATAATGGATTATATAATGAAAAGGCGTATTTATATAGTTGATACTATAACCAGCTTAACCTGTCGTACATGATAGATTATATTTACACTTCCTAACATAGATTTTTACACTTTCTTTAATGATAACATTTCACCTTTTTAATCCTAGGAGTAGGACTCCTATGATAATATACTATTCAAAAAAAGTAGGGGATATTTGATTTTTAAGTGTTATTAAAGTCACCTAATGAAACTGACGAAGAAACAAATGACAAAATGAAATGAAGTTCACATTCATCGATTTATTCCAAATGATCGTTAGACTAAGTAAGGCACAGACTGACCATTATAAGGGTAAAATGATACCCGGGTCAAACAGCAAAGTTACCACAGCATCACAACCAAGTCAGTAACAGGTAAATCCTCCTCTGTTTGCCAAACAAGCATTGATCCGACGTGGCATACTCCTAATGAGACGTCTAAGGTCATTTTGGTCCAGATTGTCCCATTCCTGTTGCAACGCAGCAGCAAGTTCTTGGACATTGGCAGGACGTTGTTGACATTGACGTAACCTCTGTCCAAGCATGTCCCAGACATGCTCGATGGGGGAGAGGTCGGGACTCAGTGCTGGCCAAGGTAATGTGGTGATGTTCTGTTGTTGGAGGTAACCTGTAACGATCCTGGCCCTGTGACATCTTGCGTTGTCATCCTGGAAGATGAAACGGCGGCCATGACGTCGTGCGAACGGCACAACATGGACTGCCAAGATGTTGTCCCGGTAGTACTGGCCTGTAACACGCCCTGCAACAACATGTAAAGCCGTTCTTCCAGCAACAGTGATGCCTCCCCACACCATAACAGAACCACCCCCAAATTGATCATGTCTGATGACGTTAACGTCTTGGAAGCGCTCGTTTCGACGATGCCACACCCTCCTACGTCTGTCCAAAAAATCAACAGTGAACCTTGACTCATCTGAAAACATCACATTGCTCCAGCATCGATTATCCCAGTGTTGACGATCCCTACACCAACGACGTCTTGCCTGAATGTGATGATCTCTCAAACAAGGGATCACGCGAGGACGTCGGGCGCGAAGGTGACCCCTATGTAGTCGATTCCGAATCGTCTGGCCACTTACTCTCACACCAGTGTCTGTTTGAAGACGAGCGCTGATCTGATTTGCTGTGATGACACAATTTCTCAAGGCCAAGGTACGGATAAATCGATCCTGGGCTTGAGTTGTCACCCTTGGTCGACCTGAGCGTGGTCTGTCCTGTACAGATTGTGTATCACGGTATCTGGACCATAGCCAGCTTATGACAGACTGAGAAACATTCATCGTCCGCGCCACAACCGCCTGTGTTGTGCCGATCTGTAGCATGCCAAGGGCACGTAACCTTTCATTTTGGGTAAGCCGACGCATATCAAAATTTGTTTTCTGGTCACTAAAACAATTAAACTGATGTTTCCACCCTGGAATTCAATGCCACAATGACTGTAACATTCAAAGTCAGAGTCGTGCAAATCTTGGGTTGGACCCCCATGATGATCCCAAGCATCACCTGCATTCCATGCGGTAGCTATTGGTGCGTTTGGGCGTCACATGTAACTGGAAATGTTTCTTCTGTTAGGTTCTATAGTGACTTTTTTCGTAGTCATTTGCATATTTTAGTATTATGCCCCCAAAATCAAATATCCCCTACTTTTTTTGAATAGTATATATCTTATTAGTACCATATTAAGGTTTTAACAATCACACTGCATGTACATGTATTCCTACATGTAATTTCATGGGAGTCTAGTATGGTACATCATGTGTACCTATTGTTTTGATGTATAAGTTCTTTGATTATTCCATAATGTAGATCTGCTGTAGTGCCAAAAGTACAGGGGCAGTGGGGAGTAAATGTCTAACCATTCCAGGTGAAATGAAATATGATTTAGCGTTCTACATGTACATGTACTTTTCTGCACTAAATGAAGACAGGCATTCAGTGTGCTGTGAGGGAAATTTGACTGGGCACATCATTTCCACCTATTCTTCATCAAATTCCAATTGTCAAAGGTTCTTTTATTTGTCAGCATATACATGTACACAGGTCCTCAGTTTTTTATACCATTTAAATGGCTAAACTCTTTTCCTGCACCATTGTCCAACACTGGGATTGAACCCATGGCATCCTGGTTAATAAGACAGCACTGAGCCACTGTCACTACATAAACTAATATTTGAATCTAGATATGCATGTAGTAAATCTGAAACAACTGCTGTAAATTTGAAATGCTTGTTATATGATACATGTAGGTGTATTGTACATCTGAATAGTGAAATGCTAGAATTGGTTCCTCTACCAAACCCGTCAGAACGAAATTCATATGGGGAGAGGACATTTTTTAATCTAAAAACCACATATTTGCAATTCCCTTCCTTATCAGTTCCAACATACATGTACCTGACTTCTGTTGCATGTAACTTTTGTCTTTGATTCCTGCCACAGTTCTAAGGACTTCTTTTAAGCAGATATTGTAAAATGATTTCCAATGTACATTGAAATAATTTGTGAAATCTTGCCATATAATTTTCTGACTACTCTTGATTTTAAGTTAGTAACATCATTGTTACTTTTGTACTCGAAATTAATGTAAAATGCATTACCACAAAGAGAAACTGTTTGGTGACAGTTTTAATGCTTTGTATGAATGTACCAGTTGTGGTGGTGACCACAGCGACACTACAATATTGCAGCTAGTGAAATGCATATTACAACTCGGGTATACATCTATGAATATGTCCATGCAGATAAAAATATATAACATTTTTACATATATACATGTATTAGCTTGCATATAGCCTGTATAATACAGTGTATAAAAAATATGAAAAATGTAGGGAAGTGTTACTTTTAAAATCTGATAAAGAATGCAGTCAGTGAATAAACAAAATAATGTTCTGGATTTTTGTATTATGCAAAGAGGCTCTAAAATTTGTTATGCATGTTAATATTGTAGGACATTACTACAGTATAAGATTTATAAATGTGACCATTTTATGCTTTTTTAAAACATGATTTATTGTGGTACAATGTACATTGTTACTAAAGTTATTAAACTATTATAGTGTTTCTCAGAATCTGATATAACCCAGTCATTCAATCGTGTTGATTTCTGGTATGGATATTATTATAATGTATTATTAATATATACCCAATTGAATATAAAAAGTTTGATTTTATTAATTTTTTTCATATCGATTGTTTGAATGTACATGTACTGAGTATGGATTATCACACTTCAATCATACTTAATTGTTGGCATAGAAATTATCTATACTTTCCTGACAGTAGGTCTATGTGGTAGTACTCACAGTAATATCATATTTTTTATCATTGATTATTAGATGTCTATTAATTGGACGTGTTTTTGGTCTCCTATGAAAGAATTACAAATATTAAAAGAGGCAAGTCTTTAACTCAATATCATCCACAGTCTTCGACACTGCAAACAAGATTTAAATCAACATTGATGTTGTTATCTTACCGTGGAAAGACAGGCTTCTGATATCCAATATTTAAGACAAAATGAAAATTTTAAAATTGGCACACAAATCGTGTGACAGAATGCTACCGGTGTAGACTGGAATAACCAGACGTCAAAGACTGTCATTCAATTTAGGATCTTCGCGTATTTCGCCGAACATAACTGATTAGACATTACAGTAAAAACAGAAACAATTGAATGTAAACCAGTTATAGACATTCATATTACATTAATTATTATATGCATTGCATCCCATTTGTGTCCATTTCTAGGTGCCAAAGAATAGAGATTTAGCTCCTTTAATTCTGTGAAATAAACAAATGTTCAAAAACAAAATGTAAAAGAAAATATTAATTTGAAAGATGTACATGTATAGTTCATGCATGTATATTCTGGAAATGTGAAAATGTTTCAAAAGCATTCCAAAGCATTAATTATCATTTAATTTGAATCTGTTTCAAATAGTAAAATCAACATTTGATGTCACCACTAAAATCTGGTTAAAGGTTGCTAAAAAATTGTGTTCCACATTGGTACATGTACATTGTACATGCAATTGAAAAGGTTAAAATAAATGTGTGTTAATAACATAACAGTTATGTGAACTAATCTAAAAGAAATACAGGTACAATAGCATTTAGCCATTCAGATTTTCATTTTCATTCGTGAATGCAATTTACTTAAAATGTTAAAGGCACAAAACATTCATCATGTTTCTGACCAGTACATGTACCTATAATTTTCAATAGAGCTACAGCAAATGGTTCATGTAGGTGTACATATAAGCCTTAGAAGTAATTTGTGCAAATGGCCCAGTTATTTTGGATACTATCCTCACAGTTGTGAAAAATATTCTTTCAAGACACCTTACAGTTCACAAAAATTACACCTCACACTGACAAACAAATTATTCCTTCCAATTTAAGTTTTAGTAGCCTACATAACTGTTATGACATTTGAAAATTGCAATGTTTCTTCAAAAGAATATGGTTGTCGCTTGAGGCATAGAGCTTTATTCTTACACATGTATAATTTTCGATGTAGGTTTTAATACATGTCTTGATTACAATTTTACGATTAAAAATAATTTCTTATTTGTATAGTTATGTATAATTTTACTTCTTTCTTTCCCACTGGGCTACATCAATCTACAATGAATTTTTAATGCTAATCTGTAAAAACTATGTAGCCTACATTGATAAAAAGGAATAATAAGATAAAATTAATTAGTAAAGAACAATTTCATTGTTTATATGGAAAGTTTTATCTAGTTAACATTAAACATTTGTCAAGATAAATCTGTTAAGTGGCCACTCTCCAACCTCTTCAGTGGGACCAACCAATAAATACCAAGATTTTTATTTGTGAACCTAGAGACAATAGGTTTTAGCATGGTGATATAAATCTGTTAAATCTTAGGTATCCAAAAGTCATGTACTAGTAGAAAGTAAACATGGGTTTATATACAGCGTCTTCCGCCCTTTCTTACCACTTAAAGCACCTTTAATTACTAACCAAATGTCGGTCTGCTAAGTGTTAACCTTTTACATTCCTCACAAATTGTTCAGTAGTGACGAGATACTAGGAATTACAAGGGTGTTTCTGAAAAGTTTCTTTTATCAGTAGTAATTATTCTTCAGAAAGGAAATTGTTTGTATGCATACATGCATGTACATGTATATGGTCTAATGCACTGTAAGATTATACAACTGTAACTAGTTCAGAGCTGTTAACCAGGAAACTATTAATACGGTCTGAAACCTTTTCTCACATGTTTTAAATGGTAGTTATTTGTGATCAGTGAAGAGTAATTTTTTTTTTAAATCATTGATGATTAAGAATTTTAATTTCCCCATTTTGTCTTTGGTATCTTTAAAGAAAACTGTCTGTTTTTGTCCCAAAATGGCCTGGCATTCATTATACATCTCAAGGCATCATGCATCATTTTGACTTCATTACTTTCAAAGACTGCTGTCTGTTCTTAACCCAAATTGGCATTTATCATATTTTGAAAAAGAGCTCTTCACACACAGTAACTTCAAATCTTGATACACATTTGTTCAATAATTGATGTCAATCACAGAAAATTTTTCAAACTGTACTTTCAATTTTTAAAGGGTGTTTTGTTACTAATAATTTGTTGTTTTCTTAATAATAATAATCAAAAATGAAAAGCCTTTAAAATCTATTTCTTATAGTTTAGAACACCAGATATATACATGTATGTAACTGGGGTCTTATGTGGGGTGTAAGGTGTCTTGTTCTTTAACCTGTAATTGAACTTCCACTCACCTGTACTGTAGATATAAAATATAATATTGGTGTGGTATATAAATACACCAACAGTAGGTACATATACATGCAATAAGTTAATATATTATATCAAAGACCATCATTTTTTTACACATTAGTCAAATTACCACATAATCTTATTATACATTGATGCATTTCAGCAGGATTGTAATGTTGTGTTTAGAATTCATTTCTGTTTAGGATTATACTGTAAATAACAGAAGCTGAAATTTTGAAAAAAGAGTTATTGGGGGGGGGGGGGCATGGTTATTGTAATACATACCATAGACTGAAATCAGCTAGTAATTTGGCATAATAAAACTCTGGATGCACATCTAACCTTTAATTTATATACATGTACATTTTCATGATTTAAATGTATTTTTCCAGTTTGTACTATTGTACAACATACCCATACATTTACATGTAAATGAATTGTGCTGGAATTTTTTACATGTACATTTTCAGATGTTTTCAAGAATATTGCTGGTTTTTGGAAGAAACTTTAGATGCCCATGACTCAGGATTGATCATTTTGTATGATTCTTAGCCTAATGTATGCTTTTTGAATGAAAACTGCATTCTATTGTGTATAGCCTGAATGTCTGTCTATTTTGCCTTATGGTCTGGAATATTGTGGCTTTAACGGAGGATGAACATTTATGGCATTTAATAATTACTGGTAGTTGATTTGGATGGGTAAAAAATCTAAATGGATTTTGCAGAATTTTATGACCATGGTCTTCTCTCTCTGTATCTATAAATTCTAAGATACTGACAACAAAGCTTGTATATTTAACTGTGTTTATAAATTAAATATTGGTTTATTGACAGACAGACTCCTGGGCTATGTTTAATTTCTTCTTTTGACAATAGATAGTTTGATACACATTCAATAAACACACAAATAAAACAATTTATCACCTGTAGACATAAAACAATTGATGTACCTAGGTAAATATATCTTCAGGTAAATAGCTTAACTATCTCATTTGTCTAATTTGTTTATTGATTTAATTGATCAGGTTTAGTGAAAGTGTAGTCATTTGAGTACGCTATGAATAGTTTCATGTAAGAAGGGAAATGAATTAATGAAATTTTGATGAAATCAATTTAATAGACTTATATATAATTGTACATGCATATAGAATTTACCTAAAGACGTGTAAAATTGATTGAGTTGATGTAATAGTCTTATATGGTTACGTAACAACATTAACGAATCAAAATTGAGATTTTATGTAAGGTTATGTTTGAATTGATTGCTGTATTCAAAATAGTGCTGTTACATGTATCTCCACTGCATGAATAACAAAGTCACTTATATTTTAAAAATGCAAATTCTAAAAAATGGATTTGAATTTATTTCCCATCAATCAGGAAAAATTAGCCATAAAATCATAAATGCAAACATGATCTGAAATAGACACCAACATATATGTGTGACAAATTTCCGTCATTGAGCTTGAGGTAATTTTATCGTTTAAATGGCTGTACATTGAAAGTTTGCATGTCTTGTTGATTGTAATTCCTTTGCCAACACAGATATTTTTTTGGTATTTAATGTACATGTAATAAAAGGTTCTGTACGTGTGGTCTTTACCATTCCGGTCTCTATTGTCTCCATCACTTCACCTGCAACCACTATAGTTTGGGCTAAACAGCAGGTACATGCAATTAGTCGGCTGTCACGTATACAGTTCTTGCAATGACTTATCGGAACTCAGTCCACCAATTAACAATACATTCTGCATATTACCATAACAAGTTTTTCTTCTTGACGAATCGTAAGACATACATGTACTGGAATCTCAGTATGACCTTTGACACTGTGTAAAAATTTAGCACTATTTTTTCCAGACTATATTTGTTGTATGGGAAGCGAATACAATATGCGGTATTGATCGAAATACTAGATGTGAAATTTTCTCTCACTTAATTTCCATGTCCTTGACTGTGTTCATAAAACAATAGGCCTACTAATGTTTATTATCCTAGTCAGTCTTATTTCTGGCTATTGTTCGACTAAGGATAAAAAACAATAAGATATTGTTTTGTTTTTTATAGAGTACCATATTGACAACTCAACATTAGAGTCTGTGTGAAATCAATGAATAATTAATAGTATAGAATACAATGTTTATAAACCTCTCATGTATGTAATCTATCAATCAATGTTTACTTTGTATATAAAAATGGTTATACTGATTGATATATAACAACTTTATTATAGTATATCACAAATATCAATAATTGTTTTGTTGAAATATATTCACTGGTATATATTTTTTAAATTGGTGCACTTTAAAGTTAACTTTGGGTTAACTCCTTGTTCATTGAAACCCACTAGTCGTTATCATTCGTTATATAGTTGATTTGCTTTGTGGGATGAAAATCCATCTTAGATGAAGATTTTAGTCTATAGACAAAGCCAGTATATTATTTATATATTTTTGGGTTCTACTGTGGTTGGAGTAAGCCAAAAATGAAGCACACATGAAAAAATAATTACTATGACTCAAATGATTTATTTTGAATATATGTTCCCTTAGAGGTCAAACTGTTGAGATATTGAAAGCCAGTTTTTATCTAAATATCCAAATTCGTATTTTCATGAAACTGGTTTTCTCATTCAATAAAGACAAGTAGGGCATTGTTGCATAGAATGTGCTTCATTTCTGATTTATTGTTTTTGATATGTGTGTGTAAAATACATGTATTTTACCTCGGTTGGGAGAAAGGCTACTACTTCATCAAACTATCATATTACTGGGGCAGAAGCCACAATGACTCACTAATAAGGTGCTAGCTCATTAATCCATGGCACTTAGAACTTTATGAAGAGTATATGGAAATACTGCTGTTAAGGCGAAATTTCCCTCATTGGACAATGCATGGTGTATATCTTCATTTGCCTGGTTGGTGCAGAAAAAGTATGAAGTTAAACCCCTCTTCATTTCATCCTACTACTCAAATTACAGCTTAGTGGGCTGACTTCACATTCTACAGTATCTAACTAATCTTGAAATCTGGACTTATCATCTTTTTTCACCTTGAACATTTTACGTGTTCATCTACATGTATAGTTAAACATACTATTAAAACTGTCATCATAGTAAGCATAATATATTGAATATTACAGGTTTACCTATGGGCTGGGAACATGGTTATACACCTGATGGAGACTTATATTTTATCAAGTAAGTATAAAAATCAAAATTAATATATTCATTGAGTCCAGTAATTTCCTTATAAGGACAATTCTGACAATAATTTAACTGTGAGCTCTTCCACACATATACCTACAATAGTGAATATTGGGGGCATTGTCTCTTATTAGATTGTTATACAGATACAATGTATGTACATGTGTGTAGCTACTGTAACCTACGCAAATTCAAATTAGATTTTAAAATGTCATATTATAATGTATTCATAAACATGACATACACGGTCATTAGCTGTCTTCATACAAGATATTTACATCTAACATGTCATGTCGGCATATATATGTCTAGTTATTTTAACTGGTAATTAAATGGTAAAGTCATGTCACAAAGACGCCATATAATATAATGAATGATGGACACACAGGTCTATTATTTAGTTATATTAAATACTAATAACTGTATTTATAGTTAGTTACTTGTGCATGAAATGTATTACCTGTAATCTTCTTCTTATCTATAGTTGTTACAACTTTAAAGGGATTGAATTTTTGTGAAATATGAAATTTGGTATGCACCAAAATGTTCTATTGATGTGGGTGTGTCTTGTTTATTGTGGTAGATTGCCTGGCAAGGAACAGTGTCTAGTCCTTTGGATGGGACAAAAAGCAAAGTCCCTGTTTATACCTTGGCATGCCATAGCACACACCATGTCTATCTTTCTTGGCACTGTTATAGCAGAAAAGAAGGGCATTGAACTCGATTTCATTCATTTTTTGGGGCCGTTAGTGTTGTTTTTGACTATTAAGTACTGACATGTGCATGTACTTGATCCCTATAAATACTAGTAGGCCGACATTGTAGAGAGATATAAAGACCTACCTGCATATTAAATGTACTCTGATACAATCTTACAATATATTTATTTGTATTTTGGGTCACGCCTGATTGAATGTGTTCATATTAATGCAGCTATTTACATGACAGGTTAAATTGTAATTTGTAAGATTTATTACAATAGAACTTTGTAACCTATATAAACATCATGTCTTTGGAAATTCAGTTTATACATGCAGGTCATGTACATAAGTGATTAAATTATTCAAATTAAATTCATACCATGGAAGTAAATGAGTAAGTGAATTTTGTCAAATTTAGTTTATAACTTTGTTTAGTAAGAGAGAATTTATCCTAATTTCTCAGTCCTCATTATTAGTCAGAGTATGATGAATCAATGTCATAAATATTAAAGCAACCATAGTTATTCAAACTATTTCATTGAACACAGTGTATTATGGTCACGTTTCACTGATTCATTCAGTCTCAACACCTTCCTTCACCTTTTTATTGATATTTAATCTTTATTATCATAATTGAACTCTTACTTTTTTCAGTCATAATGATCACAAAACAACCTTTGAACATCCAGTGACTGGTAGTGTGTCCAATAAAAAGCTGACCTTCAGGGATTATGGCTAGTAAGTTGATAGTCAATAAAGGTCTATTTGTTGTTGTTTAGGATAATGCTGAAATTCTCTATATATTTATTGATTATTTATTGAAGAGTTTTTGATCTTTCCCTTTTATTTGAATACTAATCTCTCTATATACATATTATCATCTGAGAGATTTAGTTGATTTTCCATTAGTTTACATGTACATGTATTTATATCATTGAATTGTATTTACAGCAGTCTAATTGCAATAACATGTATCTCATTTCTCTGTTTCCCTCTCACCCCAGTGCAATTTGTAAAGGCATACATTTTGTAGATTGGGTGACTATGTGTTGCTGGCACATGTTTCATGCACTGTAATTGGTACAGCCTGTCATCTATGCCAGTGTCGAGAGCATTATCTGTTTAACCCTTTTGAGTATACTCTGGTATAAATAAAGGAGCCAAAATAGCGATATCTCTCCTCATCAAGAGATGTTAATTTCAGAAAATAAGACATTAAGTCATACACCATCCATCTTGACTTAGTAAAGTCCTGGATAGTACTATCTAGAATAGTCATCTGTTTTTATTACATGACCCCTAAAATTTTATATAGTTATAATACAGAGACATTTATGATCTGCTTTGACCAGAAAGAAATGCTCTTCTCTGAAAAGTATACAATGAAATGAGAATACATAAACTTTAAAGAGACACACATAGGTGTTGGAAATACATCCAATGTATCCTGCAGCCTTTTACTTATATTTGATTGAGAAATATTGTACTGTATAGTTTAATTAATGGAGAGCAATTATGATCACAGGGTGCATTATTAATCCAAACATTGAGACACTCTTATTCTCAACCTGATCACTAATATTTTTGAGAACCTTAATTTTCACAGTTTGTATTTTAGGTGTAAGAATACTACATAATCAATGAATTGTAGCATGATAAAATGTACTATTTAGTGGTATACTTGCTCAAGACCCTTTAAAGCTGCTGTTTATCATTTGTATTTGGCAGAAAATATCTAATGTTTCATATTGATTATTTAACATTTAATTAGAAAAACCAAAGCAAAATATCAACTGTAGAAAATCTGATATAATTTGATATAAGGAGACTCATAGCCATGTAAATCTATATGTATATGATGTAGACTGTGATGAAGTTATAGTATTACATTGATGTAATTGAATGTTGATAGAATGTGTCATCACTATTAGTTTTATAATAGAACAGGTGTAAAAACAATATATCGGACAGTTACATGTACATGTTGTCTTATTACATACTTATATGTTTAATATGTACTATGTAAATATTCAGTTTCAAAAATAGGAAAATATTATCATTTATATAGAAATTATTATCTTTGAGATAAAACATTTAACATCTGAAGTATTTGAACTCCGTTTATGTTGATATCAAATATAAGTTTTAAAATAATTTCAGTCCTGCACCTGAAGCAGCAGCAGATGATAAATCACCAAAACCAAATAGTAAATCAAGGTAGGTGTTAATTAGGATGTTAAAACTCATTTCATGACGGGTGGAATGATTGAATCTAGTACATTAGTGGTCACTGCAGTTTTCTTATTTCAATATTCTAAGTCATTATTAGAATGCTTTCAGATATCCATTTCAATTCCTATGTTCAATTGTTTCGGTTCATTTTTAAACAACAAGAGATTGTGAATCTTTTAAATCAATTTAATTTTTTTGGGACACAATTCCATTTAGTTTTAACATGTATTCTAAACTGCTGTACTTTGATCGCAATGAACCAACATTACTGTTTATCTTAATCTAAATTTAACTGAATACAAAATTGAATGTTATTTGATTCGTGTGGGTACTGGTGTACTAAAATTAGGTTAGGGTTACATACATGTATCAAACCTTGATTTTTTAAAAACATTTTGGCTGTACACTTTGTTTATTTTAGTTACATATATTATATATAAATAAATAAATAAAATATATTTGTATTTAGGAATATCAAGCTACAGGTTCCAGCTGCTAAGAGAAGTCCTGATGCTCAAGTTACTAGAAAAGGCTGGTTACATAGATATGTAAGTGTTTATAACAATAACAATAAGTTTGTTTTGCTAAGGAATAATTTTATGGTTAATCTGATTGTCATTATAACTATACACCATACAGGTATATATATATATGTTTCCTAATTCATATAAATGCATTCCATTAGATCATAAGGTCTGTCATTGAGTCAAGTGGTATGGTTTTGATTCCTTGCTTTTACGGTCACCTGTCTAACCTCATGGGTTTTCTCTGGGCTCTCCTGTTCTTCCCACAACTAAAGAACTTCACAAAAGAATCAAGGGCCCTACAGGATCTGTAGATCTCATTTCAGATTAAAAGTCTCATAGTCTTTCAACAAATCTTTCTGTTCATGTTTCAGGAAAGTAGTGGTATTGGTAAGAAAACTTGGAGGAAACGCTGGTGTGTTTTAGCAGAATATGCTCTCTTCTTTTATAAAGGTAAATACCATATACGATATGTTGTGAAAACTTAACTAATATTGTTATTGTCATGTGCCTCAATTATTAATCCAAAATTATTTTGTAATAATAATTATTAAATTTGTGAAAAAAAGGAAATGAAGTTTCTTTGTTTACTGTGATTTTGTATACACTACGGTAGAGAAAATGTTTATGTAGGCAGTGTTAAATGTATATACTTGAAAACAGTGATCTTTTTAATCAAGCTTTTCTTGTGAGTTGTGATAGAGTAACATAAACGAATTCTATGATTTTATTGTATGATTTATTTTTCAGATGAAAAAGAAAAACATTCTTTAGGTTCTATTTTATTACCAAGCTACAGAATTAATAATTGTGATTCATCAGATGTAGTCAATAAAGCTTTTGCTTTTAAGGTTAGTAAATCTATTATTTTACATTAATTGTTCTTGCTATACATGAAGATAATTCAAAATCATTTAAATATGTGAAGAATAAACATACATATGTACATGTTGTTTCGTTATGTAGATTTTTTTAGTAATATTGAATGCTATTGAAATTGAAAGGATCATGAGCGAATGTAATGCTCTCTCTTCTACATAGATATTTCAGAGAAGGTGTATCCTATTTAAGGCAGTTTAATCATATTTTAGAAACGTTTAATTTTAAAAGTAAATTTCTTCCTTGTGGATTTGTTTTGCTTTAGCATAAATGCAAGTAAAATGAAATGCTTTCTGAACAGGAATTGTAGCCCTGCGGTACTTGTATTTCCCTTTTAGTTAACTCTCCATTTTCCACATAAATTTCCAATTGACAATATTTTGGAAACTTTACGTTCTAACAAAGCAGATTTTCATAGTTTGTGAATTGAGAATTAAGAATTTCAATAGATTGTTATAAGATTGAATTGACATCTTTGTTAGATCTCGATTCTTTCATACCTGTGTTTATAAAATGCTGAAAGATGGTTTGTGAGAGATTTACTGAATTATTTTAGATTGAACATGAGAATACTAAGACATGTTATTTAGCAGCTGATTCTATAGATGAACTCAATATCTGGGTTAGAAGTGTTCAAGAAGCAGCCATGTTGAAGGGCTCTCCTACGTAAGTAGACATGGAAATTTGCAAACATACATTGATATTTATAAATTTTAGATATCATTGATATTTACAAATGTTAGATATTATTGATATTTACAAATGTTAGATATCATTGATATTTACAAATTTTAGATATCATTAATATTTACAAATTTATACATCATTGATATTTACAAATTTATACATCTTTGATATTTACAAATTTATACATCTTTGATATTTACAAATTTATACATCATTGATATTTACAAATTCAAATTTTATATATTGGAAGATAACAGCAGTTCATTCATTTTATGGACATTTCGATTTATTATTAAGATGTTATGCTTAGATTAACTAAAATATTTTTAGAATAGTTAAATATTTTTCTTTTACATTATTGCAGTCTTCAGCAATGTCCTACAGAGCACTTAACAATAGTTTTAAACTTATTTTTTTGAACTGATGTAAAAACTTTTTAACAACTGAGGATATAATTTGACTTGAATTTGATGATGTTTCTTTCCTTTTTGTTTTACAGATTCCACAGAGAACCAAATAATAATTTTACAAATTTTAGCAAGCTCAATAACATGAAACTCATTCCTAAATCACCAATAATAGTACAACATGATGACTCCGATGATGAAGTACCTTTCTTTACAAAGCTTTCAGAATGGGAGAAGTCGTGGAAAAGTCCAGGTTCATATAGAAAAGCAGATGAGGACTTGAGTCCTCCACAACTTCGCAGGGAAAAACAACCAAATGGAAATCACGGACCTTATCCTGATGATGGTTATGGGGAATATACACAGATTCATCCAGAATCTAGGGATAATAATGGCAGTAATCCTAATTTTGACACTAGAAGTGGACCAAATGATCCAAAGAGTTTGCCTCGAGATGATCCCAGACAAAGATTCTCTGGAAGTGATGGCAGCTCTCCTCAAGGTGGGGGACTGCAAAGATGGCATAATGAGCCGCCTCAAAATTTGGGTAGTAATCGTAGCATCGATCCTAGATATCAGTCTATTGCATCCAACAGAAGTGATGCCAGACAGCAGAGAGCTCCAGACCAATATGGCCATAATGAATCTCAAAATCATAATAATGGTAGAGGAAGCTCAAGAGGTGACCCTAGAAACAGTGGATCAATCCCACAGAATATACAAATGTCACGAGAACAACAAAGAATGTCTTATGATGGTGCTTATTCTCCAAAAAGAGCAGAAAATCAACGAGAGGCGGCAAATAGAAAAGATTACCCTGGACGTTTCATTGATACTGCTTATCATCCATCCTTACAAAACATTCCAGGTCCTACTCAAAAACCTTCTGATGACAGAATATTCCCAGAGTTTAAAGACAGAACTCAGTCACAGCCAAATCTGACACATCCAGTTGATGAACATCATCGTTTTGGTCCACCAAATGATTATGCTAGGAATCAGCAAGCTCCTATTCCCAAGAACCGAATTATGTATGATAGTCGTGATCCACGAGAACCAACCAGAGGACCCATAGCTGCTCCAAGATCCAGTAGAAATCCAGACATGGATAATCAAAGAGGCAGTATGTCAGGTGATCGTGAAAGAGACATTTATTCTGGGAATGTTGGACCACATCAACAAACTGGAACCCAAGATCCAAGAAATAGTTACTCAGGAAGTAATCGTGGAAGCCTTGTAGGTGCTCAGCCAAATAAAGGAGATATTTATTCTGGGAATGTTGGACCAAATCATCAAACCAGAAGCCAAGATCCAAGAAATAGTTACTCAGGAAGTAATCGTGGAAGCCTTGCAGGTGCTCAGCCAAATCAAAGAGACAGTTTTCCTGGCCGAGCTGGTCCACAAGGAGACCCATCACGAGAAAGAGGAAGCCTTGCAGGCCAGAGGAACAGTTTTCATGGAAATGTTGGTGCTGGAGCACCAAGAGACAGTTATTCAGGAAGCACAGGTCAAAGAAACAGCTTCCATGGAGGTCAGCATGGAAATTATCCAGGCGGCCCTGTCCAAGAAGACCACTTTCGGCCAGACAGAAACCGTGAAAGTTATGCAAGTAACAGACAAAGAGATAGTTATCCTGGCAGCAGAAACAGTTTAAACTATCCTGAACAAAAGGGGAGAACACAAGAACAAGAAATGAGGCGACCACAAGAACAAGAAATGAGGCGACCGCAAGAAAAAGAAATGAGGCGACCACCAGTTGCAGCTCCAAGAAGAGCATTATCCCCTGATCGAAACCCAGGTCTTACCATTGATATTCCACCCAACTACATCAATCTACCTGCAGGAACTCATCCTGGTAGCCAGGAACCTGGTAGTCTAGACAATGGACCAAGTCGTCCACCTTATCCTGCCGCTTTTAGACAGGAGATGGTCGAGGAATTGGCCAAAGAAAAAACTCCAAGAACATCTCAACAATATTTAACATCTGCTGAAAATGAAAGAAAAAGAATGCAGCAGTCACCATATTTCAAATATCCTAACAATCAAAATCAACCCCAACAGGTAATTATTACATTAAAAGTCTGATTTTCATTGATAATGTGCACAACAATCCAAAGAGCATGATTTCCCTTGAAGATTACATTCAACATTATGTTCACATCAAGGGTCTAACGGCTATGCCAGTTTGTTCATTTGGATACCGTTCTCTTAAAGATCACCAGTCACTCCAAGAAAATTAATATAATTAATTTAAAGTAACCTAATAGTTGATAATCCTAGCACTGACTTATTTAGAACTTGGTATTTTTTATATTTATTGAGCATTCATAAAACTCCTTGAAAAGCTCTAAACAAATTTGCATTCAATATGATTTTTACATTCTCTATGAAACTGTAGATATTCAAGTCTTGTCCAATTGAAATAAAAATAAAAGACCTCTCAAAAGCACTAATGACTGTTAAATCAGCTGGAACCCATGGCATATCTTGGTAATATTGTCCATTTATATGGCATACACAGTTTTTCATAGTTACATTGTATACATGTACCGGTATATAATTTCAAATTGGATTTGAAGAAGTTATTGATAATAAAAATTCTTCTAGACAAAAAAAGATTTAAAACAGTTATATATTTATTTCTGAGTGATACTAAATGTTATTGTATTGCCATTTTCAGAATCCAAGTTCAAGAAACAGTTTACCACGAGATGAAACAATAGGCAATGACAATCAAAAAGATGGTAGATGGGAAGATAATTCTGCACAAGAATTACGAGCTGCTTATGAACGTGTTCAACAGTTACAGCATGGTCAACCACCATCTGACCCTAACAGTAAGCAATATTATCATAAGATAAATCGTTAAGCATGTTTTGTATAAGCTTTTAGTTCTGATAGTCTTTGGTGCATACATATATAAATTCATATATTTTTCTTAAAGCGTTATTTTGGGTTGAAGTCTTACAGCAGTAGTTAGACCTTTCAACAAGAAAGTGATTGTAATTGATTTCATGTATTAGTCATATCATATTCAAATAATCCTAAACTACTTAGTCTTATTTATTCATTAGAAAAAACAGATTTGTATGAAAATTGCTCTATGCTATAGTGTGTATGACTTGTACTGAATCTGAATACATCGATGAATTGACAAATTGGTCTCAAAATTTAAATGACAATCAGCATTTAATTTGAACACCACTGAAAAATTAAAGTTCTAATTCCTCTTTACTATGCATTTAATCTCTTTTAACTATTAACAATTGTATATAATTTCATTTTCCTAATGCCATATTTATATTTTATTTTGAACTATTTATTATATATTTTTGATATTTATTTTTTTTATATAAGTATGTTCTAATACTGTTAATTTATATTTTGTTACATTTATGTTGTATAAAATGTGTTTCACTATAATAATCCTAGATAGGTCTGGGAGGTGTAAAGGTTGCTTCATACTATACTAATGTCCATGAAAGTATACACTGTGCATTTTGTGCTGCATCAACCAAAGTCGTTTTTCCATGGTATACAGTATTATTTTTATTTTGCTTAGAAATGTTGAGTTTGGACGCAAGAGACAAACTCAGTAATTCTTTATCAAATGTTTTTAATCTAAACAAAACTTAGTCATACTTTTAGTGTGTATACTTTCTTTTGGACATCAGTATCGAGAGTTGATAATTTATACAACATTTAAGGCCAAAAGAAAGACCGGCAATAGGCAGATTTAGCTCTTGCATAATGTATGTTTAAATGGGCATTATTTAAGAGCTGAATCTGCCTATTGCAAGTCTACGATAATGAACGATCTGGGCTATATAAAAGAATAAAGTAATTTGAATGTATTTTTCTATCTATTCATCTTCCATTATCAGTTTTTGAACTGTTATAGCAAGAACTCCAGTTCGTGATCTAAATCTTGAATAATGCATCTTTATAGGAAAATCTTAATTGTCAACTGTAAAAATGGATAACTTTTCGTTGAATCAAACAACATTCTATTCTCTGTTTAGCAAAAGTCTTGAGATTAGACCATGATGGCTGTCTTTGTTACGCAAAAAAAATATTTCATCCAATGATTAGGATATTAGGGCTGTCTTTGTCAATTATTAGAACATCTAGGGAAAAACCAACCCTACTTGAGTTTTGGCATGGTATGACCATTTAATAGTGGTTCAACAACTGTCTCTTATAATTGTTGATTTTGTTTAATTGAAGTTTAAATATTTAACATACTCTGTGAACTGTATATGTTATTTGTCATTGATTTAACCTAGACAGACACAAATTTACAGTAGAGTGCATTACTACACTGTACATGTATGTTAATCATAAACTAGAACTATTTACTTTTGGCATACCACTTGTCAAAATGACACCAATAAAGTTATCAGTTATTTTATTTCTAAATTTATGAAAATTGTAAATAAACTGACAGGAATATTAATAACTGAAATGAAATGGTGTTTAACAATGTAGGTCCTGCTGTTCTGCTCCCACGGGGCTAATGAAGATGGGGGAGGGGATTAATTGCAGTATACATTATTTAAAACTTTATTGACATTAATCAATAAAAAAAATTGATATCTCATTCAGTTATGACTACATTACATGTAGGTGATAAACTAGTTACTAAATATGATATCAGTACCTTAATGTGACATCAGTATTTCCTACAAGAGTTATACCAATTTTGTAAGAATTTTATATTCAGCAAACATATATGCGTCTGCTAAATTAAAACATTCTTAGAATGAGGCAGATAATGAATGTGTAGATTTAATGATTTATACAATAAAATATCAACAGAAATTGAACAAAACATGTACTAGGACAGAAAAATTAGCATACTATTTTGTTGTATAATTTTGTGAAAAATCATGATGTCACGTCTCATACTACAAAAGATCTATATTTTGATAACTAGTTTATCACAGATTCATGGTAGCTAACTCTTATACATGTAGAATTTGCAGTTTATTAAAGAGGCATTGTCACTTTGACCAAGAAAACAAATGTAATGAATTTTGAATAATACATGTATATAAATTAAAATAACCTTACACTCAACTAATTATCAAATATCCCAGAATTTTTCACAAAAATTAGTTTTCTTACCAACTCACAAAAAACTTTAAAGTGCTAATGCCTCTTAAAGGTAGAATAATACATACTCCTACAGTATTTGTTGTTTTTTGATAGCGGGATTAAGGAAATAATGAATCTGTTATTTCTTAGACACAGTAAAAGTGCCTCTGTAACATACATGTAGATATTTGTCATGACTTATTGTAAGCTACATGTACCATTTTGTTTGCTACATTAAAGATAGGTTCCCAGAAAAGTATTTATAGGGTGATTATTTCCAATAAAAGTATGGCAGTTTTGGTATATATGGAAAGTAGAAATATCCAATCTTACTAGAAAAATACTGGATTCCCTGAAAAACACTCATAGAGCGTATATAGGACAAAAATGTAACTATTTCCAATATCGACAGCCCGACGATTACGAATATCTGCATGCATCATGTCAAAGGTTGCATACGAACATTGAGCGCTTGATGTACAAGTTGATAAACTTTATAAAGAGTTAGACGTACAACACTTTCTGAGATAAAAATCACGGAAAAAGACGCGGGCAATGGATAATCCGAGAATTTAATTAGGATTCGATATTTGTAATAAATAGTAAGCGATTAAGACAACATTGTCTTATGCAATGAATTCTCCTCTGACTTCCGAGAGAGGTGAGTCACGTGACACAAACATGACCTCTTTTGATCGAATTTTTATAGCAGGACATTCCTTGGCAATTACAATGTTTGAGAAGGATTTGAAGCAAAATTATGACAAATTAATTAATTTGAATATGTTTTTAGTCCATATATACCATTAAATCATCCAGTTTGTACGCGGGAATGTATCTTTAAGCCTATAAGCTGCAATATTTAAAGGCATCATATCATAGTTATCCATATTGTGGCTTTACTATAAATACATACTCAAATTGTGTATGATTTGTTCGGCAATTGAACAATTAGGTCAAATAAAGACTTTTACAAATTTTATTAGGCTTTTCTTCTTTTTTTCAACGAATTATAGTATACATGTATATTGTGCCTTTAAATTCACAGCATTCAAGTCTAATATTAAATGTATTTTTCATTTACTATCCTATCAAATTAGTATGTAGTTCTAAATAATCCCATATTAGACATACATGTAATACATGTAGTTACCTAATATGTAATAGCTACCCATATGCTTTAACAATTATTCTGAAGGTGGCAGAAATCAAGAAGTACCTGGGTGCAGGCCCATAGCCAGCGGGGAGCATGGGGGGAGCCCCCCTGAAAAAATGTTTTGCCCCCCCCCCCCAAAAAAAGTTGCCGACCATAGCTCTAAAATACCTACTGTAGACTGTGCTCCCCCCCCCATCCAAATCTTCACTGCCACTGGGTGGTTTATAGTTTTGGCACATGGATAATAACCACCCAGGTGGCTAATAGATTGTACAGATAGGGAATACTTAATAGGGTAAAAACTAAACACAGTAGGCTAATGTTGTTTGCAGTAATATGAGAGGTTGGATGTATATAATGCTTACGGTTCCACGAAAAATTGGAAGCCAAGCACTAAGTTGTTTTTTTTTTGAGTCTGGAAGCTATTACATCAGACACAGGAAATAGTAATTTTTTTCACCTGTAGCAAAACAAGATGAATTACAGTAACTAAATACAGAATTAAAAGTTGGCATTTTACTGTCACTGTATTGTATTATCAATAGTGACCATACAGTTTAATTTTAATTTTTTTAGCAAAAATTTCATCTGGTACACTGGTACAAAGTTATAACAATACAATGTCATCTGTTAATATTAGTGTTCAGCAAGTTTCTCATATCAGCTTGTCAAATCCTTCTTCAACATTACTAGATCCATCACTGTCTCCTCAACCATTACAAGGTAGTGACTTACTTTACGAAAATGGTTCACCCAAATATGCTGTTCCATCACTAGAACCACCACCACCAATAACTAGACTGCTTAATATAAATGATTACGAAGATCGTTATGCCATGAACATTCCATATTCCAAACAGAATAGCACAAACTATACTTTGGATAAATTGCAAAAGGCTGCCGAATTTCATGGTTACTCTGAAAATCCAGAGCCATCACCCATTTATGAAATTCCTGAAACAAGTTCAAAGATATTGCCTCATCATCTTGCACAGTCAAGATCATATGCAGCTAACCTTGATAATTCAACTGATCTTGTTGAAAGAGGATCCGCCTTCAACAGTTTCAGAGAAAAATATAAACCTTCATTAAAAAATGAATACCTAACATCAACTCTTAATGCTGAGAAAATAAGGCAAGGACGTCTGCATCCATTCTTTGAACCAAGATATGGTGGATACAGTGACAAGATTCCCCGAACAAGTACGAAAATTGAACTGACCCTACCCAAACAATCTTTCAAAGAAAAAAACATTTTAAAAGAAATTGCAGATTTTATGAAACATGCTGAAAGTGGGCGCAATAACCATGACACCATAAATCATCCTGGGGAATTAACAACCAACCAATCTGAAAGCACACTATACCAGTTAGCAAGTACGGCTGTGATTCCAAGAAATGATGAAAGGTGGCAAATATCAAATTATTTTGACCAATCAAATCTCACGACAGATTATCTGCAGACTTCAGGTATTCACCTGATAAATAAAGCCCCACTGCTTGTACTGACAAGAAAAGTTATGCATATAATAATGAAAATTTACACCATTTATGAGTTTCACTGTTTTTAGGTTTAGAATAACATATAATAACATAACATTATGCACATTGAAATTTGATGCCTGTAATGCACTTGGTCCTACTAATCACTGACAAGAGTGTTTCTTTTGTCAATAGCTCCCAAAATATTGCAAAAAGTGATCGACATTGAAAGATATATTGTAGATATGTTCATTCTACACATCATATACGAAATTTAAGTAATTTTATAAGAAATTGAATATTAACAAAAAAAAACCCACTCTTGTTGGTGATTAGTAGGTCCCAATGCACTTGATGACTTGACTTGTCTTATTGATCTTTACAAAATAACACTCAACTGCACTCAAGCATGTCTTAACAGCCGAAAAAATAATGATTGAATGTGTACTGTATAACTGGAGTTAATTATTTTATATCGAATTATTAATAACAGCAAACATCGTTATTATTAATTATTTTTTGTTTACAAAAATTGTTTTAATGTTGTTTTTAATTATAATATGTATTATTAATTATATATAATATAGTAGTAGTCTTTATTATATTGTATTTCATCATACAGTAGTAATCTTTAATGCTCTAAAATTTAACACAGTAGTAATCTCTCATCTTCTATAAATGTCAATACAGTAGTAATCTCTCAACATATGTAAATTTTAATACAGTAGTAATTTCTCAACTTTTATAAATTTTAATACAGTAGTAATCTCTTTTCATTCTAATTTTAATACAGTAGTAATCTCTTTTTGTATTATAGATCTTAATACAGTAGTAATCTCTTTTTACTTTAATTTTAATACACTAGTAATCTCTTATAACATTTGTCAATGTTAAACCTATATTTAGCCGTTTTCACATTTAAAGAATTAAGATGAATTATGCGTTACAGAAAGATAAATTTTATTTACAGAAGATATTTATAGTACTGTTAATAAGAAGAAGGCTCCACCCAGAAAAACCTTCCCAATGCATACAGTTAAAGAAGATCCCAATATGTCTGATAGAGATATTTTTGTAAGTTTAAATTTTGATATTGCAGTTACGTTGATGTCCCTGATCTTGTTATATATAGGCAGGCTGGCAAAAAAGATGCACAATGTTTTAAATCTATATATTTTACTCCAAAAAAGGCTGACTGAAATTTTATTTTAAATACCAATAGAATTGTAATTTGAATAGTAAGTTTAAATTAGAAATTGTAAATATATTGTTATGATCTTGATGGTAGTATCTGATACAAATCAAATAACTTTGACATTGTGTAAATTGATAAATCCTAGCCAAAGTTACACCATGTGAGGTTCAGATTGTTGATTATGATTTCACTCTGCCATTGTTTTAGAAATGTCATTCAATCATAACTTATTTCTATCCGTGTGAAAATTGAGATTAAGATGGTATGTAATATAATCTACATCTACATTTTGATATGAAGAAAAATTTTCAGACGTAAATTTTGTTAAACTTGAATAAGGAAAATGATTTCTGACCTGGATCTTTTAAAATTGATATCCATTTTTTTCTAGTAAAAATGTTTTAAATATTATTAAATGATTGTATTATGGTTTTCAGACAACAACTGAAATCAAGAATTTAAACAAGAAATATCCATTAAATGGAAGTCGCATAAGAATGAGTATATCTGCCAATGATTTAATAGGAAAGAATGTAAGTTTATAAAGTAGAACATTTTATAATTTGAAAATTGCCTTATTTCATTCAGTTGGAGTCTCTTATTGTCATTTTTAATCCCTTGCAAATTACAAAATTATGAAAGTTGAATCACCATCCAAATATAGTTGAATTCCTTTCAGTATTTACAAAGTCGAGATATGAGTTGCAAGATCAGGCATCCTTTTTATACAGATAATATATTAGAGATATGGCCAAAACAAGTCAGCAGCGTTGATAATCTATGTTAAAATCATTTGATGGGCCTCTTTGTAATCCGATTGAATCCAATCTGGGAGATTATCTACTGTTAAAACAGTTAATAATTTTATTTCGCTTTCTATATTACATTGAGTATTAATTTGAGTGCAATTTAGCATGAATTAAGCCATGAAGATTTAGATATATTCCAAAAAGTGCAATGACGATCAGTAGCTGTAATAATGAAGAACTTGTCTCTAAAACTGTGTTTTCAATGTCTTTAACCTATTTTCTATGTCATCTTTCAACAAGTCATAAATGTTAAAGCCAGAACAAGTATTTAATATAGAGTTTAAAAAGTTGTAAAATTGTTTTTACTGTTTTGCAAAGAAACTTTTTGTATTTATATTAAACATTATTATCTTGAAATACATAGATTTATAATTTATTTGAGAAAATGTTACAATGTTTTATATAATGGGATGTTGTTTACAGCATGATGAGTTGGTGTTACTATTAATACAACTACGTCGTAATCAAGCTGCTTTAAGTAAAGCTAGAGATTACTATAAACAACATCTAGAATCAAGACGACCAAATGAAAAAGAATATAGAAAACAGTAAGTAAATTTAGATTATAATTACAAATGAACTACTTTGATATTAGGCAAGATTTGATGTGACTTGATTAAACAGAACATGTTTATGGAAAATACTTGATAATGATGACTATTTAAATTTTAAAGAATCAACATCGGCAAAATATCTGTTAAACATTTTAATTGTAGACTTTTTTTTGTCCTTATAAGTTGATCAAAATGTCTGAATATATGGAAACTGTTTTAGGAACATATAGAAAATGATTTTGATTTTTTTTTTACATGTATATGAAATCTAACTTTATTTCAGACGTCAGAATTCTCCAGGTGCAATGGATCGTATTTTAGAAGAAGAACATAAAAATTATACAGATCTTAAACATCAGATGGATGAAATAGAAAATAAGGTATACATAAAAATACACAAAGCTTTCTTTATTTTTTAAAAGATTCTATTTTCAGTAACATATATAGTATGATTTTCAACGAAACAAACACCAATCCATTGTCAATTTTTATCTGCTTGGTGGGTATTGGTATAGCAAAACAAGAGAACATATGCTCCCTTTGCTGGAAGTAGTTCAGATTGGACTATAACAAGCTATATTGTGTATATTTTAAAGTTAGAAGTATATAAACTTAATGTAATGAATAATACATGTATATTGTGTATATTTTACAGTTAGAAGTATATAAACCTATTATAAATCTGGTTGATAATATGGTTACTATGGGTAGTCTGTATGGTGGTGATAATTTAATGTTAGCAACACAATATAGAAGGGTAGGTACCAATTGCATTATTTGTTGGGGTTTTTTTTACTTTTACAGCCAAATATCATTATTCAGTTAGATAAAGTTATAATACCTTTCAGAAAATTCTGTAGTAATAGTTGTATGTACATGCCAAATAATTCTTTAGTGTATATATTTAAAGCTGCAGATTGTTATTTGTGGGATTTAAAATCCCTTGCAAATAAGGTATTGTGAAAGTTGAATCTCCAGAATGAATATCTGCCCAAAAGTGGTCCATTTGCATTCCATATTTACAAACATGAATTTAAATTTCGCAAAATTTGGCATCCTCCGCAGTAAATATGAACAAGTGTGCTCTACCTGCATTGTTTTATAAAATCATTGATTAGTGTCTTTTTAATCAGATTGATATTTTCTTCGGTTTTCTTAATTAAATGTTAGAGAATCAATTTTAGTACATTTTAGCACAGAGTAAGCTGTGAAAAATGAAATATTGTCTGAAAAACACACGATTGCTATAATTTGCATTAAGAAAATTTATAAATTTTTCTACCTTAAATAATAATAATAAATATGACATCTTTGAAGCTCTTTTGATTACAACAGTTCACTTATTTCCTTAATTATTATAATTTTGAAAACTTATTCCCATACTATTAATCTTAGTGCTTTTTTCTAGCATTTACTACAACCAGACCAATACACTGAACCAAAAGATATGATACAATTCTCTAGACAACGACAAGAAAATAAAATGGTAGAAGAAATAGAGAATGAAATCAAACAATTAACTGACGAAGAAGTTGATTTAGAGGTACAATTATTTTTTGCTTTGAATTGAATTTATGTGGAGCATAAAATACTGGAAGAGAGGGGGGTGTAGTTTATGTCAAAGTAATGCTTAGTCAGATATTTTAATTAGATGATCATCTTAAAAAGATGTCAGACTTCTTTAATATGTATTTTCTGAAGACTAAAGGGAGATAATCATACAGTTACTGTTAACTTTTATACTGGAATTTCTATAACTTTTTGTTATATTTTGTCTTTAGGATAAATTAGAGAGATTATATGAATTAGATCGGAGATTACAAGAACAGTCATTCCTTGTTACTAGTTTCAGTGAAGATAAGGTTAGTTTTTACATTCAGATTTCTTGAAAAATCTATGTTATTGAACTGGTAATCTCAGAGCTTAATTTTTGATTGCATTGATCTCATTTGAGATAATATTAATCTATTAAAATAGTGTCTGTAATGTTTATTTCTGTTGCCTGCTTTCAATATTCAGAAACAGTTTATAATCATTGAATTTTTGTAACTGTTTACAGGAAATGTTAGAGAAAGCACTACAGGGTATATTAAAACAACAAGATCAAAAGAGAGATGATCCAAGAGAAATGAGAGCACTTATGCATCAACAACGAACAATAGAAAAAGAATTATCTCGTGTAACTCAACAATTAGCGGAGGCTTCCAGAGTAAGAAATTCGAATATTAAAAATATACAATATCCTTAAGAATCATATTAATCTTCACAGAAAGTCCTAATTAGATTACAATTTTGATCTAACCAACTTTCTAACTCAAGAAAAACTAATCTGCATTCTTTTTCATCAGCCTTTTCTAAAAACAAATCTAAGGATCCAGGGTAATGACATGAATGCTGGGAAACTTGACCCCTCAATTTGCAAATCATCTCAGGTCATTAGTGCATGGTGGATCATTTCAACACAGTTTTGTTTTGTTTTTTTGAATTAAAACTTTTCTTAAATTTTGATTATAAATAAATTTATTTTATAGTTATTAGAAGAAACTACAGCAGAAAATAATAAAATAGATCATGAAGTAGCATTATTGAGAACTAAAGTTCATGGAGAATTACAAAGAAGTCGCAGTGCTCCATCATTGGTAATTTATTATTTAATTTAAGATTTCATTTTAATACACAGATTGATGGAATATAAAGTTGTATTTTAATATGAATATTCTTCCATTTCATAATAGCATGATTCACAATATGATTAGTTTCATTGGAGACCAGGATTCTACATTCTAGTAAAACACCAGTTTTTATACACCCACATGGAAATGCTGTCGTATATTGCCATCGCCTCCGTCCATCCGTCCGTCCGTCTGTCCATCATCCACAATTTCTTGTGAACACTCGACAGACTACATTTATCATCTGATTGTTTTGAAATTGATATATGTTGTTTGCATTAGTGAGATGAAGAAGCCTATTTAATTTCATAATTAATGTTTTCAAGAGCAAGGTATTCTGTATTGAATTATTATTTTATATTATTATACTTTTATAAGGTTGATGATAATGAAAGAAATAAGCGTAAAATGGAGAAAGAGTTAGCTAAAGTACAGACTATGATGTCAGGTTTATCTAAAGAAGGTGAACGATTACAAGAAGCTATGAGTACTATCAGACGATCTTCTTCTGGTGCTAATCTAGCAGCATTATTAGATAAAGGTAAAAACATATCAAAGTGATTTTTATAAGAGAGGGTTCAGAAATGGCACAATTGTGGAATAATGAGAATATTGTCAAGACTATGATCTCTCTCAATGATCAAAAGGGGAATACATTTCATAACTATTTTGTCAGTTTTTGGTTTATCCATATCAGTGGATAAATACACATAAATTTAGTCCCTTCGATCAGGACGTATTATATGATTACTAAATGATCAGTGCTAGGTGGAGTCAATATTTTAGTTTGAATTTCAAAATTACAACAGAACAAAAACACTTAGCAAATACATCTACAAATTAAAGATATTCATGTTTATATAAACTTCTACTACACTTTTATCTAACATGACACTACGGAATTGTCAAATCTGTTTTAATCATCTTTACTATTTTCATGCAAGAAAACGATTGCAGATGCTGTTTCTTTACATAAGGCCATTTGTCTCTGTTCGTATACGAGTCCATAAGTTGAAAATAATCGTACTAAACTGACTAAGAGCTAGACATCTAGAGTTACGGCACTTGTTGAACCTTGTGAATGCTCTAATGACAAAAGTATCATCTGATATGTATTAAATTTATATGCATCATTTAGATTAGTGAGACAAAGAAGTCTAATTTCCGTTAATTACTTCTAGATGTCATCTTCCTTGTTTCACTTTGTTGCACCTTATGAATACTCTAATGGCAAAAGTTATCCGCCCAGCCCTGTAAATGATAAATAAAGGAAAATTCAAAACTTATTGGTGTATTCGTTATTTGACATTGTTTTCTTGACACTTTGATTTTCCAGTTCTACAATTATCCCAAAGATCTTACTGAAGATTATTTCATCTGTAAATGGGCATTGACTACTGTTGGGGTTTATATATTGGTATCTTGGTTGCAAATGACTACCCCTTTTATATAGCCTTAAACTTTAAAATGAAAACTACCTGTAGAGAAGATGTTGAAATACAACTGATTCTGTGTTCAGCAGTCAACAGTTTAAATCAAAAATGAAACTAAACTTAGTAAACAATCTGATTTCTGGTTAATATTTTGAAACAAAAATTTAAACAATCTTGTTCCTTTACGAATTAAAAAAAACCACATCAAATCAAACCAGTTCTATACATTCATTTGACCAGAATTAAAGATATTTTTTTTTTAACTTCCAGATGAAGACAAGGCTTTAAAGAAAGCCAAAACTTATATGCAGACAGATATTGATTCCATGGAAACCATTGATTTATCAAGACAACCAAAGGGTGCAGCATCTATGCCAAATATAAACATGATTGAACCTGAATCAGCCAATCAGGCTTACTCTTCCAACTATGCAACAATGTCTTCACCAATGAGAACAAGTGCTACAGATCAGTCTGACTATGTTGAAATGCATAGCAGATCATCTTCATTAATAGAAGATACGGATCGAGCTAGATCCAAATCATTAAATGAACTGAATACAGATGTCCCTCCACCTCCGCCACGAAACTTCCACAATAAACCTCTAATAAGCCACCAAAGACAAGAGGTAAACTATGTCTGAATATTTTTTTTCCCTCATAATATTAGATTGTTTCTTTATATAGTACAACAACATACTATGTACATGTACATGTAATAAGTCCTGCATTTGTACATATGGCAGGTTTCTGCATAATCTATTAAAGCAATATTAATTGGTTTTGTCTATAACATTATATTTTTGTCACGTTGACAACAGAATTTGATAAAAGTAAGACATAGCAGTCACCATTTCTGTTGTTGATGTCCTTGTCATCTTTAACTTTGGCCCCCCCCCCCCCCATTTGAAAAAATGTTTGATTAAAGCTTTTTTTAAATCTTCCAAGAACTTAATGAAATCTTTATAGAACTTAATGATACATGGACAGGGTCTTCAGTATGATTTAAAATGCTTGTTCATATACAAATTATGTAAATATTATTTAAACATACTGTGTTTTGTTAGGAATTGTGACTTTGATTTCTTATTTTACTATTTCTTGACTATAAACGTTGTTCCTACTGTTGACTCGTGCCGTGATCAATCATCTACAGAGCATGACACTTGAAGATTGTGGTCCTACAATATTTTCCCTTTTCTTATTTAGTTTTTTCTTGGCTATGAAATTTGTTCCTGCTGTGGAATCTTGTCATGAATATCTAATATAATTGTTGTTTAATTTTTTTCTTATTCTGGTTTGATCAGACCATTCATGATATTTGTATTTTTTTGATTTACTTGATCATCAAAAACTTTTCAGAATTAAAACAAAACCAAAATTGTATCATTTTTTTTCAAACTATGTTTTTGGTGGTTGAGGGGGAAAAAGGCTTAGTACTTTTTTTTATTTTTTCATTATGCTATTAATGGCTGGTTTAATTTTTGATTTGATTTGAGTTTATTTATATAATATTTATTATTTGGGTTTTATTATAATTTTGTTTGTTGGTATATAATTGTTATTATAGAGTAGTGTAGCTCCACCTAGTGAGATGTATAATAGTTTAGGTGATGGTGATGATGCCTGGGATATAGGTGATGCTGATGACAATACAAAACGTTTTTATGGTAAGTTGGGGAATGAGATACTGTATTTGACCACAAGTTGCGATTCCTCGGTAGGTTCCATGCATGTGCACCATGTCATTCGGGACTATTATATGTGACACATTTTGACTGGTCAACAATTGTGAAATATTTTGGCATGGTTCACCGTGAGTAGTGTTTGTATCAACTTGATCAGTTTTTATTTCACAGTTTGGTGTAAAAACCTTTAACCTTGAATAACTACCATTTACAGGTAGGTTTGTGCAAGTTAACATTATTGTAGCACCAAAAACCTGTAACAGATATGGATGTTGGAGAAAATTGTGTTTTGTTCACAGTTTGATCTTTTCAGACTGAAGGTAATACTGAAAATATTACATTTGTTTTAAAATGTTTTTTTTTAAGGCCTTATACCACGTGAGAGACCTAAACTATTAACAGTAAGAGATGTAAAACGTCAATCAGAACAGAGACGTGAACGTGACAAGACAAGACGTGGACCAGATGATTTAACTGATGATGGTATGTATATATCCTTACCGTCTATTGAGTGATATGAATATCTATTGTGTATAAAGCACCTGTTAAAACTTGAACACGATTATAAAATCCTGCATCTGTAATCCCCATAAAAATATTAAGTCATTTCAGACCATTCAGCATTTACTGTTACAGCAGCCCAGTGATGGAATTTCAAAAAAATTTCTGTCAGACATTTTTACAGAAAATAAAGGGGCATTACTCTTATCATTATTTAAGCAGGCGGTTTCAGACCACAATTAAATATTAGCGTCAGACATGTCTGGAATACGGGTGAAATCCCATCACTGCAGCAGCCATATTTTCAACTTTTCAATTTTTTAAAAGTAATGGTGGTGTTGTGGGGGATTGTAAATGTGCTGGAAGTGCCACACAGATTTCAGAACCATCGCTGATCACATACGTTTTATAATAACTCAATGCATGGATATTTGTAAAAGACTTTATTCAAATGATGTAAATCAAGAGCTGATAAACTGCCTAGTCCGAGGCCGTCTGCTGATCTAAATGCCTAATCTAAAAATTCTTACGAACATCTCAATTTATATCATTAAGATATTAGAGCATGTAAACATGATTAAACTATTTAACAATACAAAGTGGCAATGGGGTTTATATTACCTAATATATTTTTTTTAAAATCCTTATATGGCATTTAGTAACTGAACATATGATATAAAACACAAATTTATATGGAAAGCAATCACTGGGTTTATTTCACACCCAGTGATTACTTTCCATATAAATTTGTGTTTTATATCATATTTTTTTTATATACTTAACAAAGGCTGTTTACCATTAAGTAAACAATACAGGATTGAGATTTTTGTGTCCAGTTGAAGTTAAAGATTATAAAGTTTGGACATAAACACATAATAACATGTCGCATTGTTTACACATGCAATCTGGAGACAAAACAGACATTTATCGGCTATTGAACCACAAATACTGCACAATACAATAATTAATTTCCACGTAAAACTACATAAAGTATAAATAATATGATTCCTTCAAATGAATCTTATTTTATTTAAAAAAGGAGTTGCCAATTAGCAATATGGCTGCTGTAACAGTAAATGCTAGTCTGATATAGAAAAGTTTGATATTTTTTGATTAGCTAAGTGGGGTTTTATATTTGCATTCAAGCTTTAAATTTCTATTCTTAAAACTTTCAAATCAACTATAAATAACAAGTATTATGAAGTTGAGTGTGATGGTTGTTGTATGTTATTAATTGTTACTGGCTATGAATTTTATTGATGTATGTCATGAAAGCTATTAATTGTAATAATGATGGGATAGTTGCTTTAACTTCTATTTTCTATGATAAACTAAGGCTGGATTCGAACTTTTTATTCTGCACATAAACTGTTTATGCTTACAGGATTTGAATCACTGGTAATAGGGGGTTACCTGCTTAATCGCATGTGATTTTTCCGATTTCCCATATATTTTAGTCCCAAAATGATCTAGTTTGTGTCGAGTGGTTGTTAAACTCCAATCGCTAAATGCCACTAAAGGATTATGTCCATTTATCTTGTCTATGTAAGATGAAGCGAGAGAGAGAGAAATGGGGTTTAACGTCCACCTGACACAAACTAGGTCATTTCGGGACTAACATATGGTTTGATTTTATTTTAATAATTCGCTTGCACGTAGGGGTCTTTAGCAGTGGGAGAAAACCCACGGGGTTGGACAAGCGACCCTACTCCTTGTCACGTACAACCAGGGATTCAATGACAGGCCTTATGATACATCAGGCACGTGCTAACCATTCGACCATCCAACCCCCTGTATGATAAAGCATGTTATAGAATAATAAGTAACTATCCAGCCTAAGTTTGTGTATGTGGTATATGTAATTACTAGATGTTTTGATTGCATGGAGGTTTTGCTTTCAGAATCCAGATGGAGTTTAGCAGAGGGAAATGAGGTATTGCATGTTTCTATATATTTAGATAATGTAACGTAAAATAGCATGATTATATGTATATTGTAGTTGTATTGAACAGGAAGTTGTATCGGTTAAACAAAGAAACTGAATATTAATAGTAAAAGCTAACAATCAAAAATTATATCTCTCAAATCTTCAAGGCTTAGATTACAATGTAAGGCTTGGTGCTAGCATGGCATAATTCTCAAATATTAATTTCAAGATTACAAATTGACGATGCATATGTAATGAAGTTTTATTTATCTTGTCCTTTCCAGCCTATAGACATTAGTCACGTACGATATCCTTCTGACAGCACAGGTAGCATGTTGTCTGGTTATCATCCCGACTCTGTCAGTGGTATGTCTCAACCGTTATATGAAAATCTACCAAGAGCCAAGTCTGTACCAAATATATCTGGAGATAGGTCGTCCTCTATTGGACTGTTCACACCAAAACCATTTACACCCTACCAAAGCAAAACTTCAAGTTCTCAGAGTTCTGATTCCCCAAAACCGATGCAAGAAGTGGAGATACCGAGTTTTATGCAGAAGAAAGTTTCGACACTTTCTTCCAGTAAACCTTTCTACAGTGAAATGGACATACCTACTTATAAAAAAGAAAATGGACTCTTTTATAGTGACAATATGGTGGAAACGCAAACTGAAATTCCTACAAGTAAAGCGTTGCCATGGTTAAAATCAGGAAGTCAGTTAATGGGTAATGTGTTGAATGTAAGTAAATCGCCTCGTGGGCGTTATGTGACTATATCAAGTAGTGAACCAGCTAAAAGAGAAATAGTGCCCTTCGCGTCTGACACTCTACATTCGGCGTCTGCTGGGGATATTATGACTAATAAATCAGTGAGTTCATTTTAATTATAATTATATTATAGCTTACAACTGATTTTAAAGCAATTGAAGATCATTCTATTTTCTATGTCAGAAATTTGTATAAGGCATATGATAACATTAATGTGTCAGATTATGTTCCTTTAGTACTTATTTATATAGTCTTTTTATACGCCCACATTTTCATGTGGACGTATATTGTCGTCGCCCCTGTCCGTCCGTCCGTCCGTCCATCCACAATTGTTTGTGAACAGTCTACAGGTCACAATTTTTATTCGATTTCAATGAAACTTGAAATATAGGTTTATCACCCTAAGATCTCGGTTCCTTTCGATATTGGCATCTATCGGACCATAACTTCATGGATTATGGCCCCTGATTGTATGAAAAATCACGTTTTTGGCTTGTGAACACTGTAGAGGTCACAATTTTTATCCAATTTTGTTGAAACTTGAAATGTAAGTTTATAACCTAAAGATCTTGGTTCCTTTCGATATTCACGCATATCGGACCATAACTTCCTGAATTATGGCCCCTGATTGTACGCAAAAACGCATTTTTTGGCTTGTGGACCCTATAGAGGTCATAATTTTTATCCGATTTAAAAAAACGTATTATTATATCACCGTTAAACCTTAAGGACGGTTGAGTTCGAATTTCGTGAAAATCGGCCCAAAACTGACAGACAAAATGGCTGCCGTTCGTTCTCAAATAGCGTAAAAATATGGTATATCAAGGTTGTGGACCCTATAGAGGTCACAATTTTTATCCGATTTTGTTGAAACTTGAAATGTAAGTTTATAACCCAAAGATCTCGGTTCCTTTCGATATTCGCGCATATCAGACCGTAACTTCCAGTCGTTTTTTGTATTTTAGAGGAGAGCCGAAAAAAGCTCCCCTTAATGAACAAATTGAAAAAATCGCTCCCCTAAAAAAGCTCTCTCAGTTTCGATAAGAAGAGTGATTTAGAAATTAAGGAGAATGATCTGATATTAAGGAGAGTGATTAGTTGTTTGTATGGGAAATGGTTCTGAAGATCAATAACTGGCTTGTAAGGGGTCATTCTTGGTTACATAATGATAATAAACATCGTCTGCTAAATAGCACTCGTGTAGTCGTACGGTCAAGTAAAACTTCTACTGTCGTCATTAACTACAGTACATACAGTATTCCAATAGAAGTACTTGTCGACATTTCTAAATATATATAGCTTGTATAAATTTTGTTTAAAAACATAACCCCTATTCAAAATATAATCATAAATGCTTGAAAATTCCATTAAAATATAATCTAATTCTTCCGGAATTATTCTCATTGGAAATTTTCACGTGCCATCTCTCGTAATTTCTCACGTCTCGCGAGAGTTTTACTTTTCATTTCAGTTAAATTAACCAATGGTGCACAGTCGCCATCTATTTTTAGCAACATATTCATCGGAATTTTATTACCTTGTGCGATCACATCATACTAATCGAATACACCAAATAAATGTTCACAATGACAGCATGGTGGCGCTCGGAATGTGAGTCTTTCACACTCTTTTGAAAAAAAACCAAATACATGTCCATGATTTACAAATATGGAGAGCGATTTTCAATTTTAAGGCGAGGGAGAAAAACCTCCCCTCAGTCGACATTCGGGTGCGCGACAGGCGCTCGAGAGCGATCGAGCGCCTCAAAAAACAATGACTGAACTTCCTGAATTATGGCCTCTGATTGTACGCAAAAACGCGTTTTTTGGCTTGTGGACCCTATAGAGGTCAAAAACTGACAGATAAAATGGCCGCCCTTCATTCTCAAATAGTGAAAAATATGGTATATCAAGGTTGTGGACCCTATAATAGAGGTTACAATTTTTATCCGATTTTGTTGAAACTTGAAATGTAAGTTTATAACCCAAAGATCTTGGTTCCTTTCGATATTTGCGCATATCGAATTGTAATTTCCTGAATTATGGCCCTGGCTTGTAGGTAGTGCTCCTACGGTTAGGACTTTTTGTTATTCGAATAGCCGTAGCTATTAACCGGTTAGTAACCGTTAACCGTATGGTATCAATTTTAAACATAAAACAGGGCTTGTCAGGAGCTACGAGTCATTACTCGTGCGCACGCTATACTCGCGTTATAAAAGGCATTACACGCGCAAAAATTTCAGGAATTTTTTCAGACATGTAAAATTCTTTAATGAAAATTTAAACTATCTAAGGCCGTAGCTATTTATTTACCTGGTTAACTTGGTTCATTTGAAACATTTTTTTAATTCAATATAAAGATAATATACAAAACAATACTCAATTTCCCTTCGTACGTGACAGACGGCGATAATATTACGATAACACAATGTTACTAAGAATAGAATAAAGTAAATTAGAAGGCGTCTATTGATTGGACAATAAAGAAATAATTCCTCACTTGCAAGTAGAATTTTTATGATTGGTTAATTTAACTGAAAACCAAAGTAGAATTCATTCGAGAAATTACGTGATATGAAACGTGTTCAATGCCGTAACGAATCTAGTATAATGTCATTTTCTAGCCTTTATGATTATATTTTGAATGGTGGTTACGTTTTGAAGTAAATAATAAACAAGGTAGAATATAGTTAGAAATGCCGAGAAGTATTTAGATTGGATTAACAATAGCAAAAGTCGAACAAGGTCCGTTGACTTTGCCGTATGACTACGACGAGTGCTATTAATAGTATCATTGTTTAGCAGTCGACATCGTTGGACGACTGTTACATTCTAAAATTTTCAAACATCAAATACAAAATTACAACGGACAAGTTTTGTTATAAAGAGGAATATAATCAGACACAACTCTATGTAATGGGGGACATCTCCGAATAACCGTACCGTTGAATTCAAACCGTTTAACCGTCCAGTTCTAACCGTTTACGGCTATCCGACTAGTCGTAGGAGCACTACTTGTAGGAAAAATCACTTTCGTTTTAGCTTGTTTTCTATCCATCTCTCGAAAATGTGGGCATATCCTGCCTGGCAGCCGCTGGTTATTGTATTATTTTTATACGCCCACATAGAAATGTGGACGCATATTGCCGTTGCCCCCGTCCGTCCATCTGTGAACGCTCTAACGCCAAAAGTGATCATCCGATATTTCTGAAATTTATATGCATTATTTAAATTAGTGCAACGAAAAAGCTTATTGAATTTCAGTAATTTCTGTTTATTATGTCTAGAGTTATGGCCCTTGTTTCACTTTATTGAACCTCGTGAACGCTCTAACATCAAAAGTTATCTGCCGATCTGTATGAAATTTACATGCGTCATTTAAATTAGTAAAGAGAAGAATCCTATTGAATTTCAGCAATTTCCGTTTATTACTTCTAGAGTTATTGCCCATGTTTCACTTTGTTCACTCTTGTTAATGCTCGATTGATGAAAGTTATCATCCGATATGTATGAAATTTATATGCATCATTTAAATTTGTGAAACAGAGGTCTGTAGAATTTCAGCAATTTCCGTCAATAATTTCTAGAGTTATGGCGGTTGTGAACCTTGTGAACGTTTGAATGACAAAAGTGATCATCTGATCTGTATGAAATTTATATGCATTATTTAAATTAGTAAAACGAAAAAGCCTGTCAAATTTCAACAAGTGTAGATTACTTCTAGAGTTGAGACCCTTGTTTCAGTTTGTAGAACCTTGTGAACCCTCAAATGGCAAAAATTATAATCTGATCTGTATGGAACTGTCGTGTAAAGGCCCCAGATTACCTACAAAGGAATAAATATGCGACAACCCTTGTCGACCGACCGCTCGGAAGATTTAGCTGCTGTGGGCGTATGTTTCGTTGCCTGGCAACCTATCTGTATATGGTATTATATCGTTGTATTATATTATAGATCGATGATGTGCCAGATGTTGTAAAGAGTTCTACATCACAAGTCAGTAAAATAGATGAATATTCTATAGATGATATAGTAAGTTCTGGTTATTTACAAACTATTTCATGTTTATCTCTGTGAGCATAGTAAGCAAAAAATTAAACTAAAATAATTAAACGAAAAGATGTTCAACTTTAGCATTAAAAACAGAACTTTATTAGTTAAACCCTATTAAATATTTTATTTTGACCAAAATCAAAGAAATTTAGGTGCTTTATTATGAAATAATAAAAAAAAAACTAAATTTGTAGAAATATACAGTGCAAATTTTCTTTTATTGTTTAATGGTTATTGTTTTTTTTTTAGCTAAAGGGACCTCAAAAGGTACTGATACCTGAACGTTATATGCCTGAATCAGATGAAGAGTATGTTAGTGATGATGAATTCATCCGACGGAAAGAAAAGAGTGAAAAAATAAAAAAAATACTGACTCAACAAAGGTAAACTATGATATCTACCCAAATTAAGCACTGCCTGACAAAGGCTAATACACATGAAATTGTTCGATTATTGCTCCTTCATCGGTTTTGCTAAATATTACTTTTTGGCTCATTACAAAATAAAACAAAAAACAACTTAGAATAAAAGAGAGGAATGGGGTCTAACATCCACTCAACACAAAGTAAGTTATTATTTGTGACAAACATATATTTCATTATTTCAATAATTTGCATAAACTAAAATTAAACAGGCAATCATACTTCTTTTCACAAGCCTGTGATCGTATTAATGATATTTTCGACAAATCTTTCTATCTCAAGCACTTGGCCACCCAACCACAATGGACAAACAGTATCATTTATTATATATTCAAAATGGGTGACATAATAACTGAAAATCACTGGTTATTGGTGCTGAATATCATGCTCTTAATATGACGTTAGATTTCTACATAATAGGTAATTAGTGGAAGACCCAAGACCTGTTCTACTTTGAAAGTTTTCAGGGGGGTTGGATGGCCGAATGGTTAGCACCATCGCGCTACGCTGTATCATACAGTCTGTCATTGAGTCAACTGGCGGGGTTTCGATTCCCCGGTTGTACGTGACAAGGAGTAGGGTCGCCTGTCCAAACTCATGGGTTTTCTCTGGGTCCGCCTGTTCCCTCCCACTGCTAAAGACCCCTACGTGCAAGCGAAATATTGAAATAAAATTAAAAACCATATGTTAGTCCCGAAATGACCTCTAGTTTGTGTCGAGTGGACGTTAAACCCCATTTCTCTCTCTCTCTCTTAAAAGTTTTCATGTGATAAATTCAAAGTGTTTGGGTTCCTATTAACAAGTCTAGAAATGCTTTCTAATTTCCATGTTTACTTTGAGATCATTACCAGTATCCAATCCATAATTCTCAATGTATTTTTATTCTTTCAGTGTACATTCTTTATCTCAACCGGATATTAGTAGGTTACATCAAAGTGTACATGAGACAGCTAGACAAGAGAAAGCTAAGAGAAGTGAATTATTAGGCGTGGGACAAGAATTAGCTAGACAAGTTACACTTAAATCAAAGAAAGCAGCTGGTACGTATATTTTTATTTCAGAAAGTCATTTGACTTGTTGAAAGATATTTAGAACTATGGTACCAATCTAATTATATAGCTGTCTTTATTGTATTTTGGTTTAAATTTAGCTTGGCCTAAATAACAGAAAAATCAAGTACTTCTTTGTAAGTTTTCTATTCCCGTTGAAGTATTTTATTAATTTAGCCACTGTGATTTGTTAAAAATCATTCTTGCTCAAGCCAAAACATTCTGTCAATAGCTTGATGAAATGTTAGACCTGTTCAGCATAAACTTTTAAAAGATGGCAGACCGGATTGTGTTGTAGATAAAAAAAACCGATAAAAAAGAAATGAAAATATGTACATAAAGCAAACCTTGAATAAGCTGCCTGTCACTGAAAAGCCGACATCAAAGGATCAAAAAGCAACTTCGCTAAGACCACTTGGCTGCCACAAGCCAGTCATCCCTGTGGTAACTGTTCTGACATCTACATTTATAAATGTAGCACTTTATTTTAACCAAAACGTTTATTATTCTTTTTATTTATAGATATCCTAACTAGATGTAGCACTTTGTTTTAACCAAAAAGCTTATTATTTTTGTTATTTATAAATATAGTAAATTTAAAACTTTTTTTTTATTCTTTAGCTGCCAGAAGGAAGACCTGGTCTGGTCAACAGTTTTCTGACGCAATGTCACAAATAGAGACGTCAACAACAACTGAACATAGATCTATAATTACACATAAACAATCATCACAACAATATCGAGAAAATATATTTGTCTAAAATACTGCTCTAAATTATTCATAACATAATACTTTAAAACATATCATTGCAGTCCATAGAATTTTATTACAGAGTTATTTGTAAGTATATACATTGTATATATATAAGATACTCGACTAACCTTTCGTATCTTCATTGATACAGGTTACAAAATGTTGTGGATCAAATTTTAAAGTTGGTCATTTAAGGGAAAAAGAATTTGACCTATATGAATACCATCTTTTAATTATTATTTCAACTGAATCAGGGTACAACAGTCAATATCATACTGATATTGTGTTAATAAAGTGTAAAACATTGAAATTCATAAAACCTGTAGTTCTTTAACATAAATGTTTCAAATTCATAAAACCTGTAGTTCTTTAACATAAATGTTTTCAATTTCATAAAATCTGTAGTTCTTTAATATAAATATTTCCAATTTCATGAAATCTTTATTTCTTTAATTAATTAATTAACATTTTTTATCAATTTCATCAAATCAGTAGTTAATCAGTAGTTCTTTAACATAAATGTTTCAATTTCATCAAATCAGTACTTTTATCTACATATACAATCACCTTACCCAATAAAATATTGTCATCATTGCATATCAATAATTGTTTTATGTGATATCTTAAAGCATAATCCCTTTATGGCAATAGATTGCAATAAAATGTAATTAAAGTGATTGAATATAAAAACATAATTGTGTCAAATAAAAAACAAACATAACAAGAGGCTAATTTAGATAATGGTAAAGAATTGAATATTGCTAGTAAACTGAATAGGATAAATCATGGTACTTCTAAATGGTAGAAAATGAATGCCTGTCATAATTAACAATTGTATTCATAATCATTAAGTTTTTGTAAATATTGTATAAATTGTATATAAAATTGTATTATAAACAAAATTCGGTTTTTATAAACTCCACTCCTCCTTATCTCTTCCCCATATTTTGGTTATTATAAGGCACAAAGTATTGATGTAAATTATATTTTCTTAGATGACAATTATTGATTTGGTGTGTTTACTGGTTTCATACATTGAACAAATATTATCATACTATATAGACTTAAGCTGAGAAACAGAAACATCAGACATTTCATCAGACAAATATTATCGAAATAATGCATGTTACTGTCCCATTTGAAACTTAAGTCTATGTTCTAATACTCTAACTAACAAATTATTTTTTGATGGGGGAACTGAATTAATAAATGTACATTGTTTATCATGTTTGTAAATTAATCATGTTTTTATTAGAAATAATAATGGTGCAGAAATCATATTGTTATTAATATATTATAAAAAGTTTGTTAAATAATAAAAACATATCTAATATACGTGCTTCTATGTATGTAGCTAGGACATTCCCTTTTGTTAGTACTTTTTTTGAAATAGCTCACATGATATATTTTTTCTATTATGCACTTTGTATATTTATGATTATAAAATCAATCAATATTTTTGTCAGTTACATGTGTATGTATCTACATATCAATAATTAATTTGAAATCTTTTTTGTTTCGTAAAGGTGTGTGTAGTTCAAAATTCCAAAAGAAAGCATATTTGGAAATAAAGTTGAAAATTGATTTCATCCAAACTTAAAAGCCTGTGACTAGATGAAAGTTGGTCAGATTTTGTTTTATTAAAATAAAGAGAGAAAAAATGTATGTCCAACTAGAGTGTAAAATCATTTATGCTAATGTTTTTTACTTCTACTTACGTTTAATTCGTTTTGGTTTTTTTTTATTTTAAGTACCTCAAAAACCAATTGAAATTTAATGAAATAAATTTGAGGAATTTATCCTAATTTTTGTTTTTCTGGAATATGTGAACTAGATAATGAGTTGAATATTACTTAATTTAAAAGAATATCATTTTCGAATAAGCAATCATATACTGTTCATACCTATATACAAGTACTATCTGTATATATGCAGACAGGCACAACAGCTTCAGACATTGCTATTTATTTCATCGTTGTAAATACCTGTATGCCTACCTACATATTCCCGGTTTTTAACAATTTATTTTTGACCTTTAATGTTATGCTCAATTTTCTCTAGAAATGATAGAACTTTTCTATGGTTGTGATTTTTGTGATATAAATATTCTGTATTTATATATATTTTAGGAAGAATTTGATCTATGTTTCATTACTTATTTCTCCGTCTACTCCCAGACCTCACCAAAAGAAAATCCCCAGACCAGATGTTTTGCTACAATGAACAAATTTGATATTATATTTATATTTTGATTATTAATATACATGCTTTATTTATATTCAATAGCTTTTGTATGTCCATATTTTGATGTGTTTGTATATTGTGGTCAGCCTTGTCGGTCTGTCCATCTGTCTGTTGTTCACATTTCTTGTTGGCACAATAGATGCTGCAATAGTCCAATATATCTTTTTGAAATTGGGCTGTCTATCGCATTGGAATGTAGAAGACTATGGTTTTTCAACAATTCATTTGATAATCACTTCCAAAGTTATGCCCCTTTGTTCTGAAATCTTGTTATTTATTTTTGATGACTTTTCTGTTGTAAAAACGAAGCCTATTAATTTTCAACGATATTTGATAATAACTTTGAGTTATTCCCCTTTGTAATTGAATATTTATTTGTTCCTTGGAGGTTTCAATTATCTTATTTTTCTGAAATTTGTATGAGTTATTTAGCTCATAACTGCTTGGAGACTTACTTGTTAGAGGGGGTGTATTTTTCACTTATAACCAATAAGACTATGCACTTTATTGATACACTTGAATGATATGTATTTGCCTATTTGAACAGCCAGGAATTCCTCTGGGATTTAATTAATTTTATCTGTGTTTCAAGCACACCCTGGAATAACATTAGATCTACTTTGACTGTTGAGCTAGATTATAAGTAACCAAATTTAAACATGGTGTATTTAATCAATCAATAGATTTTCTAATAATTAATATATGCAAATACCGGTAGTCTATCTAACTGCTTACATTGGTTTTGCTTTGTAAATTAATTATAGGCATGGATTTGAGAGGTAGATTGTAATTTCTTGACAGTACAAGTTGTATTTTCCAAATTTACTCATGATAGGTTTTAAACTTTCAACAGATTAATGTATGATCATCTATTTTAGAATCATTTTGTTCTACTTTTAGTTGTATGAGAGATTACACAGAATTTATTAAAGGTTACACAGAATTTAGGGTCTCAGAGCAAACAAACACAAAATATACATCAGCATAATTTATGTTACGTATAATTAGAATATAAAGAGATCATGTTTATTATCATTGTACATTAAAACATTTTATACTTATATATTATACTGGCATATATACTCAATATATATTATTTTAAAATAGAGAGATTTTTAACCGAGTTGATGTCTTAATGTGTTTTTTCATAGTCAGCTGGCTGTAAACTGGGATGTCAGAAGATTCTAGTTAAAGAAAGGTCATTACCCTTGTAAACCTTACAAATGGGTTAACTAATCAATAGCAACAATTGCTTAAAAGTGTTCTTATGTGCACATTTATTTTTAGTATGACACCTATATATAATATTTTAATATAAACAGGGGGGTGGATAATTGTGAACGTACAATTGTATTTCTGCCTACCCTCATTTGAATTTCAATTTTCAGGGGTTATTTTGCAAACAATATAATAATGTACATAGATGGACTTTAATTTCTTGTCTTATCCTTCTAACTAGTAACACTTTCCTTATCAGCCCAGGACAGGTGCACCCTGACAAGTGATAATGGGAATTGAAATTTCACAATGGTTCTCTCTAACGTCCTTTGGTCAATGGACAGGTAGTTAAAAAAATATAGTACTTTGTAAAAAAAATATGAAGAGCAATGCTAAGGCTCTTGCTTTGATTGAAATGTTAATTTTATAATGAAGAGAATGAAATCTGAAATGGCTGCAATGCAATGACTCAGTATGGCAACCCTTGGGTCATGCTCCAAAATCAATAGGTTTCATCATCTATTTGAAACAAATAACCGTACTGATCAGAACAAGATATTGCAGACGGTAGAGTTGTTAGAGACATGCACAAAAATCAATTCATACTACCCCCGTCTTCGTAATGAATGTCATGCCAAACCAGAACAAAATCTCATAAGAATTACAGTCAGAAAGGTGTTTACAGACAAAATATTCACAAAAAAGTAAGAGTAACAACATACAATACCTGTGAATCGGGCATGCAAATACATCAGCATAAGGTGTCAACCTCTCTTTAACAGTAATGATCAAGAATCGCATCCTGTAGAGTTTTTATGGACAAGCAAATAAATAGGTGTGATAGTGCTGATCCTGGGTGTCGGGCGTACACTAAAATCAATAGTTACCTTCCCTGGATATAAAGCAACAAGATAGACACAGAGCAAGCTAAAAAAAAAAAAAAGTGATTCTTCGTACAATCGTAGAAATAGTTACTTATCTATTTATTTTTAGGGTTGCCTGTCCAACCTCGTGGGTTTTCTCCGGGCCCTCTGGTTTCCTCCCATTGCTAAAGACCCCTACGCGCATGCGAATTATGGAAATAAAAGTGAACCATATGTTAGTCCCGAAATGACCTAGTTTGTGTCGAGTGGACGTTAAACCCATTTCTCTCTCTCGAATCCTTTTTAGGAGCTAAATCACTATTCTTTGTCACCTAGAAATGGACACAAATGGGTCCCAAATAATGTAATATGATGAATGTATATAAACTGATTTACATTCAATCATTATAGCCTGGTTGGAGCTGACGTGCCATAAAACCACATTCATTTCATTTCCATTCAATCGTTTCTGTTTTACTATAATTTCTAATCAGTAGGCCTATACGCGAAGAGTCCAAATTGGATGGCAGTCTTTGGCATCTGGTTATTCCAGTCTCCTACATGGAATATGTTTAGTCTCGTTCATCGAGTTGCTTCATACAATTGGCCAATTGGCACTCAAAAGCATTCTGGTCTAATAAGTCGTGTTTGCAATGTCGAAGGCTGTGGATCATATTGAGTTAAAAACTTGGCTCCTTTAGTATTTTTTTCTCTTTTTGCCATGAACTGCAGGGGCCCATGTCTAAGCTTGACTTTGGTCAAATCTAAAAGCTAGATTCGTTGGCATGTGTGATTCGTTTACTTTAAAAAAATAACCCTGTAAGTGTTTTCAAGACATGCGCATGTCATCTCCCTTTAGTCTTCAAATAATAAGATAATAAAAGTCAAAAGTTTTGTTGTGATGAAGAAAATAAATTTGATGTTACATTCAGGAACAAAATTTGATATCTTTTTTTATCTTCGTAGAATAAAGTAAATTAATATGGGTGTGGGGAGGGGGTCTTTGGACCATTGTAAAAGATTATCTCCCTTTAGTCTTCGAACTCTAACTATTGAACTGGGGTTTGCATCAGAAATATTGTACTGCCAATACCAGATAGGAAACAAATAATGAGCTCTTTTCTTAAACACTCTTTCATTTTTTCTGTTACTTTATTCAGATCCCTTTTAAAATATAAAAGGCTAAATAAGGAACTTTTATATCAATGTTTTTTAAAACAATATTCCAGACCATGTCTTAGATACCTACAATAACAATGAATGAAATTGAGAGCTGGTGGTTCGTGCTCTAAGAATTTAAAAAAAGACAATGAAAAATAAATATATTCAAAATTTCATTCAAATTGCTTTATTCTGAGTGAAATTATGGCTGTTTTGAAGATGTATTATAAATTGTTTATCATAGCAAAGGTACTTGACAATCAAAACTCTTAGTCTTGATTATCCATTTAATGGTTAAATTTTTAATCTTGCAGCTGTTCTAATCCATATAAATCACGTCCATCCAATGGTCTAGATTGGTGTTTATAGGCTTGTCATGTGAAAAAATGTGTACATAATATTTTGTATATAACATTTGAGGCCAAAATAAAGACCTTCAATAGGCAGACTCCGCTCTTACATAATGTATCTTACAAATTCTAGTTTACAAATTCTATATCGATTAACCTCACTCCATGACCATAAAGGAAAAAAACAAAGACTGAGAATTGTGTCACATGATAGATTTTATTAAGTACTTGTTGGTATGTCTGTAATGTTTTATATAGTGAACATCATTGGTGCTCTTCAAAATACATTTATAATATATTGTATTCAGGTAGACAACATATATCACAAAATGCTCTTACAAATATTTTAAAAATTCTTCAAATAAATAATCACCATTTGTTTTAAAGATTATTAAAACACTAAAAGCAGCAAATTCATTTCTATTGTGTGTGTGTGTGTGTGTTTTCAACAAGTAATAAAAACAATACCGTCTAATAAAATTGTTAAAGTATTGTTCAGAATGAGAACAATATGACACATTATTATAAGAACTACTTTATCAAGGGCAAGTGTGGTAATATACCAAATGTTACAGACATTTGTTCAAACCTGTTGATGTTTTCTTTGAATGGCATTTAGTAATTGGAACATAATCAAATAACACACTTTTATGGATAACAATTTCTATAGTTTATTTCATTGCGAGGTTTCAACAAGATTTCACAAGTCGTAATCAAGCATATACACAAATATATGCAGGGGTGTCAAACTCATTTTGATTCAGGGGTTATATGAACGAAAATTTTAAATCATATTTGTCCAAAAATATCAAGATAAAGCCAAACATCCTTGAACTTTACTGAATTCTAAAAACAAAGCTCAACGGCCTTGACACAGGTAATTTTTTTTAGACTGGTTTCCAAACTGCCAAGATATAATATTGAACACAACCTTATCTTGTACTACATACAACTTAGATATCTATGACAGAAGTTAGAGTTCCTGACCCCTGATATATGCTTATATGTAAATTTTATGTGGATACAACTACTTCTCTATAAATCTTGTTTGAAACGTTGCAGTAAAATAAACCATAGTAAATGTTATTCCATAAAAGTGTGTTATTTGATGTTGATGTTTTGAATGCATATCCTGCAAAAGTATCAAATACAATTTCGACCATGTCTTCTATTTTATTAAATATAACAACTATTTAAGCTTGTTACATATCTAGGACTGTTGTCAATAGCAATATAAGATTATTGCAATGTCAATATGTCTACATTGAGGCTGGTAGATAAATTTTGTTGCAGCAAAATAAATCTTGTCCATGAGAGACATTATGAATAACTACTTCCGTCATATTAATTTTCTGTTACCATGATTGAAATAGTCCTTGATTCTAGATGGTTAATTGTTTTAAGTACAAAATTTTGCTGTTATTGTTTTATCGATTCCTATGTCCAAAAGGCAAAACATTGGCTTCAATGAAACTACATTGAACCTACGTAATGTGCAACGATGTGTCCCATAAAATAGCTCACTTAGTGAACAAGTTACAACAGTATTTTAATTCGATTTGTGAAAATAATTTGCTCAATGGCAAGCAAAATATTTCACTAAGTGTGCAAAGTGATTCACTAATTCATAAAAGCCCCAATAATCATATCAAATGTGAACAAAACATTGTCTTTGGTTTATTAATTAAATAAACAAAATATTAAACATAACAAATAATTAGTCATCATAAAACATACAAACTGGAATGAATGAATGGGTAAAAAGCATATAAAACAAAATATACATGCAAACAAAAGTAAATGTATCAAATTAATTAGTTTTAATAAAAAAACCAATAAACACACGATAATATTGTATAAACATGCACAAGCTAAAATTATTAACTTAATAATTATACACATATTTGAAGAGTTTAAAATCTCAAACGCTATATGCACCATTCCCCATAAAAAAGGGGTAATATTGACTTGAACTCAATGGATGAACTGCCTTTTGCATTTAAACTCTTCATTTGCAGAATCTAATAATATATATTTGTGTCAAAACTCAAAAGTCAAGGACTGTTAGGTTTATATACATTTATATATTTGTTTTATAAGTCAAGGGCTATAATATATATTTAAATTTTAAAGGGCAAGAGTTAAGTTTACTTGTACTTCTATACAGCCTTATTACATGACCCCAGTTTTATGAATAATTTACAAATTAATTATGAAGAATTATGCATTATTATAGGCCTCTTATAAATATTTTCAAGCCACAATAACTACCTTATGTAATAAATATTTCAGAAAGTTTGTTCCATTATACGATGGAATAAAAGATGGTCACACTATGCATGGAAATATACCCACACAGCAGCCATGTCTCAACAGGAGCTTATTTGAAAGGAAATCTTGCATGTTGATCATATTTTAAAAGAATATAGGTTCCTCCAATTAATGTAATCTCTTATCATGTTCACAAGCTTTTCTAAACACATAATATATGTATGGAACAGAAAGTCCCAGATTTCTGAAAATCAACAGGGTTCATTCATTTCGATTCCATTGCTTTTACAGAAGATACGCAAATACAGTAGCAGTGTTTCAACATCAGCTTATCCGGAAGGCAAATTTTGATGTTAAATCCGTTGATGGACGGACAAGCAGACCGACAAACATGTGTAACAACATAATAAAATGTACTGTTATATATGAGGGAATATGTATCAACTGTAGACAAGATGATGCTTAATGATGGTATAAGTAGATTTTTATACTTAACGGATCAATAAATATAATGGTCTATGTTATATACAAAAGCATAACACGATAACATGGGACTGATCATAACTCAATAAATTTGATATATAACGCAAAAACATCGCTCAAATAATATAAAATATATATTACGAAATAAACAACAAATATTGATATATTTCAGATATTTTTATATACCGGTATCTTTATATATATATTTTAATACAGAACTGTTCTATTTTTATTTTGTGCTTTATTTTGGAATATTGACATACCTTTAAATATATGTATTATCAAAATTATTCTTCTCTTTACATACATAGTGATGATATACATGTAGTCTTTTGATGAGACGTATTTATGTTTTCTTGTAAACGAAGAGAAGAATACTGGTAACAAATAAAGGTAATATTGGGTATCATCTTTAATGTTAATTTACTTTCACTTCACAATTATTTCATAGTAATTCTGATCACTTCTGCTGCCCAAATTGTATCTTACTTGGACCTGCGTGATTTATACCAGAAGTTGAAAAACAGAATTTGTTATCAATTTATTCAACTACATATAATAATTGGCTGTTTGACTATACAGTTTATGTAATATATCACAAATATTGCAAATTTAGTGAAAGTGAAGAAATAAGAGTGATTGAGACTATTACTAACGTTTTTCAAAGATTCAGATATTACTCAAATTTTCTTCTTTTAGTATTATCATTGCTCCATTTAGCTAAAAAGAGTGATGTGTGTTGTTCCTGAGACAGTGTATGCATACTTTCTAGAAAACTAGATACAACTTAAAGCGGAAATTTCAAATTTTCAAGTTATATTTTTAAAATGTATTAAAATAAAGCCTTAAAATAGATGGTATCCATAAACAGTCCTGCCTTGTTAAAGAATAATCCTATAAATCTTATAATTCGCTATTGCCAGCTGAGAAATTGGCAAAAATATCATTTTTAACTTCAAATTCTAACGTTGGAAAATGGCTGCCCCATGTTGTCAATAGCAAAACAGGGGAGGTAATTGTGTTGTTATTTCCTGTGTCATAGATTTCTAAGGGTGGGCAATAATGCCCATGATCGTATAATAGTGAGTTGATAACCTATTGAGCAAAAGACAGAAATAATTATGTTTTGACTTTCTTAGAAAATCTGAAATTCTCGCTTTAATACACTGCTGTAATTTGTTTGCTACAGCAATTTACAAAAAAACAAACCTCTATTCGTTTTAGCAGCTAATCTACATAAATTAAAATTGTACAATATTTAATTGTACAACTCCTATGACTTCGTTATAACTATCATAATTGTGAACTAGATTAGAAATTATGTTAATTATATGTTGTTTTCATCTATTAAATATACATAAAGATTTTGTTATAATATTACGCAAGATATGTGATTCAAACTTGCCCTATATCATTCTATTTAATTTACATGTATACAGTTCATTTAGAATTCATAATAACGTCAATGGTGGGTTGAACTAGGGTCCACTTTTACATTATACATAAGGTCATCATTATAATCCACTTATCACCATTATTCTGAAACCACATTGTAAGGTTTTAGTGGAATCATTAATATCTGATGGAAATCTTCCTTGACTAGGCAATTCTATTATATAATCTACACCATGACTAATCTTTCTTATGTAAACTCAATAACATTAACATAAATAAAAGTGGTTTAGATCCTTTAACTCTAAAAGACAAAAAAAGCAATAACAATCAACAATAGAATATCTACTTTCGCTTTTCAATGGAATAATATGTACATATCTGAAGTAAGTTTATTAAAATTTATAATTACATGAACACAAAGAAAGCTTTTTTCTTGTAAAATGAACATGATAGATTCACTAATTCTACTATGTCAGTTCTTGCATTGGGTTGTTTTACATAAAATAAGTTACATAAAGCGAGGAAGGAATATAGTACATTATACAAGTCAGTTATAAATAATTTCACCAAAATCACAATTATACATGCACTGATATTTTAAGTACGCAAAATTTTTGTCAGCAATATGATCAAATTCTATGCCAATTTTGATTTGATTGCTTTTCCAAAATTTTTGACTTTTGTCCCAATACCTGGCCTTTCTGTTGATGGACCACTTCCATCTCTATATTCCATTACTCTGGACATAAATATATCTGAAAATATAAAATATAACATATTCCATTACTGAAAATATCTGAAACATATCTGAAAATATACAATATAACAATAACATATTCCATTACTCAGGACCCTACTCCTTGTCACATACAACTGTGGGATTGAAACACGCCAGTAGACTCAATGACAGACTTTATGACACAACGCACATGCGCAAACCATTCAGCTATCCAACCCCCTCCCCTCTTATTACTATAAAAACATTTTTTTCTTACTTTATCAATAGTAACCCAAGTTCATTTAGTAAATATTTCATGGTTCTACAATAATTGGCCATTAAAAAAAACTAAACTAAAGTCTAGACTTACCAACTGTACCCCAGTCTCGTTTCTCCAGATGGTTTGTAATAAAAACCTCAAACATCTGGGTTTCTGTAAACCATTCCAAAAACTGTTGTAATCCATGAGATTCTACTTTACTAATAAAATTTTCCTTCTGTAAAACAAATTAATCAGTGAATACACATCCTAAATTTAATGATGTTTTATTGTAATATTTAAAAAAAGCTTCTGGTGGTGATATGGTTGCATGAAGTTGTTTAGTGGGTCTACTAGTATTTTTGTCAGTATTAAATCAAATTATCAACATGCTGACTGCTGAGGGTTCAGCAACATCCATAAACAATTATAATTTTTTCTCTGTATCTACTTTGTTATTTGTTAATGTTACTAGTGTATCTTAAGTTGTATTAGGTGGTTCACCAGCTACAAATTTTGTGTGTGTGGCTAACTTTTGTTTGTAGCCTGACCTTGTTCATATAAAAGAGTGCACTGAATCTAATAACAGAAAGTTATTATACAGTTCATATCTATAGTTCAATAATTCCTGTCTGGGTCTTTAGGAGTGAGAGTAAACCACATGGGTTTAGACAGGCAACCCTATTCTTTATCTCATACATACAGCTTGGGATCGAAACCATGCCACCACACCCATTTTACACATCACTTAACCCTTAGGACTTGTTGCAGAGAGACCAGCCGCGGTTGCCCCTTGGAGAGAATACCAAGTGGCCGGTGTACCTGTTGGTACCTGTTCGGCCAATCAGTAACGAACAGGTACCCGTGGACAGCAAGTTGATATTCTAGCTGGTTCATAATATTACAAAAAAGAAACCTTTGGTCCAATTTTACCCTGGGAGCTAGTATATAGGCCTAATGTTGTTCAGGGCGTCGATGTCAAAAGGGTTAAAGCATACCCGTTTTCAAAAGATTTTAATACCTATTGTTTAAATATGAAACTTACCAAGAATATTCTCTTATTATCCTGTTGTGTTGTAATAAATTCACCATAATGACCAACAGTTTCAACAAATACACGAAGAAAAGCTTCAGATATCATCAATGACTGAGATCTTTCTGCCTCTGAAAAGTCATCAAAATAATTTTTGGAGAAAACAGACATCTTACAATAAAGAAGAATATTAAAATTTGTTTATTATACTCTAAAAAGCAACTACCACAATCTGCCATTTTTTTTAGGTATTACCTTTAGACATTTTTTTTTAATGTTATGAAAATGAAATGGGATTTAATACAATCTGATTGAAACACAGATCCAATTTCGTTTCGTTTTTATAGTTCAAAATTTCGATTTAATTGTCTTTACTACACTTGGATCTGGAAGCGTTGTTATTTAACTCGTGTTCTGCTTGAAATGAGGGGTCAACCAATCAAATAGTCTGTCGAATCGAGCGTTTGACCTTTTTAGCACGGAACTGTGGGTAGACATTAGCGGCAATAGAAATCAAAACAAAGCAAAAGTAGATCAAAAATACATGGCGGTCGCTAATTGGTTAATTGAATGAATGACATAATCGGGTCAAATGTCGCTTGCTTGGTACCTGACGTCATAAAACGTGAACTCCCACTATAACTTGTTAGATCTACATGTAGTGTAGGCCATCGAAAGTATAAAAAACGAAACAGATATAGATCTATATTTTAATTAGGTTGGATTTAATATGTCACTTTTCTGCACCAACCAGACTAATGAGGGAGATTTTGCCTGGACAGCAACATTTCCGCCTACTGGAATTCCAAATGCCAAGGGTTATTTTACATGCACACCAACGTTTACACAGAACCTCTGTTTTTTTCCCCCATCCGAACAACAAGACTTTGTTCCTAGCATCATTGACAAATGGAAAACGTGCTGCAAAATCTCAAAGAACTTGCCTATCTAACACCAAGATCAAACCCTGGACCTCCTGGTTACTGAGTCAGCGCTTTATTCACTGAGCCACAGTGGCTTTTAATGCACATTATAACATCTAATAAAAGATGATTTATAGTTACCTATGTCTAGTTTACACATATTGATAGCCATCTTTAAGGCTTTAATAATCTTTTTAGGTAATATAGTAGATTCATCACCAACAGTTTGTATAATATTCTTCTTATCTAGATCTACTATCACCACCTATATAAATATATAACATTTAGTCAAATTAAAGTAGATAAAGGATTTGTTAAATCTTCATGTTGTCTAGCCTGCACATTATTTCATTGCAGTTTTAATTCTAGTTGGCATAAACTTTTCAATTTCTGTGTTTCTGCAAATTGGGATAGTGTATACCATCTTCAAAGCTATATATACACCAGCCATTTTCTTTAATATAGTTGCATGTCATATACCAACTTAAAGGTTTATGTACAAAATATAAAGAATTATCTACCATATATGTCTGATTTAACATGTATTATTGAAGTAAATTAGAACTCACCTCATCTAAAGGCATATCTAAAACTTGATTAAGATGTGATGTAAGTATTCCTATAAGATATGGAGTTGGTGAACAACACACATCTAACATGGCCGCCGGTAATATAGGTATGTAAATATGTTGCCAATGAAAAGGATATAACAAGGCCACAATAGCATGAATAGCTTGAGTTAAACAACTGAAACAAAGAAAAACAAAATCAGTTTGAATTCATTATGACAAATATCATCATGTGTTTCATTATTCTCTAATTTGTTGTCAACTGACAGTATTCCGAGGTCTCACTTTGGAGATTTATTATTCTGTTACTTAATGATTGATTGTATTTGTTTTAAATCTGCATGCAACATTTTTAGAAACTATGACTTTACTTAAAGTAATAAAGCTCCTAATCTCAGATCCTACCTTAAATTATTTGAGCAGAGAATAATTCTTCTTTCTAACAATAATGATGAGAAAACTTTAATTAACTTGTCTGTACCAAGATACGGTAATAAACAATCATATTGAACCTGTAATACAAATATCAATGAAATTTATCAAAGTAAAAACAATCCAGATCATTCACAAATATTCAAAAACATGTACTATATTACATGTAATGATTAAAATAATAATCTTCAGTAGAGAAGATCATAGACCCATAGTACTATATACAACATAATTGTACACAATATTTTTAGATATATATACAATAGCTATCATAATCAATGATTATTGTTGTTAGTGTGTAATAAAATTAAACAAGCCAACAGAAAGATATCCCCTGCCTCAAACCCAATATACATGATACTTATTTATTATTGCACAATCAAATTTTGTATCATTCTATTTAACCTAAGCAGAAAATGCTCATCATGGAACTTAGTCAAGGTAATGATGTAAAGAAACTGTAAGTGACCATAATGTGGAAATAGCCAATTCCAATCATTAGCAATTCTACAACCACAATTGAGTCTGTCAATGTGTATGAATAGGAATCATGTTATAGGGGAGATAACTCTGCTTGATTTGTAATTTTCAACAATGAGGCATGAAGAGCGAGAGAAATGGGGTTTAACATCCATTCAACGCAAACTAGGTCATTTTGGGACTAAAGCTGCATAATATGCAAATGTGCAAATATTTCTATAGCCTAATGGAATACATTATTTTGATTAATATATTTAGAATGACTTACATTTTCTAATCTAGCATCTGATGGTCTATTTAAATGAATTGTTTCCATTTCTCCTATTTCATCCTGTAAACAAACATATAAACAGAATAAAATATGTATAGATAGATATATGACTGATCAGCCGAAGAGTAATAATATGATGTCAAGGCCAGATTAGACATTTCTTCTTATAAAGCAAACAAGCCTGCAGTTTAAGAGATTTAAATGAAAGGGCTACATGTATCTTGTTCCAAAATGGTTTATAAGATATGCTGGGATGGAACAGGCAGAGCCAATTTCAACATTGGCTCTGCCTATCCTTCCTTAACTTCATTCATTGTGGGATAATAATTCATGAGAGGTCATACATATATTTAGATCCATAATTATATTTTACACTTACCAAACAGCGTATTTGAACATCTTGACCAGGTTTAGGCAATGGTCGACCAAAAGAAGCAGCCAGTAATTCTTGTGCTAATTCCAGTGTTTTTACTCTTTTTAGTTCGATTTCATTTAATAACTGAAAGATAAAAAAACTCAATAACTACATTCATTGTATTCATTTAAAATTTCAATACTAACCAATTAATAAGCCTACTCATTATGTTTGAAAAAGAAAGGAAGAGAGTTTAAAATATTATATTTAAGATGCATTATGTAAGATTTAAATAAAGAGCTGACTGTTCCTGCTATAATAGTTCAAAAATAGAAAATCAAAAATTAATATATTGAAAATTTCAGTCAAATTATTTTATTCTGAGCAAAGTTAAGAATGTTTGAAGTTTTGACAAGAAATATTGTATATAATCTTGACTGTCAATTTATAAGTACCATGGCTATAATAATTAACAAAGTTTATTTTCTCCATTTTAACATTTAATGAAGATATGACAGACAATTAAATATTCCAGCTATCCGATAATTTAGAAAGTTGATTATGGGCCGGCTATGTTTGATTATGGGCCTGCTATGTGAATAAATGTCTAAATACTGGTAATAATATATATATATAAGACTGCCTTATAACATTTGAAACCAGAAAAAAGACCTGCACTAGGCAGATTTAGCTCTTATATAATGTAACTGTGGTTATTACAACTTTTTCAAGATTAACATAATGGTAACTTGTATTATCTATGTTTAATACAGAAATTCCAACTATTAAAATAATTTCTTAAAAGGGGAAAATTGGCTTCAAATATCCAACAGGATCCTTGACCACCCAAGCTAATGAATTTGAGTTTTGTTATATAGTCATTGACACAGTGATGTAACAAAATGACTCATTCCCCTTGATTAGTTAGAGTTTACATGATGATAAGACAATATTACTTACTGTATTATACATATTACTGGCATCAACAGGACTTATTATACATAATACTTCTGGAAGACGACTTTCTGGTACCTAAAAATAAACAATGTCCAGGATTAAAATAACATTTACATATATTACGTGATCAAAATGTGTCATGATCAGGGCAGTGCATGCTCACTATTTCCGAAATAGTTCATTAGTTGTTACTACTTGTCACATTGCGTTAACAATCTGGTTAAAACATGGATCCTATTTCGTTTCGTTTTTATAGTTCAAAATTTCGTTTTACTTGTCTTTACTACACTTGGATTTAGAAGAGTTGTTCTTTAACACGTGTCAGGGATAAGCCAATGAAACGGTCTGTTACGGCGAGCTTTAGGTGTGTTTTTTACGGAACTGTGGGTAATTCACTAGTAACATCAATGCTGATTGGTTAATCAAATGTCTGACATCATAGGGTCATAAGTTGGTCTTTTGACCCCTGACACGACCTATCGCTACAACTTGTCAGATCTTCATGTAGTTTAGGCCATCGAAAGTATAAAAAACGAAACGAAATATAGATCTGTATTTTAATCAGATTGATTGTGTTAATAGCCAAACACCTTTGAAATAACTTTTATGGCATTTGAATGAAGTTTTGAGGATAAAATACAGTTATATAATCTGATTAATGATCTGTTTCTAAATGTTAAAAGGTTGTGTTTTTACCTGTACTCTTTTACAATAACCAAATACTCTACCACCATCAAAATTTGTCAGCACAAACGAATATGATTGACTGAGGAAAAAAAACAAAACAGATTTCTTTATAAATTATACTTTTAAATAAAGAAATGAAATGAAATGAAATGGGGTTTAACGTCCTACTGTTCTGCTCTTCAACTGGGCTAATGAAGACGGGCATACACCATACAGTGTGCTATGAGGGAAATTTTGCCCGGGCAGTGGCGCTTCAGCCTACTCTTATATCGAATTCCAACTGCCAAGGGATCTTTTACCTGCACACCAATATGTACACAAGACCTCGGTTTTCCGTCCCATCCGAACGACTAGACAGCTGTTCTTGTCGGGCCCTCCGTCCTGCCTCACTGACAAGGGGTTTAAATAAAGACTATTCAGGATATAAGTTTATTAATGCTTCGCAGAGCAGGAAAATCTATAAAATATTTTACCTTTTCATATTCTTCTCTGGTTTGAAATCAGCAGCATCAGGAAAACAGAACAATGGTACGGACACATTGCTATCAACCTATAAAACAATATTACACAACCTCTAATACAATAATACAAAACTTCTAGAATAATAGTAAACAACTTTTAAAACAACACAGATACATTAATATCAACCTGGCATAAAACAGTAGTAGTAATAATACATTACTAACAACCTATAAAACAATGCACTGATGATACATGCACACTTACATTACTTTCAACCCATAAAACAATAATATTACTCATGGTACATTATTATCAACCTAATATAAAACAATAGTGTTCATGGTATTACTTTCGGCTTATTATAGTACAATACTGATATTAATGATACATTACTATAAACTTGGTATTTAAAAATATCTTTGTATCAACATTGTATGAAACAATATTAATATTATCTTGCTATCAATATTATTAATACAAATGTATCTTAGTATCAACCTGGTGGTATAAAACAATATTAATGATACACAACTATCAATCAATGTTAATGATACATTATTATCAACCTAGACAAAATACAACTAAACTAACAACCCAGTATTAATTAATGATACATTATCAACATTATAATTTAAGACAGTAGTAATCTTCACACATTACTAAAAACCTAGTATGAACAAATATATATTACTATCAACCTGGTATAAAACAAAGTAATCATCATACATTACTAACAACCATTGGTACCGCAACCTATATTATAATAATATTTTGACTCCCAAAAGAAATGTGAAACCTTTTAGGAATAAATGTACATGTATACATACATGTATATGAAGAGAAAGATAATCACACGGCAGTAAAAACACGTAAATATCTAGATGGGGATTAATATTAAAGGTCATAAATATCATGGGAAGAATGAACAAATAAATTGTGTAGAGAAATAAAAGCAACTTTGAAGAATACCTGTACATGTTTTTTGCTCTGTATCGACTTACAAAAAATACTGAACAAATACGATATTCTGATATGTATTAATCGATATGATGCTTGTATAAGTAAATATATTGTATATACAAACAGCTAGCTTATATATACTACATTGAAAATACAGACTGATCTACATAATCTTACCATATTAGTACATACATATAGATGACCTTCAGTACTAACTTTATAATTCCTCTGATAGCATTAAATACAATAAAATGAGTGTTACAGATAATTTATAATCTAGGATCGTAAAGCATTAATAAATAAATGGAGCAGAAGCTCTGATTATTGTTTTCATTCTTAAGGTTTTTTTTTATTGTTTAGGACTGATAACAATGGTATATGTTTCAGTCATTCACGGTATTCAGAGGCCTTAAACAGCTGTAAAGTATTTTTGCACTACACAAATTGAGACTTATTAATTACTATTAATTTATTATTATTAATTGAGCACTAAATCTCTATTTCCTTCATCCCACCTGGGTAATAAATTGATTATCCATCCATATAGGTTTTATAGTATTGACAAATCAAACTTTGAGTAAAACTTACGATTTCAGGAAATTTATGGATGATGTATGGTTCATATCCCTGACCAGCAGGAACTGGACGTAAACCAACTATAACCGCATACTCAAATAACTGTGGATATATTCGTGTTAAAAATTCTTTGGACTTCTTTATACTTTGATACTGAAAATCACAACAATATCATTATAGATTAATCTTTGTCTGAAAATCAAACTTTTCATATGGTTATTATATCATATATGACTTTGTGTGGAATTACCTGTAAGAATGACTGATATAAAAGAGAGAGAGAGAGAGAGAGAGAGAGAGAGAGAGAGAGAGAGATAGAGATAGAGATGGGGTTTAACATCCACTAGGTCATTTCGGGACTAACATATGGTTTAATTTTATTTCAATAATTCGCTTGCGCATAAGGGTCTTTTGCAGTGGGAGGAAACTGAAGGACCCGGAGAAAACCCTACTCCTTGTCACGTACAACCGGGGGTTCGAAACCATGCCAGTTGACTCAATGACAGGTCTGATGATACAGTGCGCACGTGCTAACCATTCGGCCACCCAACCCCCCTGATATAAAAGAAAACCTTATTAATTAACCCTAAATGTATACAGAAACATATTAAGGGTGATTCGATCGTGTGCATAATATCGGACATGCAGAATTTAATATCTTGAACATTACACTGATCTTAGATTAAGATTTATATAAAAAACTGTTCACTGTTATTACTGATCAAAGGATTAATTTGGTTTGTCATTTGAACATTTTTCTACATTCAATATTTGAATGTAAGCAATGCATAACTAAGTCATTTACATTTTTCTCACGGCTTAATCATGCTAATATGTACTCAAACTCAGATTGATTATTTAACATGTACTAAAGAAAACAAAATCAAAATACCAAAGCTAGATAATCTGCCAGCTTGGATTCAATCGGATTCAAAATAGGTCTATCATTTCTATTTGCCCCAATCAAAATGGTGGCGCGCATATTATATAGCAAGCAGCATACATGTAGATCAATGAAATTTCAACTTAACATATCTTTGTAAATACTGAATGAAATTGAACCATTAGAGATTCACCTTTCACAATATTGTAGTTTACAAGAGATTCTATAGAGCTAAAATGATGCAATGAGACTTTAAATAATACTTACAGTTTTATTTCTTATGGTTGATGCGTAGGTCTTTCTTTTCAAAATCTCAGCCACGTCAACAAAACTGTCTGAATCATCTTAAAAATAAAATTCATCCCATATAATGTTTACATAGTTTACATAATCCACTACACCATTGTATAGAATGTCTGATATCTGACAAATGTAATAGCAAGGACAGAGAAATGAAAATAGCTTCATCTCTTACTTGATAATGTGTCCAAAGTGTCTGCTTGATCCATTCCGTCATCTTGTTTTCCCTGGACATAGCGTCGTAATATAGAAAATGCTTGATTAATCTTATCACGAACCTAAAAAATAAAAATTGGTTTAAATCATAAAAATACAACTAAGTGCAAATAAACACAGAAATAAAATACAAGTAGCGTAATAAGGAAAATATTCATCCATAAAAACAATCAAGGTTATTTCAAAATGACTTCGAATAATAGAAAAAATAATGGGATATTTCTTGACAATGGTATAAAGATAAACATGTAGTTCCTTGACAGTCATAATCCTCAATTTTTTTACCATTGATTGGAAAATAAATTCAAACTACAGAGAAAAAATAAATTTGTTGTAAGATTTCAATACAGGAAGACAATGAGTGAGATCATTGTTGGTAGGTACATGTACCTGAAAACATATTTGAAAATAATACAAATTTTAATGAATGAATGAGCACGCTAGCACAATTGAATGGTTGGTAGGCAATAGAAATCACACTAACATTTGAATAGTGTGTCAATGATCGACAATCTATAATAATCAACTTTTCTTCAAATTTTTTTGAATTATGTTGCAATACAAGTCTAATAGAAATAACATGTATATGTACTTTCAGATAAAAATAAGATTTTGGGCCCAGTACAATGTATATAACCTAATTATGTATACTCGAATGACAAAGGTTTAAAATCTAAAATAATATCAACATAAAAATCAACCTGATTTCTACATCTTTTGTTGACCTTCAATGGATCTTCTGAAGTTTGAGAACTGCTAGACATTCCATGTTTCATATCTGGTACAATTTTCTTCTTCAGATCATCAAATCTAGCTTTTAAAGCCTCACTGAATGGTCTCTCATGCTATGAAAAAAATCCACAATTTCATAAAGTTATATGTTCAATGCAGATGTACTTGAATGTTATCCTGTATTATTATAAGACATACATGTAATAATACATCCTACATGAGTATATCCGTTATAAACGGAATTCTCCGTAAATACATATTTCTATAAATATTTGTATCAATTCAAAATTGGGACAATGGATGATGGATATATGAACCAACAAGTTGTACAATAAGATAATGAAACAGAATCTAATTTCCTACTTCTCCACATTAACCAGGCTTATGAAGGCGATGTACAAGATATCGCACTGATAATTCTACAATATGTGATAGTAATGTAGATAACTTAATATATATACAATGTAAATGTTTTCAATTTCTTAACTGCATAGGTGTGGAAATTGGGGTAATCTGCAAGAAAAATATACATTACACTACTTTACATATTATTTGTGAAACAATCCCTGATGGTTCTACATGTCTCAGATTAGCGGCTTTTGACAAAGAATAAATGTATTTATGTTTTAACTATCTCTAAACTCTAATGTATTTTACCATACAACAAAATAGAATACACCTACGATATATATCAGGCCTATCAAATGTAATATGTGAATAATCTATTATTAACAGAATCATATTATTAAACTATTATTAGCCCATTTAAATTCCAACCCCATCTGTAAACAATGTCAACATCCATATTCTGTCAAACAAACTTACTTTTTCAAAATATGTCTGTACTTCCTGATGAGCACATGTAGGTACATAAATCCATTTAAGCATGTTGACACAGTCAAAAATATACACACTTTAAAAGCAGTACATCAATTATGTGTAATCCTCATTTTAAATACATGTCATCTTGAATAATCACCACAGAGGAAGTGACATGACCTCAGTTTTATTATTCAGCTCATTAAATGAAAAACTAAAGGAAATTATTATATTAAAATTGAGTTTCTTACAAGTCATCTATGTGTGGCTGATTCACAAATATATAGCCTACATTTGACATACATGTATGTACATTCAAATTACTTTATTCTGAGTCAAGTTATCACTGCTTGTAGTCTTGACAAGATGTGTGCATATTGAATATATCCACTGTACTGGTCATTTGAGTCTTAGCCTTGCTTCTCCATTTTTAGATTAAATCATTAAATGGTCAACCCATTCTAATCTACTTAAAATCAGAGCAATCCAATGGCATAGAAAGTTGATTATGGTCTTGTCATGATAATAAATGTTAAATTAAAAAATTCAAGGCCTAAAGAATGACCTGCAATAGGCAGATTTAGCTCTTACATAATGTATGTTTAATCAAGTGTAATTAATATATCATTTGGGAACCAATCAACAGTGATAGTAAAATTATCACAATGGAATGGAATGGGGTTTAGTATGTGATAATACTTTACTTACAAGCAGGTTTTTTGCTGGACCAACATAATATTATTTATGGAATTTTTCTATTTTCATAGTAACATGTACATGGAGTGGGTGGGATTCTGCTGAGACAGTGGTATTTCTGTCTGCGATAGGGTTGGGCAATATACTGGTTTTTCGGTATATCGTAATAAAAACGTCTGCATTTTTTATCATATCAGACTTATCTAATTGTGATTGTAAATGTAGAGGGATCTTTTTACATGGACACTCAATTAGGTTTTTTTCTTATCTCATCCCAAAACCAGAAACAATATCCTTGTCAATCCCATGGGCAAAATTCCAGGAATCCAGTCACTTGTACTTGTAAACATTTTCTTCGATAAATAAAACATAACCAAGCCTCTTTGGTCTTACAGGTCAAATATAGATTCATAAAAATAAGAAATTGTGTCCATGAAGTGCCTAAATCTAATGGCTGTACTGAATGAACATTGGCATATGGGACACTTTATAATGTAAAAGGTCTACAAGAAAAATTTTAAAATATTGTACAAATATCACACCATTGCCTAAAATGTCTTCGCTGATTATCTAAAAATAAATTATTGCAGCCTGAAAAAAAAAATTCATTTTTTGGGGACACATTTAGGAAAGCTAGAGCTTCTATCAATCCCTGCCTATAAAAATCAAAAATAAGTCAGTTGGACCATTAACACAGCTGTTTGGTGGGTTTTTTGAAGTTGCGAAATGGATTATTTTTAAATCAGGAAACCCATACATGTATATCATTATTATATCATTTCATTAAAAGACTATTATATATAGTTTACAAAATAACTTTAGGCTCAAGCTACATTGTACTATATCGTAATCTCCACATACATTCTACTATATATTGTAATCCATAACCAAAACTGCAAAATATTTAGGTCAAAAATAAAATTGTAAATTTCATTGAATTTTATATGTTCATTTGTTTTGTGGGATGACAATTGATCTGTGATATCCAAGAACAAGGAAGCCATAAACCTTTATATAACAAAGAGAAAGGGAAATATAAAATTGGTACGTGATTGAATATACTTCCTATCTGTATTTAGTAAAAGGAAATAGATAATCATTCATTGGTTTCTTAACATCATAATTGACATCTGTATGAAACTGACAACAGACTTATTTACTGAACTTTATTTTAAGTTGTAGTATATACGTATGTTGATGTTAATTTTCACCTACATGAATTTAAAATCATTATTTATTGATAAAAGAAGCATGGTCATCATTATGAGCAAAAACTTGAAAGTTTGTTGTAATACACAATAACTGATGTTTATAAGCTAGCTTAAACATACATTATGCAAGAGCTAAATCTGCCTATTGCAAGTCTTTCTTTAGGCCTGAAATGTAAACTAAATTATTAATTAGACATTAATTAACTTATCCAGACCATAATCAACTCTCGATGGTATCGCTAGCCTGCGATGTTTATTGGATTAGGTTCCGATTTCCTGTTCGACTTCCATTTATAATTTAATCATGAAATGGATACCGGTAATCAAGACTATGTTTTTTTTAGCAAATTACCTTTACATTTTCTAGTTTCTAACTATTATAGTGAGAACTGTCAGCTCTTTATCTAATCTCCCATAATGTATCTTAAACTGTGTCTGTCTGAAAGGGCTATATAATTTATCTCCTTCACAGACTAACAAATTTAAATTTTCTAAATTACATTTACTACATGTATCTAAAATCTAAATAATTTCTGGCCATGTTTTTCATAAATGTAAATAAGGAAAATGTTGTTTTTTACCGCTACCCACTAATAAATACAAACGAATGCTTCATTTCAGAGAAAAATATCCCAACATGTCATTCTCTATAAGGAAAATTTCCTAAGAAAACAATTTCGTAGCCTTCAAGGAAATTTTCACTAAATTGAAATGTTTATTTATGACCGGATGTGCGCGTTGTATCATAAGGTCTGTCATTGAGTCAACTGGCGTGGTTTTGATTCCCCGGTTGTACGTGATTCTTTCCAACTTCGTGGGTCTTCTCCGGGTTCTCCGGTTTCCTCCCACTGCTAAAGACCTCTACGTGCAAGCGAATTATGCCCCCCCCCACCCATTCTTTTAGACGAAGTAGGATACATGTACTTACTGTTAGCTCTGGATCTAAAGAGAATTTATCTTGAAGTTTACGTTTGACAAACTTATTAGGTACAGCATAACCCTCTCTGTCAACATAAGCCTCATATGATTCTTCTTGACGTAGTTCTGATGGATCATGATAAAAATGTTCACTGCCTTTCTGTGCGTTATATAAACATTCGGAACTCAAACTTTTTACCAGAGGGAATCTATTGGGAGATTCTTGAACAAAGGAATCAACATCATTCTCTCCTGAAGAATTTGGTCTATAAAGTTTCGGTTTACGCGGTAAAGTTCCATATTTCTTAAAGGGAAGCGCCAACTCATATGGCGCTAGAGGTGGCTTTGAGTCTGGTATTTCTGGAGGTTGTTTGGGGAAAAATAAACATTCTTTTGCAACAGTACTAGAAGCAGGCGATGATTTTGGCTCACACATTGTCACTGGGCGTAGTCTAGGAGGCGGGGGTCTAGAAGGGGGTGCATTTCTTTTTGATGAATCATCCTGAGACAATGGTCGCTGATGAAACTGAGTGATTCTATCTCTAACCGAAGCTACTGGTACATGTACATGTTCCTCGACACTTGGCTTCACGTCATCTAAACTTTGATACAGAACATTGTCCATTATAATCATTTCATTGTTTTGCAGTTTTGTTCTCAAATAGTCATCGTGTGCATGAGTTCGTGGGGGTTTAGAAGGAGCAATTGGTACCGTGTCATCATTCTCTGCTTGCTTTTCAGTTGATGTCTGAGAAGAACTGGGTACTGTATTTTTAGTCTTATTGACTTTAGCGTACTCTGGAATACTTCCAGCACTTTTTTGTCGGACATGACCTGGTCTCGTTTTAGGTAATGCTGGTCTTTCGGGGGCTGACTTCTTTCCTTCAAAGAGTTTTGCCTTTTCCGAAATATCAATTTTGGTATAACTGACTTCTTCATTGTTGCCTTGATCATTACGGGAACCTGAAAGTGGTAATTTTGGACTACCTGGAATGACTCCAAAATCGGACTGTGAAAATTTAGAAGTACTGTTGTCAAAATTTCCAGAGAAGCGCTTTGGACTGACTACAGGTTTTCCGGTGAGTGGAACTGTCATGTCTGTTTCAGATTTCCTATTTGGACAACTACGGGCTGCTTTTTTAACACCTTGCTGTCTACGTAACTTAACCTCCAATTCAGAAGTAATGTCAGATTTACTGTCACTCTGTTCGACATAATTAACGGTTTTAAAACTTTGTCTTTTCACAACTGGCTTGCCAGTACCATTTACATGGGGTGTTCTACTTAAAGGGATTTTTTGGGGGGATTCGTATATTCGGTTAAGACTTTCCGTTATATCACTTTCACCACTTAATGCAGATTTATGAACAGGCACGGAATATATTTTAGGTTTTGCAGGAAGGTCGGACAATTTGGGTTTACTCCGAGGTAATGGTTTTGGCTGGGGCGAAGCACCATCTGGCTGTGCTACGTCAGTTGAGGTTTCATCTGATGTTCCTGTTTCAAACATTTTTCGAATGTTATGCATTCTGCCGTCTGGCAAGTTTCGAATTGAGTCTGTGGACCCAACATCTTGATCCATGCTCAACCACAATAAGACAAGTTGTCAGGTGGGTATCTATAATCACATTTTAAGAAATTTTACAACAGGGGCAGGCAAATCACAATTCAGCAAATCAAGTGACATCCATTCTACTTTCATTCTTCTTCTGTGACAAATAAACCTGAAACAAAAAATATAAAACAAAGTAATTAGCAACTGTCATTTTAAAATTATCTGAAATCATAATATCATTCATAAACATGTACATGTACATACATGTACCATTATAATGACATTATTAAATAAAAACACTTTGAAATGTTGAAATGTTTATATAACAGTTAGGGTTTACATGGGGCAGGCATATCTAGTTAGGCAATGTCAATCATGGTAAGCTTATAGAAAGCAAGATCAATATTGTATACTTCCATAATATAGTTATTTGCAAGGTGTTATTGAACCCAGCTCTGAAACGTTCCATTCTTTATCCTTACTCTATATTGTATTACTGATCCAAATAAATTTTGCAAAAACCAATTAGAATTAGAAGACTTGTACTGATATTAAACAGAGTTAACAGTGACATGTTCACAGATATACATTTTGAGAATGACTACAATAAGATTAATAACACTCTACAATTAAGATCAAAAAGATTAACAAAGACACTTAAAGCTACTTTAGGCTAAATTGTCAAAAGATAACTCTCAATTTACACAAGGCCTACAACCAATACAGGAAAAAACCAATGCAGATGAGACTAGCCATTACTACATGTAGAATGATGCCCTAAATTCACTAATACTAAATACTGTGTGTACTGTAATACCATGTAGTATTTGTATTAATATTCATAAGAAAGAATCATAATGATACAATTGTTGGCAATATTGACAAATAGCCAAGTAATTATCCCTTGAGTATTACATCCACTGACAAGAAATACCAGAACTGTCAACACAAAACGATATTGAAGTTCGATCTGTATGTGTCATCACACTTTTAATCATGACTATGTCAGTAAATTATGGTTATTTTCTAATGGACGTGTCATCATAGCACTCATAAGTAGGTGCCATAGCCTTGAGCATTCTTAAATGAATTACCCGCTTAACCCTTTTTGTTTATGCGACATGGCAGTCTCATCCCGACACACTCAAATTCTCCTAATCAATAAGATGTGGGTCGTAATTCTGACCCAGAATTTTTATAAAACATTATTGATTTTTTTTAGGCTTTTGAAAAAAAAATCTGGTGAAAGCCTACAGCTCATGGATCTTTTATTAGATAACAAATGAGATCTTTTTTTTTCTTCTTCCTATAAATAGTGACTATGCAATGCCATTAAGATTAAGAAAAGAAATTCTTGTAAGCTCTGGCCTGGTGAGATCTCAAAAGTATTTGTATAAGGTCCTAATTGGTTGGGAAGATGCATTATCTTGATTGATTACAGTTTTAATAGACATTTTTTAAAAAAATCTAATAAGACTTGGTAAGGACCAATGTGTTTAGATAAGATTTTTGGAACAAAAACAGACAATTCAGTGGACAATTACAAAATTTCAGGCGAATGGGGTTTAAATATCCTATTTTTCGGCAATGACTGGGCTAATGGAGACAGGCATACGACATGTATGTAGTGTAATATGAGTAGTATTTTGTCCAGACAGCGGTACTAAGGCCTACTTTTATTTTGATTTCCAACTGTCAAGAATTCTTTTACATGCATGCCAATGTGTACACAGGACCTCAGTTTTTTAATCCAAACAACTAAACACTGTCCTTGCACCACTGACAAGGGGAAACTTGAGCAAATATGACATATTTTTGTAAAACCACTTTCACAATGAATAACAAGAGCATCGCTACCACTGCAATATATGTCCACATTCCTGCTTTGATTGATATGGTATTTTTTAAAATGAAGAGAATGAAATATGAAATGGCTGCAATGACTGTTATGACTTCCATCAAGTTTTAATTCATTTTATACCATATGCCTACATAGTCAGATCAACTGATATTCTAAATCTATTGTTTTTATTTTCAAAAACATTATAAATTATAAAATGATATATAGACTTATAATGCACTGGGGTACATTGAACCAGTGATTCAATTCAAAGTGCCACATCACAGTTTTATGATCAAAATTTTTAAAAAATTCAAAAAAGATCAAGCCCTTGTTTATCTGGATTGTAGATTAGACATATTATGAACTGGTTGCAAGAATGCAAGTACAAGAATTTCCTAGGCTAAACTAAATTATTAAATGATAGTCTATCTGGAGTGCATAAATACATTGAACCATGGTTCAAAGTACCCATTGACAGTGGTTCAATCTGCCATATCACAGTTTCATGATCAAAATTTAAAAAAAAATATCAATGATTAGTGCCTGAAATTCTGCCAGACTGCATGTCGACAGTCATTTTTTTCAGAAGATTTCTGGGAAAGGGCGCCATACCACAAGTTGGAGCGTGCACCTTTGCCCCCATAATCTTGGACTTTGCACCAGCTTTACGGCCTAGTCCTAGCACAGATGGCTGGCGCCACGTAGGGCCTACACTACTACTACTACTAACTTACAAATTTAATCAAAAATAGCTTGTGTTGAGCCAGGAACTTTCAAACAGTGAAACTTGACTACAATTAATATAAAGAAATTAGAGTTAAAACATTGCTGGATTTGGTTTAATTGTGCTACAACGCCTATGATGATTACACAACATGAACATCTCAACAAATAAAATACCGGTATTGCATTTAAAGTACCGTAGCTAAGTCTCTAACTCAATATCATCCAAAATCTTCGACATTGAATTCACAAATTATTTGTCAATTTAAATCAACATTGATGTTATGATCTTACCGGGAAAAGATAACCTTCTGATATCCAATATTTAAGACAAAATAAACATTTTACGATTGGTACGCGAATCGTGTACCATAAGCGTAATATTATGCGTTTCAGCGCTATTTGTAATAAGGGAATCGAAAAACAAGGCTAGGCATATTCCACAATTCATGTCAAACGGTGACACTATATTCTTATCTGGAGACCATACCATTACCAAATAAATACTATCGGCGTAGACTGGAAAAAACAGACGCTAGAGATTGAAATTCGATTGAGAATACTGGCGTATTTTGCCGAACCTAACTGATTAGAAATTACAGTAAAACAAGAACGATTGAATGTAAATCAATTTATATACATTCATATTACATTATTATATGCGTTGCGACCCATTTGTGTCAATTTCTAGGTCCGAAATATTAGCAACTTGGCTCCTTTAATAATGATTTCTAGTTTTTCCCTAAGGAAGGACAAGATGTTTCTTTAAATTCCTAATAACCTTCTATCAGTATTGGTAAATTCTTAACAAAAAACACTGTCACAGACTGTATGATAACTGTTTTTAGGCTATAATGATTATATGACAAGATTTCATTGATAGCGAATGAATTCAATCATTCAATTGCTGATAATTATGTCAAGTCAAAGAATGTGATCTAAGTCCTGGTGTTTTAGACAGACTTCTGTATTGTCTGTCGCTATTAAATAGTTTCTGGAATGAACTGAATGAAATAAAGAGGCCATTCCAGCTAGTTTAAGTTAAATAATATTAGAATCTATTACCATGCAGAACCTTCAGATTTATCGTTGTGTTTATTTTAGCTTTCATTCACTTCCCTGATACAAGGACTTCGGCCCTTTCCGTAAAGGGCGCTTGTCGGTAAACTCCGTATATTTCCGCTTCCGGTCTCTTCGTTCGTAATCTGCCAAGATGGTGGGTCTTGTTTTCATTCACGTGAAATTTACCCGTTGTTCAATCTGAAGGAATCGCAATTACACTAGTATTAAATAAAATATAACATTCCTAGATAAATCATCGATGTTTTAAAATTTACTATTATTTCCTCATTTCGTTGTTATTGTCATCAAACGTTGCAGTTGGATGGTACAACCGGTTCGGTATTGGTATGCCTACTGGCTATCAAAAATTACTAACTTAATGATTTGATAGTGTGATATAGAGCCAGTCTGAGGGTCCATAAGGCTGAACCTCATATCGTCCTCTCCAACACTAATATTTATGTTGAATTTAGCTCTTATTTAGGCTTTACAGTACTGGTAAATCTTCGTTACTTACTTGTCGAAAATGATCAAAAACCTAAGCATTGCCTGCAAAGATCATGTGTATCCTTTTACTAGTACTTTAGGTTAGCATTTTCCGACTTCCTAGATAACTTACCGTACCTCATCTCTCCATAGGGGTATAATTCAGGTTTTGATCAATTTATCATGTAAGATACTCCGACAGGGAATTGTCCAGAACCTCTTGATTTCGTACAATTGATTGGGTGACCCGCGCATTCTACAGAAAGTTGGTCTCGACACGGCTAAATGTGCACACTTCAGTTGCGTGTCTCAAACTGATTTCTGACTACCCCGCACTCTCTTTGAGTCGATGGGGGGTTGGATGGCTGAATGGTTAGCGTGCGCGCGCTGTATCATAAAGTCTGTCATTGAGTCGACTGGCGTGGTTTCGAATCCCCGGTTGTACGTGGCAAGGAGTAGGGTCGCCTGTCCAACCTCGTGGGTTTTCTCCGGGTCCTCCGGTTTCCTCCCACTGCTAAAGACCCCTACGCGCAAGCGAATTATGTAAATAAAATTAAACCATATGTTAGTCCCGAAATGACCTAGTTTGTGTCGAGTGGACGTTAAACCTCATTTCTCTCTCTCTCTCTCTTTGAGTCGATAAATAGCCATGGCACGTGCAATTCTCTACAAATATATTAACTATTACAGCCGTAAAAAATCTATTGTTGACGATTTTGAATAGCAGTAAAATTTAGCTTCTTGGTTATTACAGCAGCTTTAGAAATTACTTTTGTTTTATTTTTTAAATTGCTTTATCATTAACTGTACCGTTAAGAGCGGCTTCTTTTGGTTTAGTACAAATACTATCTCTGAATCACTTTCTTTAGCAGGAACATGATACTAGCAGTAGTTTCATTTTACTTTTACAAGTTTCTTAAAACAATTGTTGAGTTGTCTAAAGTGCTTATTTCTAAATTCAATTTCTTGTTCTAGCTTTCTGTTATGTTTCGTAAAAAAGTAGTCTTGATTATCCCGACCTGTCAATCAGACATAGAATGGTCGATAGACTGGTTAAGCGAGACTAATTTCAAAACAAGAGCGCGTAACCTATTTTTTCCTCAAAAGTGTCTGGATGTTATGGACGACACTTGGAACCAGTTTTCAGTCTATTATTTATAGATGATTAATGGTCATAGCTTACTAAGTACAACATGATCGTTTATTTAGTGACTATAATTGTGTGAAACTGATTTGAGGCTTGGCATATATATAAATATTGTGGCTCGAGATATTTGGAGATATTTATTTATGGTGGGTCACCCTACAATTGACAAACCATTGGCTTTAATAAATATAAAATTAAAATAGGTTGAGAAAAGAATATCAGATTGTTTTTATATTTCATCTCAATTCAATGTACGACAGAGGATTTTAGCTTAATAGTTTGTGCTGATAGTTTTCTGTCATCCACTAATTGTTGTCATGAGATGAGAACTTACGCACTGGTCTATTTTTAATTGGCAATTTCTTATTTTACAGACCACCAAAAATAAAAAGACGAGAAAGCTTCGCGGACACGTCAGTCATGGTCATGGCCGTATTGGTAAGTCGGATATATGTATACGGTATATGTAGAAAAATGTCAACTTTAAAGTTTAATATGTCCATCACTGATATCACCTGCATTATTTACACACTGTTAGAATAGCAATAGGTTGAAATTTCATTATATTTGGCGAACAGATACAGGTCGCACCTGCTCACGCGCCCCATCGCTCGCCTAAATCCCAATCTCGGTGCATGTTTTATTGCTCTCCTCATTCCTCCAAAATTCCTGTCCCAACTGCATATTTTATTACTGGATAAGTCAGAAATGTTTACTTCGAATTTACTTCCCATTAATTAGCTCCGTAATGATTTTAATCTGTTACGGTATCAATTTCCTTCGTAAGAATCGGCCATGTTCTTTTTTGCCATCACACTATTTTATTAATTTTCCAACCCTAAGAAACATTCACTGGGCAACTAAATGTGCCTAACAACACACCAACACTATACCCACCAGAAAGCGTTCCCTATTATTAGCTATTAATAAAAACCAGTTAACTTATTTTGTACTAATCCATTATGTACCACTTTTGCTGATGACTTTATTTTTATACGCCCACTTTTTAATGTGTTAATAGAATACAATATCAAAAAACCATTGTTTTATCTAACATTTCGTGAGTAAAACTACTAACTTTATCAGAAAGGTCTTGGTTCCTTTTGATAATCGCGCATATCTGAACTTAACTTCGATTATGGCCCCTGATTGTTAGCATTTCCGTATTTGCAGAATGGTGGGGGGGGGCGTTTCAAGGAACAGTGGCAATGAAAGTCCAGTGCACACTTTGGAGTGTACATTAAAGAACTTTTGACACTTGGAATGTGAATAGGTGGAAATCCCACTGTCTAGACAAAATTACCCTCATAGTACACTTCACGGTACATGAACCGTCTGATGCAAAAAAAGTAGGATGTTAAATTTAATTTCTGATATATTGAATATAGTCATTTATGATTCACTTAAGTCTTATCATATTTTCAGGCAAACACCGAAAGCATCCTGGTGGTCGAGGTAATGCTGGAGGTCAACATCACCACAGAATAAACTTTGATAAATAGTAAGTTTCTACAATTACCGATATCTTTTCGGGTGAAAATTGCTCACCATAATTTCCATGTTTTATTTTACATGTAGATCATTTAGAAATGGACAAAATTGACTGTTCTTTTGCAGCTATGATACAGTACTCAAAATAAAGTCTTCGCTATAGACTCAAAGTCTTGTAATCAAAGTATCTCTAACATTTCGATTAACATACATCTCTTTAACAAGTACGATCGTACTATGGATTAGGAACTGACCCTCGTCCATGTTGTTAGATGAAGTTCAAAAATCTAATTCACTAAATGATGCAGAAGTGTTCAAAGAAGAGGCATGCCCATTTTCATGTTGATCGGACATAAATTGACGAAGCCTTCGTTTTTTTTATTTCAAAGAGTGTATCCTCAAGAAGAACAAGATGAGTAGCAGTTAGCAACCATGTCCAAACTCCAGAAGCCATTGTTTGGCTTTTACCAGGCAAATATCGAAAACAATGACTTAAAATTTATACAATTTGTGATATTTACTGCTAGAGCCTACAATTTGATAACATCCAAAAAGAATTGTGGAGAATCTAGAGATAAAGCACTACCGGGTATTTGATAAAATAGACTCCACATCTCCATGTATTAAACTATTACATTGTATTTTTCAGTCATCCAGGTTATTTTGGTAAAGTAGGTATGAGATATTACCATTTATTACGAAACCAACATCATTGCCCTGCTGTAAATTTAGATAAATTATGGTCACTGGTTACAGAACAGACCAGAACTACCTATCAAAGTAAAACAGACAAAGCACCAGTCATTGACTGTGTCAAAGCTGTAAGTCTCATAGAAATCATTTTTCTATATTAATGTCACTTGTATTGTTGGTTTTCTTGTAAACAATAGGCAGTTGCTTCAAAGACGTTTTAATCCCCATTGTGTAAAATACAGATACTTCTCTACTTCCCTTGTTACAATATAACACTATCCTTTACAATGAAATGTATTCAAGACAATACATGCAATGATTAGTTGAAAAATAGACATTAATAATGCAAATTTTGACCAGGGATGTTTGTCTTCTACTGTAAGTGTAGAAGTGGTGGATAAAAGTAATATCGGTCAAACTGTTTTGATGCAATGTTACTTACCGGTACAGTCATTGTTTTTTTTAGAGGTGCGCAAGCACCTGTCGCACAACTGAATGTTGTCTGAGGGGAGGTTTTTCTCTCTCGCCATAAAATTGAAAATCGCTCACCTTATTTGTAAATCATGGACATATGTATTTCTTTTTTTAAAAGAGTGAAAGACTCACATTCCGATCGCTGTCATTGTGAAAATTTATTGGGTGCGATTACTGTATAATAATGTGATCACACATGGTAATAAAATGCTGATGAATATATTGCTAAAAATAGATGCCGCCTATGCATCATTGGTTAATTTAACTGAAATGTAAAGTAGAACTGTTGCGAAACGTGAGAAAATATGAGAGATAGCACATGAAAATTTCCAATGAGAATAATTCCGAAAGAAATATACTATATTTTGATAGAATTTTCAAGTGTTTATTATATTTTGAATATGGGTTATGTTTTTCAACAAAATTGTAATATTATTGCCATGTGTTACGTACAAAGGGAAACAAGAGTATTGTTTTGTATATTATCGTAGATATATATATAATTAAAAAATGTTTAAAATGAACCAAGTTAACCAGGTAAACAAATAACTACGGCCTTAGATAGTTTAAATTTTCATTAAAGAATTGTACATTTCTATGAAAAAATTCCTGAAGTTTTTCCGCGTGTAATTTCTAAGGCAAGTATAGCGTGCGCAAGAGTAATAATCCACACCTCCTGACAAGCTCTGTTTTATGATTAAAATTGATACCATACGGTTAAATGGTTACTAACCGGTTAATAGCTACGGTTATTCGAATAACAAAAAGTCCTAACCGTAGGAGCACTAATTTCTATTGGAATACCGTAAGTAGTTTTGGACGATAGCAAAAGTTCTTGACCGTACGACTACGAGTTCTCTTATTTAGCAGACGATGTTTATTATCATTTATGTAACCAGGAATGACCCCTTACGCGCAGTTATTGATCTTCAGAACCATTTCCCATACATACAACTAATCACTCACTTGAATATCAGATCTCTCTAGTTAATTTTTAAATCATTCCTCTTATTGAAACTGGGAGAGCTTTTTTTACGGGAGCGCTTTTTTTCAATTGCTCATTAAGGGGAGCTTTTTTCCAGTTCTACTCTAAAATACAAACAACTGCCGGTAATTGTTGGTTAAAGATGTCATTGCAGTCAGCATAATTGAATCGTATCTAAAAATCTTTTTGTAATGCTTTGATTCTATTAATCTTGTATATTTTATTTTATTCAGGGATATTATAAAGTACTAGGCAAAGGTGAACTTCCTGCTCAGCCCCTCATCGTTAAAGCTAAATTCTTCAGTAAAAGAGCGGAACAGAAAATCAAGGGTGTAGGAGGTTGTTGTGTGGTTGTAGCATAAGAACTAAAAATAAAATGTTACTATCATCGTCATTTCAGTGTTTTTGTTTATTTCTGATTTTTTATATCAATGAAGATTTTGATATTTATCAAAGGAAACAGGAAAAGAGGTATGATCTTGGTGAAAAGGAAAGTGATTTCATTCAATTTGTTGTACTACATGAGATTGATAATATAAGATTGTATATAAGACCAGTGTTAAGCAGAAGATATTTTGAACCTGGCTTAGAAGGGAGACCAGAGTGGCTCAGTAAGACAATGCCTCACTAACCAGGTCCAGGATTTAATCCTGGTGTATGCTGAGAAAGTTCACCAGGATTTTCCAGCATGGTTTCCCCTCTTTGGGTGGTGGAGGGCCTGTTAAGGAGAGTGTCTAGTCGGGGTGATATGGAAAATCGGTCCATTGTTCACGTAAAAGAACCCTTGATAGTTGAAATGAGTAGGTCACTCTCTGGCCAAAATGGCCCGTGTGGCATTTTCATTAGCACAGTGTTCCAGAAAAGGCTGTAATAAAAGATTAAAGATACATTATCAGAGATAAGATAAAGAGATGGCAGTTCTCACTATAATAGTTAAAAACTAGATTGTGTAAAGGTAATTTGCTGAAAATTTCAGTCAAATTGATCCACTATGAGCCGAGAACGAAGCGGGTGAAATTTTCGCAGTCGCGGTCATCATTACTAAAATCATTAATATAAACAGCATAGTCTCAATTATCCACTGTTTTGATTTAATTATCAATGGCCGTTAAACGGCATATAGGAATCTAATCCAGCCAACATCGAAGGCTAGCCTTGACATCGAGTGTTTATTATGGTCTGGATAAGTTAATTAATTGATAATTTAGATAACCTTTCAGGCTTAAAGAAAGACTTGTAATAAGCAGATTTTGCTCTTGCATAATGCATGTTTAACAGAATTTTACTATTGCTTAAAACTAATGTGCATTAATTTTATCAATACTATTAGTAAACTGCTGAATGTCATTAAGCATGCTCAAACTAGTTATAACACATTGGTGTGAGTTTGATAGATACACAAATGGTTACATATTTGAACCTCACTCCAGCTGGATGTAAAATCCTTGTACCCTTGAAAAAGACACTTTAAAGTTACAATTTCATATTTTTAAGTTATATTTTTAAAATGTATTAAAATAAAGCCCTAAAATAGATGGTATCTATAAACAGTCCTACCTTGTTAAAGAATAATCCTATAATTCACTATTGCCAGTTGAGAAATTGGCAAAAATATCATTCTCAACTTCAAATTCAAACGTTTGAAGATAGCTACTCCATGGTGGAGAATAGAAAACAAGGGAGGTAATTGTGTTATTTCCGGTGTAAATGAGTTTTAAGTGTGAGAATGACGCCTATGATCGTATAATAGCATGAGTTGACAACCTATTGAGCAAAAGACATAGAAATATTATAATTATGTTTCGACTTTCTTAGAAAATATGAAATTGTAAATTTAACCATGTATGTCAACCCAGCTATAAAATGTAGGAGGATGTCTGATATGTACATACTTATAAAAAAAAAAGTGAGGTAATCCCAGAAACCAGGGCAATAATGGTGTCAGACCACCAATTACTTTTCCTGTTTCGGCCAATGTAGTCCATTTCATTGTGCTGTCTGTCCCAACCCTTTTGCATTGACATTTTTGTGGACTATTTGTTAAACAATCGAAGAGGGTTTGATTTGACATTTTCTGCCAGGTTTTGATGAATATTCCTTGTTCAGATATTCATTTAATTTTGGAGAGATCAGATAACAAAGTTTAGGGTTAATGTCCACACCTCCTTCCAGGCTGTGGACCAATGAACTTCCTGACCACATGAGAACTTGGGCGTATAAAAAAAATACTGCAAGGAGTATGTTCGCCCTCCTTTATTTCCGTGGGGCTTAACGTCCGCGCCCACCGATGGTGATATCGCAGACAGGTATTTTGTCGTCAATTAATTCTGTATTTGTGGTGGAAGTCTATGAAAGGAATGGAAGCTTATTGACTTCTATTTCTGAAGCTGTCGGACAAGCTAAATTTGAAACCATTTGCTTGCTACATAAATCAAACAGAATCAATTTGGGATAGTACATTGATTATCCATTATAGGTTTTAATTATCAAATTGCCATGTGATTTTGAATGTAGAAAACAAATTTCTGTGAATTCTATGAGACAAATAAGACACACAGTTCAATTAAACAATTTAAAGACATATTTAACCAATTTATTACCAGTTCACATAACAAAAACATAAATAATAGATCATAAAGATTTAATAATTAAATATATTTAAGATTTAAAAAATATGTCTGATTTTCAAATAAACATTAATTTGTAAGTAAAGGTATTTATCTAAAAATAGAATTTATACCATGCATCTCTATATTGTGAAAATTTAAAATGCAATTATTCAGTTCATCCGAATTAGAGAAAATAATAAAATAAAGCAGCTTTGGGGGGGGGGGGGCACAGATTTAGGAAGTGGATAGTGGCAAACTGTAGATGATGTCAACATTTAAATAGAGTGTATTCTAAAACAATGTTCATATTTGGGCGGGAAGCCTCACAGAACACCCTCTGTGAAAAAAGTTTAGTGTGGAAATGTTATCTTGTTAATTATTTTTTCAAAACACATAATACATACTTCTTGCATTAAGAGTGATATTATTTCAGTCCTTAATATTTTAGTTCCTCGTATCCACAATAATCAGCTTTAAAATCATCCAATTTTCCTGAAGCATTTTATAATAATTATCTAAAGAGTACATATGTAACCTACACCATATGAATTATTGAAATTTAAAATGCAGATGTGATGTCATACTTTAAAGTTGGTTTATCATTATTTCAAATAATGTACAGCCAATGTGCCATTTGTACATTATTATACTAAATGAAATATTGGACATGAGTGACAATTTCATTGTAATGCACGTCCAGGAGAGTTTCTGTAATTTAATTTGTTTAATGGTCTTAAGCAAGACATTGAGTAATATATTGATATAACACTCGGGTTGTATCAGTATACTACTAAATGTCTCACTCTCAACCATTAAACCACACATAATTAATCTATAGGCGTTCTTGCAGGACTTTTATTACTGGTATAGTAGACCTACATTAATCCACTTTTGGGGGACGCTGCAATACTTGTTGCTCAAATTGTTCAGCAGTTAAAGTTCCTTCAAGCCTTTCAAAATTAGGATTAAAAACTGAATAAGCACTGAGTCTGTTTCCTTGTGGGCCTGTCCTTGTATTAAAATAAATAAACATGAAACCAGTCACAAGGAAATACACAGCCCCGAACTCCAGTTCAATAAATATTTTCCATAACAGAAGCCACAGTAAAAGCAAAAGACCATTTTGTAGATTAAATATTTTCCATTTAGAACTTTCCATTATTTCTTCTTCAGTTTCATGGTAGATAACTTGACCTCCTTGTATATGAGACACGTTAGTTTTGGCTTTCACAGTTCCTTTGGATATCGAAGAGCGAGCAGGTGATGACTTATCTTGACTCTAAAAAATCAATATTATAGTTGAATCATATATATTTAAATGTCTTGTTTAAGATACCCCTAGCTCAATCGACTCGGCTATAAAATATTAATTCCTAGCCTATCTCCTATGTGTGTTGTGCACATTGGAAGTAGTAATACAAACAGGTCCAGACTGAATTGTGCCTTTTACTCATTTTACGCCTCTGCGTAATACTTTACTACCCATTTACACTAAATAGGAAAGATTTTTAATCCAGATAATAAAGTTAATATTTAAAGCTAGTTAACTCGCCCCGATGACCCGCGATGTCTCAGTATTTGGCCAAGCAAATATTTATCAGTTTTGGTCTGGACCTTAAAGGAGCTAAGTCGCTAATATTTGGGACCTAGAAATTGACACAAATGGGTCGCAACGCATGCAATAATGTAATATGAATGTATATAAATTGATTTACATTCAATCGTTTCTGTTTTTACTGTAATATGTAATCAGTTAGGTTCGGCGACATACGCCAGTATTCTCAATCGATTTTCAATCTCTAGCTTCTGGTTATTCCAGTCTACGCCGATAATATTTATTGGGCATGCTCTCCAGATAAGAATATAGCGTCACCGTTTGACATGACTTGTGGAATTTGCCTAGCCTCGTTTTCCGAGTCCCTTATTACACATAGCGCTGAAACGCATTATGGTACACGATTCATGTACCAATTGTAAAATGTTTATTTGTCTTAAAAATTGGATATCAGAAGGGCATCTTTTCCCGGTAAGATCACAACATCAGTATTGATTTAAATTGACAAATGATTCATGTTTTCAATGTTGAAGATTTTGGATGATATTGAGTTAGAGACTTAGCTACTTTAAATGAAGTGAAACGGGGGTTATCATCCTACTTTTCTGTTCCCCGGGCTAATGAAGATTGGTATATGCCATATATGCAGTTAGCTATGTGGGAAAATTTTGCCTGAACAGCAGAGCTATACCACTGTCAAGTGTCAAGTCAATAAGTGGTCTATCTATGATGATGTACACTGGTTCCACCTGAATGAGAATGACTAGACACTGTACATTGATAGGCTAAATTCCTTCAATTTAGCTACATGTATGGTAAATTATTATGTATCAATTCCCATTTCTTCCTTAATCAACAAAAATTATGTGCTAGATAGAAATAAGTTTCAGTTTCTTCAGGGTTATCTGCCCGGCCAAAATTTTAATAATTCTATGTTTTAAGAAAATACACACTTTTATTCTCACTATAGAGCTACCTGATCATTATTTGGGTTTGTCTTTGCTCCCCTAAAAAGGCCAAGTAAAGAACTTGTAGCTGTCTGTTGTGCCCTTCTCTCTTTGTTTTTCCGTTCTCGATATTCAGCCAACTGTTTCTCCATGTTGGCAAACAAGCCTTGAACACCCAGTGCGACAAATATCGACTCAGACTAACTCTATTTGTTAAGGTCAGCTCAGTTTGTGTCAAGGTTGTTGAGATGTAAATAAGGTTAGGGCACGATTGTTGGCGAGATTGTAGGTTAGGGTTAGGGTAAAGCATCGGGGCTAGGTCCAGGGTTAGGCATAGGGTTGGGATTAACGCTAGCCCTGTTTACATCTCGTGATCTATGACGAAAAATTGAGCTGGCCTTATCATTTAGCACTAACCGTTGTCAAGATTATATATATTTTTTCCCCTTAAACTTAAACGTATATCGGGGTATATACTTTTAAAGGAGCCAAATAATGTCGATTCACAAACATTACTTTCTTTATATGCAATATTATTTTTTCGAGTTGTAATCTATTTAAATCGAGAGGGATAGCCTTCGCTTGATTTGCCATGGATAGATTATAAAGCTACGGGTTTCGGTAAGGGACACTCGAGATTATATTTTTTTCCCCCTGAAACGAATATCGGGGTATATACTTTTAACGGAACCAAATAATGTTGATTTACAAAAATTACTTTCTTTATTTGGAATATTATTTTCGAGTTCTGGTAATCTATTTCAATCGAGAGCAATACGCTCGATTTGCCATGAAATATAAACCTACGGAGCCCGGTAAGGGACACAAAAGATAAAATACAGATAGAAAATGAAATGAAATGAAATGGGGTTTAACGTCCTACTGTTTTGCTCCGAACTGGGCTAATGAAGACGGGCATACGCCATACAGTGTGCTATGGGGGAAATTTTGCCCGGACAGCGGCACTACGGCCTACTCTTATATCGAATTCCAACTGTCAAGGGATCTTTTACGTGCACGCCAATGTGTACACGGGACCTCGGTTTTTCGTCTCATTCGAATGACTAGACAACTGTCCTTGTCAGGCCCTCCGTCCTGCATCACTGACAAGGGGAAACCACGCCGGAAAATCTGGATGAACTTTCTCGGCCAATGCAGGGATCGAACACCCGACCTCCAGGCTAGCAAATACAGATAGCCTTCTATGTATCTTCTATATCTTGAACACTGACCAGTGGTGGTGGTTGTGGTGGTGGTGGTGGGGGGAGATCAAGTCGTCTAAAGCATGCGCATTAGATCATTAAGGTCTGTCACTGAGTGAAGTGGTTTCGATCTCAAACACATTAGCCTACGTGCAAGTGAATCATTGAAATAAAATTGTACGTTTTTGGGGGGTACTTTGTGTCTCTTACCTTGCTCCGGTTAAAGTAACAGCTCGAATGGGGTTTTACTTTTCTGCACGAACCGAGATATAAGATGGGCATATACCATGCGGGGTGCAATGAGGGAAATTTAGCCCGGCCAGCGGCGACACGACCTACATTCTTTTTCGAATTCCAACTGTCAATGGTTCTTTTATTTGCAGGCTAATGTCTAACTCGGTTTGCCTGAATGCCGTTCCTTGTCGCGCCGTCTGTTCTGCACCGAGGAACTTTCTCGGACACTTTTGGAAACGAACCCGAACCACGCTTGATGATTAGCTACACAGCGCCCTATCACTGAGCCACAGCAACCCCCTCTGGAGATAATTATTTAATTTGTTAGGAAGTATTTTAATCTGCCCTTTTATTTGGAAGATATTGATATACTCTATAATATATATTAATTTTGATTTGATTAAAACAAAACAAGACAGACAATCCACCACGCCCTTTTTGAACCTAATGGGGAACGTATGGCATCCTCCGACTACCCCCTCCCATTTGGTTACTGTACTGCGAATTAGACTATAGGGAGCCGATCAAAAAAGTCAAAACGATTCTGATGGTACCAATCTTAAAATAAATATGACGAATTCGCTCGCCTGTTTAATAAAATTTCTGAGTTGATATCATGGATTTTGTTTAAACAATATTTATTCACAAAATTGTAGCTATAAGACAACAATATTGAAATAGTAAAAAAAAGGGTTAAAGCTTATATATAATTTGCTTTATATTTGGCAACTTTTGCCATTTAAGAACATGTATTATTGAACAGTGCACACAGAGAGAGTGAGAGAGAGAGAGAGAGAGAGAGTAGGTCATTTCAGGACTAACATATGGCCCATTTTTATTTCAGTAATTCGCTAGGAGTATTAAGCAGTGGGAGAAACCCCTTGAGATTGAACAGGAGACCCCACTCCTTGTCACGTACAAGCAGAGAATCCAAACCACGCCCCTTGACTCAATGACAGACCTTGTGATTCAACGCGCACGCGTTAACCATTTGCACCCCACCCCCATCTTCATTAGAAAAATAAGTATAACAATTTTCATATAGATCGCATATTACTTTCGGACTACTGGGCTATGTTGTTGCGTATATACTAGTAATAGTAAGATTTATGCTTATTTGATTTTTATTTAAAATACATTAGATTCAAACAAAATTAAACAAAAGAGACAAGGGCTTAGTAAGGATAAATAGCCAGACTGGCAATGCCACACATATTTCTGCCTCTTTCAATCCATATATAACCATTAATTCCCCAGGTCTCACCTGTAAAATTGTAAAGAAGGCTACATGACAAAGATATTATATACACCAAACACCCAAAACCAGTTTTTGTTTTCCGGGTTTGTTTTGTTTTGTTTGGGTTTTTTTCTCTTTTATCTTTTGAGCAAAATCTTCAGAAATTATGTCTGACTTACTAGGTTCTGTCAGTCGATATAGAGGGGACATTAGGTTTTGACCATGGATAAGAAAACAATAATAATTGATATACTAAGAATTGTGCTACCTCTCATGACCCCAATGCTTCCCACCAAATTTGAAAGAATTCCGTAAAAACTATAGCCGCTATGGCGGGATAACTTTGTAACAAAAAGTCGCAGAATTATGAAAATCAGTAAGATTCACCCCCTCATGACCCCTATATGCTTCCGTGCAAATTTGAAAAACATGCTAAAAACTACAGCCTCTGTCGTGTGCACAAGATTCTTGGCCTTGGTACCGACGGAAGTACAAATTGTAACTTTATCTGTACGCTACATCACAGTTGGGACTGCTGTATATGGATCTTATGTCAAATTCTCAACCGAGGACAGCTATCAAAATCACATAGATTCAATGTTTCATTTCAACTGAACTTTTGAAATTCTAAAATGTAATCAATATTGGAATTGTAATGTTGTATAAATGTTGAATTACACACGTTGTTTAAACTGATATGTACACCCATAATTCACCATTTTCTCAACATCGTAATTTAATATTTAATAATGATTTAATCAATATTGGAATTGTAATATTGCATAATTAATGTTAAACTAACTACACACGTTGTTTCAACTTACATATACACCCATAATTCACCATTTTCTCAGCAACATGATTTAACATTTTATCAACATCATATAGATGTTGTGATGCTTACTGGGGTCTTACCTTTTTGCACCAAATCGGCTAATGAAGACGAACATACGCCATGCAAAGTGCTATGAGGGGAATTCCGCCCGGACTCCGACAGTGACCCCACACACCCCTTTTTCGACTTCCAACTGTTTGGAGATTTTCTCTCCATCCCAATGACCAGCTTTTCACAAGGAACGTCATCCTGCACCACTGATATCAGTGTGAAAAATCCCGAGGAGCTTTCTTGACCAACATCGGGATCGAACACCCTGATTAGTGAGCGAGCTCTCAGAATTTGATAAAGAGCGAATGGTAATGTAATAAGAAGCAAGGATAAAAACGGAGGTACCATGGGCACCAATGCTTTTGTAAACTGGACGCACTGATGATACAGTGCACTTACCCCAACTATTTTTACAGATCCAATAACTTTTGTTGTCCATCTGACCATAACCAACAACTTGTAAAACATGATCTATTCGAGATTGGCTGCAGCTATTTTCAGCGTATATCCCTTCACTGTACATTTCAAAAGATGGATGAGAAGCATCTACATAAACCATTAGGGGTGATTTCAGGATGGCCTTTCCCATTTCAACTTCATCCCCGTGACGTATGAAGTTTGTACCATTGACCTGTTTTGAAAAACAGAATTCTACGTGTGGGATTGGAAAGGCAGGGAACATGTTAAAAAAATATTGTTTCATTTATTTCCAACCTTTTATTTCCTTCTAATTAAGCTAGAATGTCCAAACTTGTTGTAAGGGTTTATTAGGTTAATGTTCGAAGATGAGCATTTTCTGCTTATGGCAAGCAAAGATAAGCAATTTAATTGGTTGATGCTTTGGGATACGGTAACTGCAGTTCTTATTAGGTGAGAGTGGTGAAACTTATTTTATGGTTTCATTACATCAATACCTTCACTAAGTTCGATAATAAGCGTTTTCTGCTCAGGGTAAGCCGAGCGATAAGCAATTTGATTGGTTTAGACTTCGGAACACAATAACTCTTTTTCGAATTGAGGTAGAATGTTCAAACTTGGTATAGACGTTCATTTTAGGTAAATAATTTGAAGGAGTTCGATCATTCACATTTTCCAATTGGGCTATAAGCAAAGATAAGTAATGGGACTTTGGAACACGATAACTTTGGTTCTAATTGGGTGAGAGCGATGAAACACGTGAGTAATAGATTCATTATATCATTACATTGACTAAGTGTATTGATCATAATTTTCTGCTTGGACTAAGTAGCGATAAGCAATTTGATTAGTCAAGACTTTGGAACATAGCAACTCTGCTTTTAATTGAGGTATATATGTTCATTGGGCGAATGTCTTGACTGACTTCAACGATTAATATTTCTCGCTAAAGCTAAGCAATTTCATTGTTCAATGCTTTGGGACAAGATAACTTCGATTCTAACTGATGGAGAGTGATAAAACTTAGTGTATAGTTTCACTTCCAGGTACTTCAAAACCTGACTGAGTTTGATCGTGAACATTTTATGCTTAGAATAAGCTAGAAAATCAGCTTTATTGTTTAATTAATTAATGTGTGTCATCTGTTTATTTTTAGATTTTAGCTTGTTTATACTTGAGATGGCCTCTACTACATGAAGATCTTACCAGTTGTTATTAAAAGTCAACCGAATCTTCGTCAAGGTCGCTGAGATCTAAAAAAGGTTAGGACACGTGATTGTTGGCGAGACTGTACGTAAAGGCAGGCGTTAGGGTTAGGGTTGAGATTAGAGTTAGTCCCGTTTACATCTCGTGATCTTTGAAGTAACAGGGTGGATCAATCAGAAATCGAACTATTATATTATAATTAATAGAAAATATACCGGCATTTGAACAGATATTATAAAGATTTAATTTCAGTGATACTTTACTAACCACACCCACAGCTTGACAACTTTCCTTGTTACAGATCTGAGTTGGATTTTGTTTATATGTCTGAGTTGTACACAAGCCACCAATTTTACTACGAATACACCCAAATATATCTTTAATAAGTAATTGTTCCCCACATCCACAATCATCAATTTCTTCTGCACTTAGATTGTAAAGCTGGCCTGTTTTTATTGCCTGCAAACTGGCGACACTCTCTAGAAATTAAAGATATGTGTTTTAATTAGATTTACATTAAAAACAGAAAACGACGAGTCCATAAACATAGAGTTAGATTTTACAGTTGGGTTTCATAGTAACTGGGAGTCACGGTGGTAAGACGCTGGCTTGCTAGCCTGAAGGTCGTATGTTCGATCCCTGCATTTTCCGACGTGGTTTCCCTTTGTCAGTGGTGCAGGAAGCAGGGCCTGGCAAGGACAGCTGTCTAGTCATTTGAATCGGACGAGAAACCGAGGCCCCGTGTATACATTGGCGTGCACGTAAAAGATCCATTGGCAGTTGGAGAGTAGGCCAAATTCTACCCGGGCAAAATTTCGCTCATAGCACACTGTATGGCGTGTGCCCGCCCTTATTAACCCAGTCTGCAGAGCATAGGACGTTAAACCCCATTTCATTTCATTTCCTAGAACGGTTTTTAATTTTCGACTGTCATTTTATTTATAAAGTGGGATGGAATGAATGGCGTTTATAATTCTCAACACAATACGTCGGACATTTCTATAGTTACTTGTGCAATACGAATGGGGGAAATTTGTCTATCTACTCTAAAACTTTCGTTAGCTACCCGAACTCCAGAAATGAAAAGTTCTAGAAAAAGTAAACGTATTCTACCCCGTGGACAACACCCTATCACTACGAAGCGATTCGTTGGATTTCGGAGGCTAAATTAGGGTCGATATGTACCTGCAGCAACTATTGCTTCAACATCGCCCATTTGTCCTTGATTACTCACTGCTCCGATTACTCCCTTTGTCCTCCAATCAAAGCTGGTTGGTGCTGCATCACCAGAAAACACCAAGTTGTCTTGTTTTAAAGCTATCGGTCTTTGAAGCTGGGGAATCAACTTCTTTCTTGTCATTGATTCCTTACATGAAAAACAAACAGACACTTTATACAAACACCTAGCTTTCTAAAGAAAAGGTATTTTGATTATTTTTTGCGGTCCTAAGTAACGGGTTCTTGTTACGTTCAATAAAAACATTTTTATTCCAAACGTTTTCAACATTGACACGCATGGCCATTTAAAGTTTGTAATTATTTCACAGCGCCATTTTTAATTGTTTTCGATAAATGTAATAATAATAATAATTCTGTTAACCGTTTTCATACAAGCCAGTCTCATTTTCAGGAAAGGCATGGCCGTTCGACATTTATAATGATTTCAAACAGCCATTTTGTTTGTCTTAGATAAATAATGTAATAATAATTCTGCTGCTTGTTTTCTTACAAGGCAGTCTCATTTTCATAAAGCAATTTTTATAGTCTTCACATTAATAGTACATACTATTTTTATTTACTCTTTGGAACGATTTGTCTTGGTGTACCTTATATATTTAAATACGGGGAAGTCGATTTTACCTTAATATTGTTCGACCAGTTTGACTATTTATAGAATGTAAGCTATTTATATACAGTATACGCCTACCTGATCGCCGAACCGGTTCATTTGTAATGTGTATTGTTTATCAATACGATTATTATGGAGATGGATATCATTCATATTCTTCTGCCATATTTTACGTCTGTACATTTCTTCTTTATAATTTGAGTAACTTTTTTGATGTGTCTGTTTCCACGCCTGCCATTCGTCATCTTGGGACGTCTGCTGAGAAAGACCAAGCGTTAGAAACAACAAGCACAGTATTGCCAGGGTATTCATATTAGGGTTTTTAACTGCACAGTATAAAAGTGACACCCTCGTTTATTCTTTATCCATGTGTTGTGTGAACAGTACACCGACAATGTTTATTGTATACTATGTCACGAGCACATGACAAGATAAACTACATGTGATAACTGATAATTGGTTATTTGAGCTTTTCCAATCAGTCAGTAGGCTAAACACAGGGCCTAACTGAACCTGTACACTTTGGCCATCTATCACCTTTCCTAAAGTATTGACGATCCAACCAAATAAATAATATGTGCCCCTTAATTTAGACACCCATATCTCTTACTTCATCATGCGAGGAATAATAATAACACTGTCTTGATAATTCCCGAAAGATCCGGGGAATTTATACAATATCGAAATAACCATAGAATCAACTAAAGGTGAATTTTTATGGTGAGTGTAAGAAATGAAATCAAATCCACCTTTTAGATCCTATTTTTTATGTTTAAAAACTATAATTTAAATTCCAATTTCTCCCCTAACAATACAGTTACGGTAAGCTTAAACGCAGTTTGCGTGTGTGAGAAGTAGGCGGTGGAATACGGTATTAAATTGGAGGGACGGGGGTGGGGTGGAGGATAGAAATAATGTAAGTGTTTATTGCTTGCGGTTTATTAAAGTATGAGAGATGAACATATTTCTTAATACCCGGCTATGCCTCTGTTCAAAATCTACTGGAAATGAAGTTCATGGGTCCCGAAATTCTCCAAAATTACTACAATACCTACTTGATCAGAAAGCAGATTTTCTCGCAAACATGGACGGACTAGGGAGGCCAGCTGTCTCTGAATCTTGTCTTAAAAGCTCAATACCACTCTTGTTGTAACTGAATAATATGTCCCAATCTTTATTTTGGTCAACAAATTGTACTATTTTACAATATTCCAATTAATTGATGATACAAATTTCATCTTTACACACTTTAAATTTAAAAAATTTAAAAAATTCAACAAAATGATTTGAAAAAGCCTGACGTAATGCTTTTCAAATGTGACTTGGATTTAAAAATATTTTTGAACCCTTTGGACAAGTAAAATAGGATTTAATGGATAATTTACACAACGGTAGGACACTAAAGTACTTAGAATAAGGCCATATTATATTGTCTGGAGCTGTCAAGCCAGCAATAGTGTTATTGTCCCTTTAAGGGTCTCTACTCTAGCGGCATTAGGTGCGGGGGAGGGGGTGGATACATTTTTTTGAAAATCCATCTGTAAGTGGTGCTTTAGAGAATACCCTATGTTCTATGTTCAAGCTTATATACAAGTTAAGCGTAAAAAAGAAGTAAATTCAAAACTAAAATGGACCACCAAACTAGATGACAATATTAACTTCTTTCCCGTGGCTAAGCGGGTAAGACGCTGGCTCGCTAGTCTGGAGGTCGGGTGTTCGATCCCTGCATTGGCCGAGAAAGTTCATTCAGATTTTTCGGCGTGGTTCCCCCTTCTTAGTGATGCAGGACGGAGGGCCTGACAAGCACAGCTGTCTATAGTTGTTCGGATGGGAAGAAAAACCGTGTACACATTGGCGTGTACGTAAAAGATTCCTTGACAGTTGGAATTCGTTATAAGAGTAGGCCGTAGTGCCGCTGTCCAGGCAAACTTTCGCTTATAGCACACTGTATGGCTATGCCCGTCTTCATTAGCCCAGTTCGGAGCAGAACAGTAGGACGTTAAACCCCATTTCATTTCATTTCTTTCCCATTCTCAGTCCACACCTGCTCGAAAAGCTATATTTTTGCGAAACATATATTGTTTTATACAATTAATTGCTCAAATCTCGTACTGTGTTTACCAGAAGAGCATTTTATAAACATAAAACTGCTTTATTTTTATTTACATGACCAACGTGAAGCCGTAGAATTATAATTACATATATTAGTGATGAGGAAGGCACTGGTCTGGTTGTGTTGTCAAGCATTGACGGCTGATGTAAATCATATCCTTCTAGGTGGGTGGCCCAATGGTTAGCGTTGTATCATAAGGTCTGTCATTGAGTCAACTAGCGTGGTTTCCACTCGGCAAACCTCAGCAGATTCCAGTACCCTACATCTAGCTAGATGTAGGGTTACGGAATCTGCCGAGGTTTGCCGAGTGGCGTGGTTTCGACCCCCGGTTGCACGTGGCTATGCGTAGGGTCGCCTGTCCATCCTCGTTCGTTTTCTCCGGGCTCCCCGGTTTCCTCCCATTGCTAAAGATCCCTACGCACAAGCGAATTATTGAAATAAAATTCAACCATATGTTAGTCCTGACATGACCTAGTTTGTGTTGAGTGGACGTTAAACCCCATTTTTCTCGCTCTCCACTCTCTCGCTGTTCTCCCAAATTACATCTGTAAATACAACGCTCTTAATGAACGTTTTCAGCCACTATAATACTAATTCATTTTAAATTTGATATCTTATATAAAGTCTGTTGTAACAGTGAAAATCTTCGATAATAACTAAAGACTGAAACTATCCTTGAGTCACTTGGGATTATTTATTACCGGAAAACATTAAACGGAGAACAGCACGTCCGACAAGCAGAGTAACTGTCCTGGAAACGGGGTGAACCTAGAATCGGTATTTATAATAAAATAATATCTTAGGAATTAACAACATACACTAAGGTTACCAATAACAATTAAAGAGGAAGGGCTCAAGGATAGTTCCAGTCTTTAGTTATTATTTGAAGACTATCATTTGAAGACTAAAGGGAGATAATATCACATGGTTTAAAAAAAACAACCCAACCCCAAAAATTACACTACTTTTTTTTCTTCTTAACAAATCCAAATTCTTTCACGGAATGTAACACCAATAGTTTATTTTAACTATTACATCTTATTTTGACACAATTTTATTATTGAAGACTAAAGGGGGATAATCTTTATTGAGTAAACGAATAAAACTATTGTTGCTTTAAGAGTTCATATTTAGAACACTTAAAAAAATATAATTTGGAGACTAAAGAGAGATGAACAATTGTGATAGTAATGCTATGCAATAGAATACGGTTTTATCAATATCAGTGGGAACAAATCAAATTATTGTTAAACAATCATACCAGAAAAAAATGAAATCCTCTAAGACATTTATCACTCTGCCACTGACTATTTTGAGAAACGGGTAATAAATATGCCCTTTACTTCAATGATAAACTTGTTTATGACATGGTCAGAAAAGAATATAATCATTCATCAAATGTAATTAAAGTACAATTGATCATTAAAATTTAACAAAAATATGAAGAAATAAAAATTGTTTTTCAATTTTGCAGGAAGTCCATGCATTGTGACGTCATAATAAAAGTACGTTATGCTTATTGACTTCTGTAATATAACTATGGTTACTTATTGTCTTTTTATCATTCGAGGCAGATATCTTAAGCTGTCAAGATGTGTTTCAGATATTCTCTAATAATTTTACTGATTCTCATTTTACATGGCGAATGTATGGAAATATAATAATTTGTAAGTATTTCTAGTCAAATCTTAAGTTTTTATTTTATTTTTTGTATTTAGCCTATTCTACGGCGCATAATAAAATGAAAGTTGAATTCATTGTGAAATGAAAGTTGAATTCATTGTATACCGATAATATAAAGTGATTTATATTCAAATTGGGGGTTGGGGGTTGAATTGCCGAATGGTTAGCGCCTGCGCGTTGCATCATAAGGTTTATTGAAATAAAATTGAATCATATGTTAGTCCTTAAATCCTAGCTTGTGTCGAGCGGACGTTTAACCCATTCCCCTCTCTCTCTCTCTCTCCCTCTCTCTTCAAATTGAATCGTTTACGCCTGCTTAGTCGATACACGTATTTTTTATTATTATTTTGTCGTTCATGAATCAGCCATTACTAATTACTTTCGCATTGTCTTCCAGGATATATTTTGCTTTGTTCATTATAAATTGCTCTCCGAAACGATAGAACACATTACTTGTGTACTGGTTATTGTGTCTTAAATATTGGATATTACGACTCCATCTTCACAACATCAACATTCAATGAAATAGACCAATATTAAATTCTTATTCGTGTTTTTAATTTCGAATATTATTATTGAAACGATTGAGTTAAGGGTTTATCTCCTCTATACAAATATAACCACAATCCCCTTCAGCCCCATGTTCGTTACCTCTGACAACTTCCTACTTTTCTCCACCAACCGGGCTATGAGGGAAGTCGTGTCCAAACAGTGGGTTTTTTGTCGACATTACATTAAATTCCAAATGTCACTGTCACCCAGTAAAGCTCGGAGGCACCGCTGACAAGGGAAAATCCGACACTAAAATGCCGGGGTATTGTCACTGTAACCCGTGTATCATTTAATCTTGTGTATCTTTAGTATAACGAATTTCTTTTACTTTCGTTTAGTATCAAATCTTTGTGTAACTAGAGCATTGCTAACGCTGCAATATACGTCCACAATATGCTTCCATTGCAGAATGGTACTTTTTTAAAATGAAGAGAATGAAATATGAAATATGAAATATGAAATAGCTGCAATGACTGTAATAATATTAGAGACAAAGAAGGCTAGGCGTTGGGTTTGTTTCGCCAAATTTAGAGACTAAATATTGACAAAAAAAAATGGGTATGACACGGCCCCAGGGGGTTAGGGCATGCATCAAAATAAATAGTTGCTATCTTTACGGTATAAGGAATACATATTCAAAGTTCTCAGATGATCCATTCAGAATTGCAGCCTGTAGATGATAAATACAAAAATTGGGCGTGGCTCTGCCCCTGGGGGTTGGATTTGGAACAATATAAATAGGCACCACCCTGTTATTGAAATGATTGATATACTGAATTTGAACAAAATCTGTTCATTATAATATTTACAGACAAAAAAGTGGGTGTGGTACCACACACCTGGGGGTCAGGACATGTACCAAAATAAATAGTTGCTATCCTTGCAGAGAATAAATATGCCAAGTTCCAAGATGGTCCATTCTAAATTCCAGCCTGTAGTCAAAAACTGGACTTGGCTCTGCCCTTGGGGGTTGAACATAGATCAATATAAATAGGTACGACCCTATGATGGATCATTCCGAATTGGATCAA